AAACTGAGAATGGGGTCTTCACTCGATCACTATCCATGAGATACTACGGAGTCTACATCCATGCAATATCAACCATAACCTCTATATATACTATGACATGCATCCGAATTCACCAATCTTTTGGCAGATGCTGTCTGCACAATCTTCCTAGAAATATACCCATGTATATTGTGACGCAGAATTGTCAACTGTTTGATGCTAATAGCTGACAAGTATATAAAACTGTTCCACGATGAGTCAGCAAAAACAGCAACACTCACAGCTCTTGTCATGAGTTGTACAACTAGTTCTATGACTGATTTCAGAGAACTTAATTGACAAACATTTGACGCTACATATATAACCGACACATGTTTAGTTTTGTATTGCAAAATATTGATACAAGCTTGTTTGACTTCATTAACCTTCCTGATAGTTACAGTCATAACTGTGGATGTAGTATTGATGAAAACCCAAGCCATTCAGGAGACTGCGAAAGTACCCAAAGCGATTCTCAATTTTAGTAACAATGCTATAAAACTTTGCAGCCTGCACTCGAATTACCGTACTAACAGATAGAATGGCGTCGTCCAGAAATGAACATATCGAATGGCAATCAATCCTCCACCTTTTGACTAGCTGTTTCATGGCTTTTATTAATACACACGGAGCAGACGTCAAACTAAAAAGGCAAAACCAAAACCTTGCAGTAGGCTATTTACCTGCTTCGTTACACCACACAAAGCCAAGGAGTGAGTGAGTGAGTGAGTGAGTATGGTTTTACGCCGCTTTTAGCAATATTCCAGCAATATCACGGCGGGGGACACCAGAAAATGGGCTTCACACATTGTACCCATGTCGGGAATCGAACCCGGGTCTTTTGCGTGACGAGCGAACGCTTTAACCACTAGGCTACCCGACCGCCCCACAAAGCCAAGGAAATCAGTGAGATAATGGTATGTTGAGTGGATATCAAATTTTAACAACCAGTAATTCATATTAATGTATGATAATGCAGTCTTCCAATCTTCATATTTGACATTCACCTTGAAGATACATTTATTGATTCTTGTAGGATCAAGGACAACTGTACTGTTTGTTTGTTTGTTTCTTGTTTAACGCCGCACTGAGCAATATTCCAGCTATATGACGGCGGTCTGTAAATAATCGAGTCTGGACCAGACACTCCAGTGATTGACAACATGAACATCGATCAACGCAATTGGTGGTGGTTGGGTGGTTTGTTGTTTTACGCCGCACTCAGCAATATTCCAGCTATATGACGGCGGTCTGTAAATAAGCAAGTCTTGACCAGACAATCCAGTGATTGACATCATAAGCATCGATCCACGCAATTTGGATCGATGGCATGCATCAACCAAGTCAGCGAGCCTGACCACCCGATCCCGTTAGTCGCCTCTTACGACCAGCATAGTCGCCTTTTCCGGCAAGCATGGGTTGCTGAAGACCTATTCTACCCCGGATGTTCACGGGCCGACCACTGTACTGAAACAGACAAGGGACCAACAATACTTGGTCACACTTAAACACCAGGTCCTTCTTCAGCTGCTCATCAATTGCCTGCGACACAAAACCGCTATGTTTAAGAGCGGACTTGTTATTGTCAATATGCATATTATGTCATAACCATCCAGTTAATAAAACATGAGATACACCTGTATTACCTTTGAGACGGCCAATTATTAATATTTCAGCTGTGCCTTGTTCATGCTCAAAATAGTTATAATTATGGACAAACTTTTAAGAATACTCAACCGACAAATCTTGACTCGAACAACTATTCGACATCGACTTTAAAACATTACTACAGTCGCTTCGAGAATTATTCACGCTCATATTTATAGATCAATGCATAAATATTCAGACTGACAAAAAATCCCCACAAGACTATGACAATAGGGGCAAGTTCAACTTTTCAAAAGTCAACTTCACCTTAAGGACGGGCAATATTCCAGCAGCTCCAGCCTTCGGTGTGTACATTCACAACCATTGAGGTACAATCGAGCGTGCTGTTTCTACGACGATTTCAAAGAGCGTCAAGCGACGCTTGCTGAAAAGATGTTTGACAAAGATTACAAAATTCAGGGCATCGGTAAAGCTTTCAAAATGTTTTAGGGTAGAGATATGGAGTACATTTCCAAATTTGACGCAACAAAGTCCGACAAAATGATGTCTGATGCAATTCCTTATTTTATTTGTACCAGGTGAATAACTGACTAATGAACCCACATAGATTCATCTGTAAAGACAAAATTTCTCCACAATATTCGAGGCTGGCGAACATGATTTCGACACCATCTTAGACGGTTGACTCGATGACGGTGTGTCAGGATGGGACGTATGGCAGGGCGTCGTGGTCGAATCCCGTACTGACGTAAACGATTCCTGACAGTGTTGGGATGGATACGGCGCAGTCCAGGAATTGTCTGGGACGTCGTTACTGCCGTTTGGAATCTGTGTCGGAGATGTGTCACTCGAATTCGAATCCATCTGTCCTGTCTTGGCGTCGTTACTCGGGGACGTCCTGAATGTGGGTGGTCGGCAACGTCATTTGTGTTCTAATAACACCTCACCAATGCCGATATCGTGTTACGATGGCATTGGAAATGTGTTGCCACCTGTTGTTGCCTCATTCCCGCTCGGATCATTCCAATGGCTTCATGACGCTGTGCAGCTGTCAATCTTGGCATGATTTGCTTGTGTCTGCACCTGAGAAGTTTCGAATTTTTGAATGACCACAGATCATGCTTTCCAAAGTGACAGCGAATTTTGAGTTGCACATGCTGTGTACAGCTGCACAGGTTGCGCGTGCAGTAACACATTGCACGTCCATAGGCCCCCATCAATGACGTCATATCGCATGGCACGTGCATGAGCGTTTGAATGTCTCCAATAATTGCTGTGTTCAAACCTATATTTCATATATTGACGGTGTGCCCTTATATCTATATTTTCTCCGTGCACAGTTTCTTTATGTGGCTAGTATATATGGATCAATTTGTCAGAGACGGACATTTTATCGATTGAGTGTCATCGTAATATCAACCATTGGTTTATCTGTCCAAGTACCATCCTATAACGACCCACGCCATCGGGGTACGATTCGCAGTCATTCCGAACCATTTAGTAGCCGCGTACTACAAGCAAATGGTGCTCCGGACCTGTTCTCACCTGGAGTCCCTACGGGAGTATGCCATTATGAATTTCTAATGCCGTGAAGGTTGCCAATGTTTGTAATCCAATTTTAACAGAGTTAGTTTGACAACCGTAATGGGACAGGTTCGAAACAACGAATAGACACTCCCTGTGTTAAATTGATTTTAGAGACAAGGCAAATATCTTTTGTGCTGATACATTGATTTTTCATAAACACCTTTCCCTGGAAGCGTTGTACTAATGTACAGCATTGTATCCTTTCAATGTCATAGCCATGTACCAAGTGGTGTAGGATAAGTAATTATGAAGGTGATCACAGCAATACTTTGTGAGGAAGACTTATTGATCTCGTAACTACCTTATACACACATGGGGGCACGGGTGGCCCAGTCGTCTAAGGAGCCGCAATATATAATTAATTCGCTGAGCAGAGATGAGTCCCTTGGACACGCCAGAAACCTTTGATTGTAGGTTTGAAGCCCGGTTCACCCCTATTATGTTTCTAGGTTTGTAAGCACCATACCCGTCCTCGTGGGTTTCACCGAAAGTGTAAACATTAGAGACCTGCATCACTTCTGATATAAGCTGATATAACTGGAATACTGTTAAAAGCGGTGTTAAAACTCACTCACTCACTCATTTATACAAACATAATGGCAGAGCTTTTGATTTATTTTCCTCACATCCTTGTCATTGAAATGTTATCCCTCAATCCGCCGTACTTTGGACCTATTCTGCTCCCTACGTGACAGGACCCGTGAAGATTCCGGGGTAGAATAGGTCTTCAGCAACCCATGCTTGCCGTAAAAGGTGACTATGCTTGTCGTAAAAGGCGACTAACGGGATCGGGTGGTCAGGCTAGCTGACTTGGTTGATGCATGTCATCAATCCCAATTGCGTGGATCGATGACCATGATATTAATCACTGGATTGCCTGGTCCAGACTCGATTATTTACAGACCGCCGTCATATAGCTGGGATATTGCTGAGTGCGGCGTTCAACAACAAACCAACCAACCAACCAACCACAAACCCTACGTGAGAGGGATACGAAATTGATTGCCCCTCGAACCTTTACGATTTGGCTTCAGAGAACCATCGACTCCTTTTGTGTCATGTGATTAGTCAGTCAATAAAGCATTCCTTGTTATTGCGACAAGTAAACATAGATAAGGCGTGGCAAACAGCATATTTGTCTTGGTGATTTTGAGAATTAGTTTGTTATGTCAAATTCACTAAATGTTTTCTTGAAGTGTTCGTGTCAATTCTAAGCAGGATAAAAGTGTCGCTTTAGACTGAGGATAAATAACAGACAATCAACCTTGTAAACCTTTCAACAGACCATGTCATCACTTTACATGGGGATGCAGTTTGTTATTTTACATTTAAAGGCTTTAATGGCGTAAAACAAAACTCACTTACCATTGATCTATGGTAATGACTCTGTCAGTTGGGTCTACGTCAAAGTCGTTGCCATGGAAACTCGAAAAATAATGTTATTCAAAATTCCCAAACTGTCAAAAGGTACCAGTTCACCACACGACCTGTCTTTGTGCTAAGTTTAATTAAGATATCTCTCATGTGTTTTTAGTTCTGCTTCGGAAACAAAACGTGACGGACGGACGGACGGAATGACAGCACCCATTGCTATATCCCCCTTCCACTTCGTGGTGGGGGATAATAACATACAGCCGAGATCAAACATATTAATGACAGAAGCTGACTCAATGAACACGCTCTTCGTGTGTTTGTTCAGCGATTCATTACATTCAGTGGTTGATCGATTTCTTTTGCGCATTCTTGCTGTCTAATCATGAAGCTACAGTATATTGTGACGCGTTTCACTGTCAGGTGGTTTGTATATGAGGTCTGAGGCTGATATCAAAACCAAACGGAACACGTTGACGTTGTCGGCTATGGCAATAAGACGCAAAAAACCGTTTCACGAGGTGGTGAATGCACAGGGACTCCCTCAAATATGTGACGACAACTCAAATATTGTGAGACGTGGAGTCTGGCTCTTCGTCCTCTGTGGCGCATTAGCATTCACGGCTTTCAACATCAACAACCAAATATGGTTATATCTATCGGTTCCCGTCAACGTAAGGGTGGACAATGTCCTAGACAAAACACTCCCTTTTCCTTCCCTCACTATCTGCAATAACAATTTATACCTAAAATCATCACTAACGACTATTGGAATGGAAGATATTATTTACGGATTGTTTCAATTTACTGATATCAAGGACCAACTGTCCCCAGCTAAGGCCAGTTTTGATGACACACCTGCGGATTATTCTGATGGCCATTACCGACTTAACCTTTCACACTCCATTGAAAGAACTGTTGCCAAGGTATGTAAGCAGTATTACAAACTTTCTACTGAAGCTTCCAACTGTGTTCTGAGTTATAAGACCCGTGAAGATCCGGGGTAGAATAGGTCATCAGAAACCCATGCTTGCCATAAAAGGCGACTATGCGTGTCGTAAGAGGGGACTAACGGGATCGGGTGGTCAGGCTCGCTGACTTGGTTGATGCATGTCATCGTATCGCAATTGCGTGGATCGATGCTCATGATATCAATCACTGGATTGTCTGGTCCAGACTCGATTATTTACAGACCGCAGTCATATAGCTGGAATATTGCTGAGTGCGGCGAAAAACAACCAACCTTCCAACAACCAATCTGAATTATTATTATGCCTGACATTGCTAGTTCAGATGACGGACACTTCGACCTCTATGGATGACGAATATTATGGATGGGAACGTGGTGACACTGACAATGTTGTAAATCAGTTGCCCACATCAAACGTCATCATTATAACATTTGAGCTAATATTTTTGTAAAATACAAATTCATGTTTCATTATATATTTAATTAAATGTATTTTTGCTTGTATTTAATGGAATCTTGTAACAAGAATCGAGGCACACGATCTGATAAGGCCACCTTTTACCCCAAAGATCATCGTCAATACTTCACAGGTTACAATACTTGTCAGTGTAGTGGGGATGTTTATTTATTTCCAGTCAGCAAATGAAATTTGGCCTTATAAAGGTTTAAAAAAAACAATATACGCCTATAGTAACGTAAGGAACAAGGAATTCAACGGCAGTAGCGGCCATAAAATTTCCGTGTCCCGTGATGGGATTCGAACCACGGACCTTCTGATCCGAGGTCGGACGCCTTGTCCACATGACCAAAGAGGTTAACCCCGTCAGCAAGCTGACAAGGTAAGGATGTTTTCTGTGGGATGACTCCACGCCCTGCTACATGTACATGTGTGCACAATTCCCCTTAAAGCTCCACTAATAACACAAATTTTGCCTATTTTTGGCCCGCTCCTTTTCCGAGTACAGGAAGAGAAACACCCCTTTTTTCACCAAATGACATCTGCTTGAAAATATCTGTGATCACATTTAAGCAAAAGTCATCAAGTTGAAAATGACAGCATTAAATATTGAAAAATACATGGTAAGGTTCAATTACTGGGCGGAAGCACTGTAAAAAAACATAAAAACTCTTACACAAAAGTATTCAATCACAGATGCCAGATTTCTAAACATAAACTCAATCAGGATGAACTGACTCATCAGATTTAGTGTAGTAGAACCTGTAACACATGGAAGTCAACCGAGCCCAACTCAATGCATGAAACTGCTGTCAACCCTACGATTGCATGATTATTTTGCAATGTGCAGAGCACGAAACATATTGACGTGTGTGCGATGTCCACGACTCGCTGGCTTTCATCTCGCTTGAACTAGGCAAAGTAAAGTAAGTACGACTGTAGTTTGTGTAAATACTGACGTAAATTTATAGATAGTTGTAGAGTGTTGGTGACGGTCACTGTTAGTGTAGACAGAGATCGAATCTGCTTTATTTTTTTACTAGGATTGGTCATAGCCGGGATATTCGACAACGGCTGAACAGCTTAACACTCTTGACTGTTTCCTATATATGTGGAAAGGCGGAGTTCATAATTAACATGGTTCAATGATAAGAAACAACCCTTATGTATTTCTTCTTGCTGGGGAATCCCCGAGGCGCCACAGCAAAGTTGAAGTAGTCAATCAGTGTTTACGTCGTTTCAAGCAGTCTCGTAAAAAAAACGTCTGAAGATCAAAATGTGATTAGTCTCTTGTAAACGGTCTGGTGACCAGAGTGTCTTATCCAATGAGACAAGCCGTATATAGCGTAAACTTCCCAATACAAAAATATTATGTATTGAATAGCCAAATCAGTAAAAGGGTAACATTGGAATGTGAAACAAAAATACACTTCGACATTTCCGAAAGAATTTCTGGCTTTTACCACTCAACAAATAAAGCGCAATAACGTTGTAATTTATGCTTTAAAAAAGGAAAGGAATTTCTGACTTTTACTACTTATTGAAAAACCCCACGTGTAACCAGCAAAAGGGGTGTAAAGGTTATGTAAATATCATGATTTTTTCATGTCAACCATATTCGAACATGCTTTCATTCAGTGTAACTGGGAGTCAGCGCCCTGTGGACAAGACGACTTTATCTACAAGGAAACTGATATGGGTACATGTTTTACATACAATGGTAAGTTGAACATATTTACACATGCCTGCTTCACTTTAAAGTCACCTGAACTAAAGACTAGTGTGGTAGTAAGTGATGGTGGCTTTTTCGCAGTGGAGATTCCTCTTGACGAGTGAATGCTCAGGACCAAGGAGGTTAAAACTTGAATTGCCTGTTCTTGCAAATGATGACAAGTAGTTGATTTGCTTCGTTTTCCATAATGTCAGCAACATTCTTACATTTGAAGGTAGGGGCCATCAATATTTGGCTTCAAGTCTTTACTTATGTTGCTCATGATAAACCAGCCTAAAGGCTTCCTGACAATGAAATGTACTTTGGCATAAATATGCAGATTGAATTAATTGAAAATATCTAAACACAACATTTTTATGTGAATGAAGTGGTAACAAAGATTATTAAACCTGAAATTCATAATGAATGCAGATTTGAGTATTTTATGTTTATAACCGTAAATCATACAAGCATTTCTAGGTGAGCTCGTTTATTTAATGCAAATGTGGCCCTATCTCGAGGAAAATATGAGGAGCATTTTTAACAGATTGGATTTCAAAGATGCCCAATATGTCTTCAACTGAACTAATCTTTCTCTTTCAAAACTCTCACACGTGCTTTCTGTTGCAGTCAATGGTTCTCTGCGTGCTCGGAACTCCGGACGTGCCCATGGGCTGCGCCTCTTGCTGAATGTCCAGGAAGAGGAATACACTCGGAGCCGTGACGGGTACCTTGGAACCGGTTTCATGGTGAATGTTTATGCCCCCCCCCCCCCCCCCCCCCCCCCCCACACACACACACATACACAGTGCCGTATTGAATTGTCGTCGTTGGGCTACACAGTAACTCAACATAACCTCCACAGCACTTTGGTTGCTCCGTGGATATGTGGATATCAGAACGAATGATGGTTATTGTGAAACTGCTAACATAACTGATATTATTCACGTTGACAGCTGCTGTTAACGCTACCAGAAAGCAGCCATCTCAAAACAGGGAAGCTGCTTGTGCTACATAACGTGACTGACTAAATAAGCGCCCTCTCCTTACCGCATTTGAAATCTTTCCATGTATGGCCATGATCTGATCGGTTATTTCTAGTGCTAATTTCTATTTGTTATGACCTCAAGATCGCTGTACACGGTCCGGAGGTGACCCCAATCATGTCTGAGATGGGCATAGCTGTAGCTCCCGGCTTCCAGCACTTCGTGGGTATAGGAGTGAAGGTCAGTTTCATGTTCTGTTAATTATGGGAAATGATAATTGATAATTAAAAACAGTCAAAATTGCCACTTTTCTCCAGAAAAAAATCGCAAGTACCGGGTGTTTCGGGTATCTGAATTCAGTGTTGTTAATTACTACTATATTGTCAGTGATTTCCGTATGACAGTAACAAGTAGGATAACTCACGACAAGGACTATACGCGGTGTGCTTTTTTCTATCAACGACATCTATAATTATTAAGAAGGTTAACAGTCATTTAGAAAAGTACATTCAATTGCATTTGTCAGCCTGGACCAGGAACAACCTGGAATATATATACGGTATGAAGTTGTTAGAATGGTGCCTGGTTGTTGTGCAATTATAGTTTTCAAAAGAATTATATTTAAATTTCTAGTGCAAAGTTAAGATGGTATACTAAAGGAACAGTCACAATGAATACCTGATATGATAACCTGAAGCTACATTGCATGGTGTTATTTCTGTATTATGACAGAGGGTAACAGCAAAGGAGGGTGTAGGTGGCTGTGGCAAGAAGCCTCTGAAGTATCTAACGGGAAACTATTCCCGACATTCATGCAGACAGGAGTGCCAGATGGATTTCATCCTCAGCATGTGCAACTGCAGGGACATGTCAAATCCAAACAAGGATTTTGCATTCTGCAAGCCCCAAGAGTACCATGAATGTTTCGCCCCAGCTAAAAAGAAATATCTGCAGACAGACACTGGGTGTGAAGCTGGATGTCCTGAACCATGTAGCTATACCAGGTTCACCACCCAACACTCCAGCTCTCCACTGTCCAGGAACTACATTACTGAGTACACCAAGGCCAAGGGTAAGACTGAAGAGTACTGGCGGAAGAATCTCGTCATTCTGGAGATGTATTTCAGTTCTATGATCTATGAACACATGGAAAAGCAGCTGGGGTATGAAATCCTGGATTTATTTTGTGACATAGGCGGAGCATTGGGACTGATGCTTGGTGCCAGCCTACTGACAGTGTTGGAAGTGTTTGATTTCATGTTTCTTTCTGTCTTCTCGGCGGTGTTTGAAAAGAACAAAGTTCGTAGGATTGACATCGGCGATAACGCCAAATAAAGCATGGATAATCTGAATGGAAAACATCAATGTACATGTACATGAATAATTTGTATGACTATTTTTATTTGACTGCAGATGGTTAATTTCCTAATCAATGAAATTGCTTATTTCGACAATTGTTTATTTCGTTCTCGGATAATACGTAGCTGAGACCTTTAATGAAATGAATGACACTGATCAATTTTTTAAAGTAGCATCGTTGTGGGGTAGGTTAGGACAATTGTTTAAGATGTTGTCTTTATTAACATCAAAGTCTGGAAGTATTTTTGAAGACTGGAATTGCACCATAACAATAATGTAGGTTTTTCATTACTTAGCCATTTCTGCATGTACTATTTTGATATTCATTATACTTTTGTAAAGCAAGTTTACAGTATGCTGAACGTTGTTTTTTTTATCAGGTGTGTGGCAACTTTTGTCGCAAGATTTGACCTTCATGTTGTAGGATGTTGTATTTCTGTGGCTTATTCAGATCACAGTATATTAGAACCTTTCTTCTATGGTCTTGATTTCAGTGTAATAATACAAATATTACTGAAACTTTAATTGAAACTTGTTTAAATGCATCAATTATAATACATTATTGATAAGAAAGGTTACTTTTATTAAATATAGGGTATTATCTAATATCAGAAAAGTGCATTTTAAAAACTTTGAACATTGTTACATGAATGTCTAAATCTGGAGTCTACCTCACATGCATACATGCGTAGGTGGCAAGAGTGGCAGAAATTTGAAGATGTACTCATAATTTCCAATTTGCATTTTGGTTGCATTTTGGAAGCCCCGAGTAAAAACGCAACATAAACAAGAGTGCTCTGAGAGCACAACATCCCCCACGTGAACTTTTTTAACAACTTTATATTTTATGAAAAAACAACAGTAGATGGGACTGCATTTGAAACAAATTGTGCAGAACATTTTGTTGGGAGTAATCCAGTCTGAATGCTAATGCCATAAGGATGTAGCTCACCCACAAAAGCCTTATACAAGGAAACTAACTATAGTTATAGTTATAGTTAGATATTGTGATATTCTCTGGAAACTTGAGGAGTAGATTTTATGAAGCTCCGTAAAACAGGGGCAGTAACTCTGTCAAAATATGTCGAAATGAAACGGGACTGCGATATGCGTATCATCAACATGTCGACATCTTGTGTATAGAGTGTCAGGGAAATTCTCTAAAAGCTGGAGGAGGAGTTGATTTCACAAGCTTAGTACCCTCTCTCACAATTAGGCAAATGAAGCTCCGTAAAACAGGGGCAGTAACTCTGTCAAAATTAGTCGAAATGAAACGGGGCTGCGATATGCGTATCATCAACATGTCGACATCTTGTGTGTAGTGTCAGGGATATTCTCTAAAAGCTGGAGGAGGGGTTGATTTCACAAGCTTAGTACCCTCTCTCACAATTAGGCAAATGAAGCTCCGTAAAACAGGGGCAGTAACTCTGTCACAATTTGTCGAAATCAAACGGGACTGCGATGTGCGTATCATCAACATGTCGACATCTTGTGTGTAGAGTTTCAGGGATATTCTCTGGAAACTGTAGGAGGATTTGATTTCACAAGCTTAGTACCCTCTGTGGGACGGACAGACGGACGGACTGCGCCACAACATAATCCCCCTTCGAATCGTCAAAACGTACCATTTCAATGAATATTAGGGTATCATGCACCCCTTTCTCGCGAAATCGAAAACGCACGAACTGTCACGAACTGAAGTGGGTATAATACTGTGGCCGATTCTTGGACCTACCAATCCTTGGTCAACAATGCCACGCCTAACTCAAATTCAGAGAATCCAGGCTATCGGACGTTTGGAAGCTGGAGAGTCTGTCCAAGATGTTGCCCGTCATTTCAACGTTAACATAACCACAATTTACCGTCTCCTGCATCGATACAATGCTACACACACCACAGATGACCTTCTTCGGAGCGGTCGTCCTAGGGTCACCACATCTCGACAAGATCGGCAGATTACCCGTCAACACCAGCGACATGCGTTCCTAACTGCAAGTGAAAGTGCTCGACAGACCAAAGAAACACATAATCGACACATAAGCAGGGACACTGTGATCCGACGTCTCCGTTCCAACAACCTCAGAAGTCGCCGACCAGCACTTCGTCCTGTTCTCCAACCACGGCATCGACAAGCACGACTTCAGTGGGCACAGGGTCATCACAATTGGCGTCATCATGAGTGGAGGCGGGTCATCTCTGACGAAAGTCGCTTTTGTGTCTCCCATGCAGACGGAAGAGTCAGAATTTGGCGGCGTCGAGGTGATCGTTTCGCTGACAGAAACGTTGTGGAAAGGGATCCATGGGGTGGACCTTGCGTCATGATATGGGCAGGGATTGGACCTAATACGAGACTTGGACCCATGTGCTTTCTGAATGTTGGTCAAGGTCGGGGACACGGCGTCACTGCTCAGCGGTATATCGACCAAGTGATCAGACCCCACGTTGTTCCATTTTTTTTGCACATCAACAACACATTTTCCAGCAGGACAACGCTCTTCCCCATGTTGCCAGAGCTACCATGGCCTTTCTGCAACAACACATCAGTGTTCTACCGTGGCCAGCCCCCAGCCCTGATCTGAACCCCATCGAACGCTTGTGGGAGGTTCAAAGGCGTCCCTACAACTGCCGATGAACTACGCAGAGCTGCTCTGGATGTGTGCAGGAGGATCCCTAGGGCCTTCACAAATCCACTAAATGTACAGGAGATGTGTGGCAGTGATCAATGCTAATGGTGGTCACACCAGGTATATATAATTGACTGACATTTTGGGTATTGACCCGAAACTGTGTAAGCCCTTAACATTTGAAAAAAACCAATTATGTCATCTGCCTTTTAATCCATTAAACTGTCTTCAGTCAATTTTTTGTCAATCTTTGTCAGTATTTCTTGTCTTTACTGTTGAAAATAAATAACATGTATACTGCATACTCGACTTGCGTTTCTTTTGCGTGTGGGTATACCTTTTTAAGCCATATACTTTGTTCTGACCTTAGTTTATTCACGTTAAAAATGAGAAATGCTTTATGTAGAAAATGGAATGAATTGGAAGGATTTGTAAAAAGAGGTCTCATCAGGAATTGAATTCATGTTTTCGCCAGTAACAGGAGTTGCAGATTTATTAATATTTTGGAAACATTTAGTAACATATGTACATCCATCATTTCCAGGTACACATTTTGAGGTAAGATCATCATGGCCAAGAAAAGGTTCTACTTTGTAATGTGTGTTCAGGGTACAGAAATCAACAGTCTCGCCACTTCTCACACTAATCTGAAGTGGGCCTGTTCTACTCCGTAAGGGTACAAAAACACACTCACATAAGTGATCATATTCCCGACGAAAGTGTGTCTACTAGCCTATATCAAAGTGTAGTTTTCACCTTTGCAATTCCATGCCTACCTTTCCGTGCTAAAATATGAGAAGACCATTCTCGCATACCGATAGTCAAATCAGAGGTGAGGTGAAATGGGGTTTAACGTCGCGTCCAAGATTATTGCACTTATATAGCGACGTGCATGTACGTGTGGCTGCTTGTACTAGTCCGGACTGATGCCGATTTATAGTGCTAGCACACTGAGATACCATGCCGCAGTTTAACATGAATACCCTACTCAGACAGAGTATACTGACTCCGAGCCGACCAGTCCTTGTTTTAGCCCCTTAATGCCGAGCGCCAGACAGGGTAACAACAAGTACCATCTTTTAACGTCTTTTGGTATGACGCGGTCGGGGATCGAACCCCGGACCTTCCGCTCTCCGGGCGGACGCTCTACCACTAGACCACGGAGGCGGTCGTCAAATCAGAAAAAGTTTAAAAAAATCAATATCAGGGTTCCAAACAAGAGGTGGCAGCTATGTCGGGGCAACCTACTGTATGAGGGACACAACTCTCCACATAGATTGGCAGTCGTGAACGATTAGCTTATCCCTGACCAAACAATGAAAACATATATATTCTTTTAAGTGTTAATGCAGATATTGTTTACAGAGGACATTAGAACTGATAATTGCTATTTGATAATCCCACTCTTACAAATGAATGTGGCATTGCACCATCAAACGTATTCACGTTTGACATTAAATAAAACGTAAGTGTTTTCACGTGTTACCTCCAGTAAAGGATATTACGCAGAAACGTTGAGTAGACAGTAAATAGCGTGAAAACATGAAGTATGTTGCATGACAGCACTGTACACATTATACCAACGTAACACAAATACATTTATGTACTTTGCAGTGATTGGTGATGGTAATGATATTGATCAATAAATATACATTCAATACCCTTATGACACAGCATATATGTTTAGGTTTATTTTTTAGTTTCTTGTTCGTTTAATGTTGGATCTGTGATACCTTCCTTATGGGCTAATGTTGGTGTTGTAAAGCATGTATAGCAAGTAAACGCGCTTTTGACGTTGTAGGTTTCAAATAATGCTGAAGAGACGTTTATTATTAAATCATTTGACACCACATCACACGTTAAGCAGTCATACTGGGGTCATCAAATGAGTGAGAGAGTTGGGTTAAACGCTGCTTTTAACGTTATTCCAGTTTTATCACGGCGTGTCAGCTTAATGTGGGAGGAAAGCCCGAAGTGATGCAGGTCTCAGACAAATTTTGATTTGTTGGTATGTGTAGGTATTTGATATGTTTGGGGTTTAGGCGTTATTGAGAAATATTTTCTATTTTATTTTAAGATTAATTCACTGAATATGTTCTTAAAGTGTTTGAGTCAATTATAAGTAGAATGAACGTGTCACATTTAACTGAGGTTGAATAATAAACATCAGCCTTGAAATTTCTAAACAGTGCATATCATTACTATACAGGAGAACGCAGGTTGTTAGTTTATTAAGGCGACACTTTTTTTTATTTCTTGGTTTACGGATTTCAAACTCATTTCAAAAGTGAGGCAGGCCAATTTAAAAAAACAAACAAAACCCTCTCACATTGTTTTTACTTGAATTTTGTCCTATGAAAACAAATATCCTGGAGTAACAACAGTAATATAACTCAATTTTTCAAGAACATTTTATAATATCCCTGGCACTTAGCTTGTGCACAAATGGCAATATAACAATATTCATGTCATGGGTTGAAATGCATGAAATCCTCTGCTATTTTGGCAACACCAGCCAACCAGAAGATTACTGCTGTGACACAAGTTCCCAGAGACTCTTTTGTGATAGATGAAGCCAACATTTATCAAGGACATTATCTGGTTGTTTTTCTGAACGTTTTAAGCATGAAATCGCGATCTATATTAAACATATGGAACTTTATGGATGCATAGTGCTAGGTTACGAGCTGTGACAAAGATTTATGATGCATATATTTTGGCATTAAAGACTTCGTGCCCGAGCCGAGAAATCGAGGCGACGAAAGACGAGATGTCATTTGACTTACGATTACACGCGATCGCACGAAAAAATAATAACTTAGATGTCAGTTTGGCAACTTTTAGATATATTTTTGTTGATTTTATTACTTTGAATAATATATTCAAAGATTTGCTTTATTTTGCTGTTTGACATGTTCGATAAGGACCCGTTGTCGAAGTGTGTCCGAGAATTTTATTTTCAATAACATTGCGGGAAATAGTGTCTAGTGAAGTTTTAATCTATAGATAAAAAATGATAAAATCAAATGGAATACATATTTCAGACATTGTGAAATGTGATAGATTAAATAAATGAATGATATGACAAGTAGGTTAATATAATTATGAACTATTTTGACGTGACTTGGTCGGTCTACCCTGCGGTGCATTCTCATTAAAATCAGACCTTAGTTCTCGCTACCGCTAAACAAAGATCTGAGGACATCCCATTGTGGGTCACGTCAGAACGACCTTTCATCCAACCAATCAGAGCGTCGCTTACCAGATCATGCAAGTGACAGTCGGAATGTGATTTCTAATCATGCAAACTCGAAAACTTTAACACGGGGTATTCCGAACGACAGTTACGGGTTTAACGACTGAATCCATACAATCTGGACTATCTATTAGCAATTCACAATGTTTTTTGTTCAGGTTTCAAATTTTAAATCGAATTTAAATCAAAATAAGCTTCGAAGCGTGGTCACCAGTTTGAAATTAGTGCCGTAAAGCACAAGAAGCTGAATTCTGATTGGTCATTCCATTGGTCGGTCAAAGTTCGCTGGAGGTCGGTCTGATATGACCCGTAATGGGATGATCTCAGATTTTTGTTAAGCGGTAGAGAGAACTAAGATCTGGGTCCACTTGCACAAAGCGATCTTAGCGCTACAATTATTGTAAATCCTTAAGATCGCGATCTTAGGCTTCGGCTACAATCGTCATCCACTTGCACAAAGCGATTGTAGACTAAGATCATTGTAAGCTACAATCGAAACTTACAATTGGTCCGGACCAATCTTAAGTAGCTAAGATCGTTGTAGTCCCTGAATAAACTTGACAAAATGGCGTGCAAGGCTGTTTCACATAAATAATCTGCTTTACGTTCAAACATTGCCTCGTATCATTGGAATCGACACTTTAACAACATGAAGAACGCACCACAGATTTAACGTCAGAAATATCGTTAATTACCATAGTTAAACACGTAACTATCGTGTTGATAGCTAAAAGGAATATTCCCATCCGACTCAATACTGAAAGAAATGTGAAACAACATACCTTTTCGCTAAACAAGAGAAGGATATAAACCTAAGTCGTCCCGCAAGCGATTTGTAACGTCCGTGACCTTTTCGATAAATCAAGGGCAGCTAATCTTAGTTTATACTCAAGATGGGAGTGGTTTCCCTTTGTATAAGCCTGTAGTGTACAATCTACCTTACCCAGTGTATCAATGTTGTTGAATCGCTGAGCTTCCCCTATACTTTTTTTGGGTCATATTCGTGTCAGTTATTTTGTCTTTAGTTTATCATGAAATTAATCTACAAATAAATACAAGCTGAAGAGCAAATAATACATGTTTAAATCTAAAATCAAATGGGACGGGGACGAGCGGTTAAATATCAGAGTTAAAAATTAAAAAAATAATTCATCAAACAAGCAAATATACATGATGAAACATTTGATTTTTTTTGCAAATATCCCATAAATAGCAAACATTAATGCCTAGGGAATATATAATAACAGTTGCTTTCTCGAAACATTATTCATTATTCTTATTTCCCGTCTATGTGTTTTTGAAAGTTCCTGTCTTTCTGTGTTTTTGAAATGGTAGTCATAACATCCTTTGTTGTAGCAATGAAACGAAAACATGAAGGATATATTTAGGATTTTACGAAAAACTCCCCCTTATTTTTTTTTTACCTTGGTCAAATAAGTGATATTAAACTTACACTCAGCAATATTCCAGCAATATAACTGCGGTCTGTAAATAATCCAGACTGGACCAGACAATCCAGTGATTGATATCATGAGCATCGATCCACGCAATTGGGATCAAAGACATGCATCAACCAAGTCAGCGAGCCTCACCACCCGATTGCGTTAGTCGCCTCTTACGACAATAACAAGGTACAGTCTCAAAGACAGGGAATGAGGTAACTCTTGTAGGATACTGAATATACCGATACAAGTCAGTGAGTGAGTATGATTTTACGCCGCTTTTAGCAAAATTCCAGCAATATCACGGCGGGGGACACCAGAAATGGGCTTCACACATTGTACCAATGTTGGGAATCGAACCCAGGCCTTTGGCGTGACGAGCGATTGCTTTTAACCACAAGGCTACCCGACCGCCCCTACCGGTACAAGCATAAGGACAGGCTTGGATATGTGATTCTGGCTTAGGCATTCTGAAACTTGGAGTTCGGTTTCTGATTTGGCCTTCACTAGAGTCAAAATCTGCACACAAATAATGTTGTATGACAGTATCTGTATGCGAGCAGACAACCTCCTGGACTGAATGCTTTCTTTCCTACGATCATCATCTGCAGCCAGAGTCCATTTGGGAGATCAGTTTAAGTAAATGCAGGACTGGTGGAAGTCAATTAATAAAATCTGCCCAATCCGGCTTGACCCAGGTTAACTTTTCTGCCTCCACACCCCCTTCCCTCCCATACCCTAATTATCATGATTATATATGTACCAAGTTTCAAGCCTGTGTGCTATGCCAATAAAACAATAGTACAAAAAAACTTTTCTATAATCATAAGAAATCTCCGTTAATAAATATATGATGAGGTGCATAAATACATAAATCATAATGTTGAAAAACCTGCATTAAATATTGTTCACTTTCTGAGGGAAGTACAAAATAGATATAGGAGTCTTTGGCTCTCCATCACCAACTAGAGACAAAGCAATATGTATTTCTTTAACACACACAATATGTATTTCTTTAACACACACAATATGTATTTCTTCACCTTTATAATAGGGGAGTAGTTTGGTCTTCAGACTGTATCATATCCCGCAGACACCCCCCACCAATACATGTCAAGAAATTTCATGACTCACTCCTCCCTATAATTAATGACCAGTCCCTAAATAATGTTCAAATCTAATTTTTTTTAATTTGAAAAATATGGCACCATGTCATTTTTTTCCAAGGGGAAGCAGAGATTGGTAATATGTCACTTGATTGTGACATCACAATGATCTGCAAATCATTCATAGTTTGTTTGTTGAACATCCAAGTGTTGACTTCTGTACAAAGTTAATTAAGAATTCAAAGCAATTATGTTGAACACCCAGACAGAAACCATAAAATTAATTAAAACACATTTCATGCATAAGTCCTTCAAAAGGAATTCTGTGTATATATATATTGATCATTTATATTTAATACTTAAGACAGAGGAATAATGGTTCCTTAAGTCAATCAAACATGCACTGCCAACGTCAGCAGGTACATGACCTGTCAAGAGTCTGTGGTCGAACACATCAAGACAACTTTGGTCAAACATCTAACACAAGTGCAAGGCAAATCACGGCATTATTGTCAATTGGTAAATTACTTTAGTCTTTTTTGCTCTATTGTGTACAGACAAATATTTAATAAAAACCCATTTCTTGTGGTCGGTGGTGTTATGAATCTTGGTGGATTGATCATAATGGCTGTTCTGAAATCTCATGACCTAATCATCCATTTAACAAACTATCAAAAGCTTTGTGACAAAAGTGCGACAGCAGCTGAGTCTTCAACATTCTTGGAACAGTTGATAACCAAGAGCAGAGAATCCTTATAACTTCCCTGACGATAAGGGCACTGTAGGTCGGTTGCCTTCACTTCTAGGGCAAGTGTACTTTATGCATTAGACTCTCATCTCAGCACTCATAATTGAACAACCCATGTTGTTAGACACATGAGTTTAGTGATCAACTTAATACTGGGACTAACATCCGACTGTTCTTGTTTTGTTTTGTCTTTAGATGAATATGAAGTAAGACGAGTTCTATGGATGAACAAGTCACTTGCTTGATAAAGGTGTTAGGATCTACACCTAAACGTCGCACTAATTGTAATAAAGACGTTGTTCATCCATAGAACTCGTCTTACTTGATCACACCAACTTCTAAATGCCACTGAAAGAAGTTTAGATGAATATGTAAAAAACAAAAACAAGACAAGTCTTTCATATACCAAGGTTTTAATGTTTCCTTTAGTAGGGAAAAGTTATATTCTTGGAAAACAATATGAACACAAATGCAACATGCTTCAGCATAACTAACAGGGTGGCAGTCACTCAAGTCATGTAACTCATCACTAAATTAAGTCAGAAAATGACAGCTGAAAACTTTTCATCTTTTCAAAAATCCAATAACAAATTAATAATTATTTAGAAAGAAAACAGAATAAACAAATTCTAATATCCTTATTAACTGATGATTTTTTTATGATGTGTGAAATGTGCATAAATTAACAAAACTGTAAGGAGAAATCTGGTCCAAACCAGCATCTACCAGTCGCGGAGGCACTTTTGACCAGTGCCCACTTGTTCAGGGTGACCTCTTGACCTCTACAGATAGGCTGCCCAACCAATGTACATTTGACTCAAGTTCTTCTCATCTGTGGCTTCCTGGCAACGAAAGTATGATGAGTATCAGAAACATGCATCTCATACAACAATTTAGGTTCATAGTCTTGCATGTATCACTGTGAGGACTCCAGGTTAGAATTGATCCCTCTTGAGTTCCGCGAGTTAGTTTTTAAACAGGCGACACAGATATCAGAAATCAAACTATAGCTATCATTGTCAAAAATTCAATGAATACTAACTCTACCCTACCTCTATTTAATATCAGAAACATGCATCTGATACAACAATCTATGTTTCATAGGGTTGTGTGCACCCCAAGGGGATTTCCGGTTAGAATAGGTCCCCAGCAACCTATGATGGTCAGAGGGGGAATGGTTGGTGATGCTTGGTGACTTGTCTCATTGTGTCATCGTACCCCTATAACGTGGATCGTTGCTCATATCAATCACTGGATTGTCTTGTCAAGATGACTTGATTATTTACGAGCCACATCATTTAGCTGTGCTGGTAAAGATTTGAGGGTAAAAAAGGAAGGTCCCACATAGCAGACACCATTGTTCATTTCCAACTGGTCACCAGTTCAGTTAAGGCCAGTTTCTTTGTTTGTTGTTTAACTCCGCACTCAGCAATATTCCAGCTACATGACGGCGGTCTGTAAATAATTGAGTCTGGACCAGACAATCAAGTGATTGATATCATGAGCATGGATCCACGCAATTGGGATCGATGACATGCATCAACCAAGTCGGCGAGCCTGACCACCCGATCCTGTTAGTCACCTCTTATGACAAGTATAATCGCCTTTTATGGTAAGCATGGGTTGGTGAAGACCTATCCTTCTTCCTCTTGTGGAAGAACACAAGTAGTCCCTCACTAGTCCCACATGAACAGACTAGTGGCTGTGTCCCACCCTGGCATCATCCAGTTGTAATTTCAGTCATCTCTTAATGGGGATCTACTCTACCCTGTTATCACCATCTGACTCAACATTTCTCAAGCATACCTTAATGAGATAGTTGACGTGTCCCTCGATGGAAAGGGGCAGCCCTCTTGGTTTCGTCTTGTTCTTCAGGATTCCCTTCAGGCGATGTTCAATGTTCTGGACATGATTCATGGCCTGGAACAAATGGCACAGAATCTGTCATAAGCTCTCCTGTAAAGACTGTCACAGCCTTGTGTTCTTCAAGACAAATACTGACAAGTTATTTCTGATCTTGAAACAACCCTACCATCTACTTGATTCCATGAATGTCACACTAAATATCTTTCAATCACATTGGAGGGGCCACTACTACATCAGTATGTTGACATACTATGATTTATTACCCACAGGGTTAGAACTTACCGACTTCATAAAAATCGACTGTGCACTAGTGCAAATTCACTTCTCGTGCAACAGTTTATTGTTTCCGTCATCCGGAAGGAATTGTTGACGTCATTCAAATTCATTGTGACGTAAGGACGGAATGACGTCACACTAGAAACGACTTCATAGCTGAAGATTGTTGACGTCATTCGACAAATTGTGGTATTCTAAGACAGCGGTGTTGATCAGTAAATGGGTGCTCAAAAGGATTACGAATAATGGGTAATAAAGAAATTATTACACATTCATGTGTGTCATACTGATTTTACTAAACTTGTGTAAGAATACATGCACTACCTGAGCTCTCGCTCGGAAATACAAGAATTCTGACACTCGATTCATAAAACCAGTATGACACACATGCTCGTATAATAATCTTTATTTATTGGTCATCCCTGAGAGAAACTAACCTGCTCATTGGAGATTTCTCCCGATTCAGTTGGATTTGACCTTTGACCCCTGGCAGGCTTGCTCCATTCGACCAAGGGGTCGTAGATGAAGGGCTTCAGGATGCTGACACAAGGAATACAACATCAGTCACAACTAGGACATGAGGAAAAGAATCTAGGTGCAGCACAACAACAACATCCAAGTTGGTTTTAGAAAAGACACATTTTCTTGAAAATGTTTACTTTAGATATCTAGTTTAGCTCATAAATCAAATAACGTATTGTTTGACTGGTTACAAAAATAGAGCAGCATAGTTCTGTAGCTCACCTACACAGGTCAGAATGATCTGGCAGAGCTCCAGATAAGCTGCGTATCTGCGTAAAATACGCATCAGAAATGCAGAAATACGCAGTAAAATAAAATCCAAGCGTATCAAATACGCAACGAACATTACAGATACGCTACAAAAATAAAACTTGTGCGTATCATCAAAATATTGTGAAGTAACCCTGAGTATTCGATTAGCAAATCAGCAACTTATTTTGAAATTATAAACGGGCATTCCGTCAACCTTGCCAAACTCCACGATGACAGTTACATCATGATCATTTGCCATCACACTTTCTTGTGGTATTTTTTAGTCCTATGAAGCTCTCGAACCTACACGACACCAGTTTGCAGGTACCAGATGAATAGTGTTTTTAAATATTTAAATTAAATACCCACATGTGTAAAAACCAGTGGGTAACAGAAATTTGAATACCCAGACAGAATTACTGATACCCAATGATTTTAAAATACATGGGTAAAGTACCCACAAACACCAAAAGCTTATCTGGAGCTCTGCATAGGTGAAAGAAAATAAGCAAAAAGAAATAACAGAAGGGTCTATCTAACAGACACCATGTTCAGTTATACACTGTTACATACTTCACTGGCCAGAGGGCTAAAATTACACATTCACCATGGCGGCAATGGTTGTATGTGGTATCTTAGGGTTACCTACCATGATATTGGGTCGACAACATATTTGCAACCAATAAACATATATGACATTTTCAATATGGTCGCCATGGCCCCTATTTTAAAAATAAATCAGAATTCTGGGTGCTGTTTATTTTGGAGAAATAATAGTTGAGATTATCCATGCAAAGTTTCAGGCCTTGTGGGTGAAAATGAGATATCACTTGACTTTCAGCCAGGTGAGCTAAAAATGTCCCTAAATATGAATTTGTGCAGAAACAGCTAGAGTCCAACCTCATGAGAGGGTCCATCTGGTTCCTCATCACTCGCAGCGTCACCTCACATGCCTGTCGGAAGATCCCCTCCACCCCCATCGGACCCTGTCAAGAGTTCCATGTTTGATAATTACCAGCGTAAGACATTCATTGGATGTGTCTTAAAGGACAAGTTAAATCTGGAAAGCCACCAGACCAGCTGGCTCATTAAACATCACATATAACTAGAGACAACTCCTGAGTTGTTCCAGCCATGCAATACAATTATTTGTACCAACTATATTCAGCAAGTATTTAATTGTTACAACCAAACGTAGAACTTTACCAGTTCCCAGTTAACAAAAACATACTATTAGGGTTGGTGTTTGGCTATTGGGAGTTTACAGCTAAGAGCTTCATGGAATGTTAAGATTTACTATTCATTACAATAATAAGCAATACCAGTACAGAAAGCTGTTCTCACCAGAGCACCGACCATGTTGTGAGTCAAGCGGAAGGGCACTCGCTCTGGCCACTCAAACGTCTCACCCTGACAAAACATGACAGTATGAACATTAAAATATTTTCTCCATCTACAAGACTTAAATCACCATGGATACTGATAAACAAATATCTCTTTTCTGTCAAATGTGCATGTTATTTCAAGTCAGCATAATAATGTTCAGGCAAAGTAACATGCTTTATATTGTCTTTCAAGACCATCTCGTAAACTATCTGAACAGATAAATGAAAGAATTTGTGCAATGACATTGACTGCATCGATGCAGAATGAAGATTTGTAGGCTGTCCTTGTCATGGAGAAACTATACAAGTCATGTGTACATATATATATAATGTCACACATCAGGGATCAAATTTCCTTATATTTGAATGATAATGACATGATCAAAATAGTAATGACATGATTAAAGTTCTTCCCCTGGGCCTTGCAGGCACACTTAGAAAACATTGTGGGGAAGAAACCACAAAATAAAAGTTACAAAATGACGGTTTTATAGTGTGAGTTTACATGCCGCAGTTTAACATGAATACCCCTCTCAGACACCCTGTACTGACTGAGCGAAACAAGCTTGTTTTAGTCCCTTAATGACAAGTGCAAGACATGGTAACAGCGTAGCCAATGTAAATAAAACAGACACTAGCCAATATGCATGATATGTCCAAACCAAACAGAAAAATACACTTGGAAATTGAAATTGAAATGGGTATTAACAATCTCAATGAAAATGACCTTTCTAAATTACAACTGCCTCTTATCTCCAGCCTTGGAGAAATTAATCGAGTTAGTTGACACACCTTAATTCCTTAGGACAAACCTTTACATCTTGTAGTGCCTTGTGACACCTCTGATCAAAACAAACACATATTTCTATCTGTGTACCTTATTGAAGAGACAGTTAAAGTCCACGTGCACACAGTCCCCTGTGGTGGAGTCGTACAGAATGTTTTCCCCGTGTCGATCGCCGAGACCCAGAATGTATCCCACCATGCTCATCACAGCTGACGTGCGGGCGTAGGCCAGACGGGCATTGTACCTGAAACATGAAGCGTGTACAGTCACACATTCTCAAACAAAACAGCAAAACTGCTTCTTTCCCATGATCGAGAGAGCGTGAATGTTGCTCTATTCCATCCTAATCACCATGGCTACTCGCAGAAAGGATTGCTGACGCTGAAATAAGCAGTAATCCCTCATTCCCTCACCCGGACGTCTGGTCCAGGATAACAAGAAAAGATCCATGCCGTTAGGGCACTAATACATTGTCAAACAGCCTACACATTGTAATCACCTGAAACTTATTTTAGTGGGATCTTACGTCAAGCATGGTTTACATCTGATTCTCAAAATAGGGCTGCTTTCTAGGTGTCAGTTTTCTACAGAAGCTTACCAGGATGTTGGGTCCGGGAATGTCCGCAGGAACCACTCATTGAACACAGGAGGATGACGGGGAAGCAGCTTCTCCCGGAAGATCTGCATCTTCGTCCTGGAAACAGAAGAGTTTACAGGTACTGTGTCTTTGTACTTCATCTGACGTGGTCACGATCACGTTAACAGTGTGTATCACAGTTGGAGTGGGTCTTGTTCAATGGTGACCCCTCAAAACCTACCACACAATTGCTGTAAAGGACTCAAATGTTATATACTGCATGTTAATTTCCATGCAGCCATTGGGATATTTAAGGAGCCAAGATGTTTTTAAGAGATGGTTAGTTGATTGAAGATGTTATTTCGTCAAGACATTAAAGCATTTTAAGGTGAGGTGAAACGGGGTTTAACATCAAGATTATAGACACCAGCCAATATGTCTGGTAAATATGATAGACACAAGCGATTGTGTCTGGTAAATAAGATAGACACTAGCCAATATGTCTGGTAAAGAAAAGAATCCACAACCCAAATTTGAAAACCACAAGCCCAGTGGTCAAAGCATTACCAAGGTCAGACATGGTATATATGCACTAACTGCCAATGTACAACACTAGTTTACAGTCGTCAGTTTGTCACTCGCGACTAAATTTCACTAGCACTTCTCAAGATGGCCAGTGTATCTATTGAGCCCTGCATGCTGCAGATGAGATAGAAAGTTGAACAGTACTCAACATTCATTCATTATATAATGCCAACCATACCTGATACCTTTGACCTGCAAACATATCCTGCATGATGTATTTGTAATAACATACATTTGTTTCCCATGAGTCCAGGACTTACTCCAGAGGGGCGTGAATGCTGGGCATCATGGTCTTGAGCTCCTTGCCGTTGACGTAGATCCCCTTCTCCCGGTACAGCTTGAGCAGGATGAAGCGGAGCCCACTCGTGTTGTTCACCCACTCCAGCAGCCCACACTCCTCATTCAGGGGAACCACAGTCTGTAATGGGCAGCAGGAGTCAGTGAGAGAGATGATTAGATGAGAGAGTGAGTGAGTGAGATGATTAGATGAGAGAGTGAGTGAGTGAGATGATTAGATGAGAGTGAGATAATTAGATGAGTGAGTGAGTGAGATGATTAGATGAGAGAGTGAGTGAGATGATTAGATGAGTGAGTGAGATAATTAGATGAGTGAGTGAGATGATTAGATGAGTGAGATGATTAGATGAGAGAGTGAGTGAGTGAGATGATTAGATGAGAGAGTGAGTGAGTGAGATGATTAAATGAGAGTGAGATAATTAGATGAGTGAGTGAGTGAGATGATTAGATGAGTGAGTGAGATAATTAGATGAGTGAGTGAGTGAGTGAGATGATTAGATGAGTGAGTGAGTGAGATGATTAGATGAGAGAGTGAGTGAGTGAGATGATTAGATGAGAGAGTGAGTGAGATGATTAGATGAGTGAGTGAGTATTGTTTTACGCCGCTTTTAGCAATATTCCAGCAATATCACAGCGGGGGACACCAGAAATGGATTAGATGAGTGAGTGAGATGATTAGATGAGTGAGTGAGTGAGATGATTAGATGAGAGTGAGTGAGTGAGTGAGATGATTAGATGAGAGAGTGAGATAATTAGATGAGTGAGTGAGTGAGATGATTAGATGAGAGTGAGTGAGTGAGTGAGTGAGATGATTAGATGAGTGAGTGAGATAATTAGATGAGTGAGTGAGATGATAAGATGAGTGAGTGAGTGAGTGAGATGATTAGATGAGAGAGTGAGTGAGTGAGATGATTAGATGAGTGAGTGAGTGAGTGAGATGATTAGATGAGAGAGTGAGTGAGTGAGATGATTAGATGAGTGAGTGAGATAATTAGATGAGTGAGTGAGTGAGTGAGATGATTAGATGAGAGAGTGAGTGAGTGAGATGATTAGATGAGTGAGTGGGATAATTAGATGAGTGAGTGAGTGAGTGAGTGAGTGAGATGATTAGATGAGTGAGTGAGTGAGTGAGAGAAGTGACAGAGATTGGAAAAGTGAGATGAGAAGAGATCACTGGATGAGTGAGTGAGTGAGTGAAATAGATGATTGGGTGAGTGAATGATTGAGAGAATCTTGTGAGTGAGACTGGACGAGTGAGATGAGACGAGGAGTGATCACAGGATTATTGAATGGGTGAGTAAATGAGTGAGTGTGTGAGTGAGTGTAAATAATCCATTAGCTAGATCAGACAATCCAGTGATTGATATTATGAGCAACCATCCACGCCATTTGGGTACAATGACATGCAATCAAACAAGTCACCGAACCTGATCACCCAATCCATGTGGCTGCCTCTTACGACTAGCATAGGAATACCCAGGGATTGATGAGTTAGTGAGGGAAAGAGATGATGGGATAAGATAACATGTGCACTGAAACAACCCAGAAAATAAAGATATTAAAGATATATAAAATCTACCAAAATAACATAACATAAACAAACCCACAAACATTAATTAACTTCAAAGTGAAGGTAGGTTATATATACATAAATGTTGGTTGTACTAGATGCTTTACAATGAGAAAGATGCCTGGTATTTCAGCCAACACTTACATAGGTTCTGATGTGAAGATTTCTTCTTCTTGATTCCGGATCCTTGCGGAGGAACTTATTGACAATGGTGTTGAATTCCATCAGCCTACAGTCCTTGCGGAGATCATCCTTTGGTTTACACATCATGTTGTAGAACTTGCCATCGCTGCCAATCAGGGTGATCTTCTTGGGTCTTTGGAGTGACGGCAGGATTTCAATCTGGAAAAGCACATGTCAAAATTGAGCTAAAATAAACTACTCAAATCCAGTACCATGTGCAGGAAACTGGTTGTATCCTGTTTTCATCTACACGAGGGATTTTTACTTCTCACTTTTTGTTCTATCCAAGACGCTGAGCATACAGCGAGTGAGGGTGAGTTTGGCCTGACTCAGCTAAAAGGCCAAAAAGGTTGTCAATTCAGAAAGCAAAACAGGTTTGCTCATGGTTGGATGGAGCGTGGAAGAGCAAGGTAACAGAGATCCAGGGCCACACCTGGAGGCACGTTGTGAGATGAATACATATGTTAAAATTCAGAGACAATGTCGACTCACCGTGTCATCGAAGCCCTTGATGTAGACTTGTTTGTCTGGGAAGGCATTGTGGTTGGAAGCAACGCCCAGGACATTGGGCAGCTTGACCGTCATGGCGGACTGCAGTGGCAGCAGAATAGAGCTGAAGTTACTGCAATAACATTTCAACAAATTGACCCAGCTTTTCAGTTTGGACTCCTAAAATTTGGAATGTGGTAAGACATGGGTAACTTAAATCACTTTTATCTGCTGTATAGGAAGGCTATATGATTGATCATTGGAGTTCTTTTTATTTGGTATCTGCACAGCTGACAAATATTAACAAGAGTGCTGTTTGTTTTGTCAAACAGGATTTTGATGCTGTTATCAATATGACCCACTGTGACACATCAGATACAACTATCAGCAGTCCTCACTCACTCCCTCGTGCTGTGACATCGGACACAACTACAGGCAGCAATGATTAATCCTCTGTTTGGAACACATTGAACATTACTATAACTCATTCATCTGATCACTGTACATTGTACTTGACTACTGGCAGTACTCACTCGTCCTCCAGGAGTCTCTTCAGGGGTTTGAAGTGTGTGGACATACTCAGTGTGGTGGACTGCCCATAGTTCTTCTCGCACAACTCCAGCAGTCGTTCCGTCAGCCTAGTCGCATCCTGGAAAAAGAAGATACTTTACATCTGCAATATTGGTCAGCTACTAGGCTGATCAACTCAACAAAACAGTCTGCTAAAACTTTCCTAAAGTGAGTGAATGTTGTTTAGTGCAGAAATCAGCAATATTCCAGTTTATTGGCCTGTAAATAATTCTGAGCCAGACAATCCAGTGGTTGACAATGAGCAGCAAGCCACACCTACCAAAAGGATAAGATGAGATGCTTGTTTGCTTGTTTGTTGTTAAATGCTGCACTCAGCAATATTCCAGTATATGACGGCGGTCTGTAAACAATTGAGTCTGTACCTGACAGTCCAGTGATGGACATCATGAGCACTGATCTACACAATCGTTATACGATAACATGCATCAAACCAAGTCAGTGAGCCTGAGCACCCGATCCTGTTAGTCGCCTCTCACAGCAAGCATTCTCTACCATGATCTTTGATGAGATGCAATCTTGTCACCTGTTTCATTTATGTCAACTTTTGTACAAGCATAGAGTACAGGGGACCAAGTTATACCCTGAAAATACCAATTGATTCTAGATTGCGAGACGTTCTAACAGTCTACTCCAACTTGACACCATTTTAATAGCAGGGTATTCTGATGAAACATAATCACATAGGTACACAGGTAAAAACACAGAAAGTATTGGATGTGCACTACTAAAAATACTAAAAGACACAATATCAAAATATATTCTTGACAAGACACACAAACAATATCCTCACCATGATGAACTTGTGGAGATTCGGATTGTTTTCTCTGCACAAAAAGACAGACAGTCATGTATAACCACTGGCATGAAACAACTTATATCTCAGTCCTTGTTATTCTCAAGGACACTTGTTACATCCTCAACACTTTACCCAACACAAACAACTATGTCCCAACTACATTGAGAATGGAGGCAAAATATATTAAACGACAGGACAAACAAAAGTATGGCCGCATGTTTCAGGAAAATTAATTCAATCGTAGCATGTATATAAGTTCAAATTGTTCATGTCAACTTGCAAATTCCTCATTTCAGTTTCACAACAGCAAATCAATAATAACATTGATAGGCTTCACATCACCTGCACTGCTATAAGTCTCATTGTGAATCCCAAACACATAATTGGTTGGTTGGTTGGTTTGTTCTTTTACGCCGCACTCAGCAATATTCCAGCTATATGACGGCGGTCTGTAAATAATCGAGTCTGGACCAGACAATCTAGTGATTGATATCATGAGCATCGATCCAAGCAAATGGGATCGATGACATGCATCAACCAAGTCAGCTAGCCTGACCACCTGATCCTGTAAGTCGCCTTTTACAACAAGTATAGTCACCTTTTACGGCAAGCATGGGTTGCTGAAGACCTATTCTACCCCGGATCTTCACGGGTCCCAAACACATGGAGCCAGGTAACCGTATATCTCTGTATCATTAGTTTCCTTCTGTGATGAAGACTACTGCACCAGCATCTGGGAAGGTGCTGGCAATCAAGCAATTAACAATGTACCGAGTTGCTGAAGACAAAAACAACATTTTCATATTTACTTTGATGTAGAAAAGATCTGTTGACATCTTTTGACTCTCATCGCATAGGAAGACTGAAAAACGAAAAAAGTCATTCTGTCATTCTTAGTCATAAAGGTGACTAATATTAGTTATTTCATGACCTCAATTGAACATATTTGAAAATACTTTAGAAAATTTGGGAAAACAATAAATAATGTATCAAAGATATTATTCCCATTCATGATCAATCAATCAATCAAATACTTATAAACATCTTCCACAAATAGGCTCTTCAAGTCTCGACATATGGCCAAAATATACAAAGCCTTCTTTTCGTATAACCCACCGAATGCTGCAAAATAGTTTTGTCTGGTATGATTTTTTACATTGTCCTTTCATATATATATGCCCCCCAAATCAGCATGTCTATCTGTTTTCTTTTGCAGTTTAACATGAATACCCCACTCAGACACAGTATACTGACTCCTTAATGCCGAGCGCCAGACAGGGTAACAACAAGTACCATCTTTAACCGTCTTTTGGTATGACGTGGTCGGGGATCGAATCCCGGACCTTCTGCTCTCCGGGTAGACGCTCTACCACCAGACCACGGAGGCAGTTGCCTGTAAAGTATTACTATCCTTTGACAGTGTGTAATTATGCAAAAGCACGGCGGTGGGGCTGGAGACATTCTGCTCCAGGTGTCAGATCCAAACACATGACTAGACTTGATAACTTTCCGCAAAAAAACTCACCAGTCCAAACTGACGAAAATACTGTACGAAAATACGAGGATGGATGACCACACATTAGGATGCAAGCGTTTCTGTCTGTGCCTAATTTAGGCCGTTAACCTAACTAGGATTAAGACACTTAGTCTAACCCAAAGGACTAGTTAGTATCTGTATCTGTTGCGGAATCCTGAGGGTTCTTTGATTGCATGAGAAACCACAAACAGCAAACTATATGTTCAGAACGATGACATCATTGCCATGGTTGAAGGTTGGAGCGGTGCTGAGCCAGGACAAGATTGTTAGCCTGTGGGGCAGCAATCAAGGATGTCGGTATGCCCCTAAGATCCTCGTTCTCAGCCACAGTCGCACTTCCAACAGTGATCTGTTTTGCTGTCAGGTATGCTTTGAGAGTTCGAACAGGGCACAGTGATAAATTTTCAGTATCCTGGTGTCCCAGCATCTTGGATAAATATGAAATTGTAAACTGACCTGGCTGCTGGTTTTTGGCTCCAAAATCCAAAATAAGACCAAAATGCACCTGGCCTGACTTGCCTGGGTCTGAGGTGACTTATGTGAGGTCGAGTGCTTGGTTCTCATCAATCCATGCAGCTGTTGCCAATGCCAACAGAAACACTGCTTTGTGGGTCAAACACTGTAACCATCATCAGTACCAGTGATGAGACGACTTAACACCACATAAATGCTGGTCTTCTTGTCGGTAACCCTTGATAATCGCAGAGAATTTTGGAGCCTTGATTATTTGGCAAGATCGGGAAGCTGCTAAAACAGTGTTGATTGCTGCCAGATTATTCGAGTCAAGATTATACAGTAGAAAATTACTGACAATCTGCATCGTACACCCTTTCATCAACAATAGACAGCAAAGGACACCCACTTGTTGGCACAAAGGAAACGAGGTGAATGTGATGAGCATCCACTACCGCCTGAGAAGCTCCGGCAGAGAAACCACATGAAATCTGCTTTTTCAAGAAAAGGGTGCCAATCATTTGGGTGTTGGGTGTGGCTGCAAGGGTAGCACAGCAGTAGCTGCAGTAATGTTTCCTGACCTTGAGCAGGATCCGTGGCAACAGGACACGAGGAGGATGATTGGTTAATGATTAAGGTATGAATTACTGGTACTATAGTAGGTTTATCAACTAAATAAGTCCAGCACCATTATCAAGGAGTGTATGTCATGAGACCCACCTTCGACACCGCCATCAACATCCACATGGCCTGCTGGGGGTACAGCACCAGCACGTTGGCGATCAGGTCCTGGGGAGAGAAGGTGCACAGTGGCCACTACACAACAATACAATATGACAGCACAAAAGAAAACTTAAAATTTTCTGGACAACTTCGAGTTCACTGCATTTAGCATTAAGCTTAAATCAATAAACAAGAAGTTGTTATCCATAAAGATCGTGTTTTCTTACTAACAATACACATTTCTCCTCTTGTCTCATAAACAATGTGGATATGATATTCTGGAAGTGGTCTGTTTCTAAACTATTTTCCTACAAATAATAACAAAGAATCTAAGGTATACCATATTCCTTTCATCAGTGTTCTAAATGCTAAAAGATTTATTTTCATAGCTTTTTGGCGACATTTTTTTAACATATTTATTTGTTGTTGCAGTATCTCAAGGTGGCAGTTTGGAAGCTGTGGTATCAATGAAGATACATTTTGGCAAAATATACAGCCTATCAAAGATATTCTGCCGTGTTCAAAACATATTCATTTGAAGACTTCCGTCTTCATTGTCACAAGGCACAATCTACTTCATGCACTAGTCTGAACCATGAGTCTATTAAAAATTTGTTCAGTCCAGCTGTTCATTCAAGTTTTATTCCGCTCAAAGACCACCACACAATTACAAATGTCGCACACCACATGCTTTTCCACAACTGCCAAGAGTTATTTTTTCTACATGCGGACAAAAAGTCAGATGTTTCCAGTAATGTTAAAACTTGAATCGGAAATTATATGAATAAAGATAATGCATATAGTGAGCACAGCAAGCTCAGCTAATAATAGTCCCAATAACTAAATGCTACTGATAATTATACTAAGAGCCAAGTTTGGGCAAGTTGACTCAAAAGACACAAAGTTGCAATATGACACGTTGCTGTGTCGACCCAGCAGGCAATACAAGAGACCCTCATCACACACCTGCAGCTGCTGGAACACATCCGGGTGGGCGTGGCAGATGCGGGAGATCAGCTGGGGGAAGGCTGTGAAGAACTGGTACGGCTGCAGCTGGCGACCCAGCGTCGAGATAATCTGGGACAGATGAAAGTACCTGTTTAGCATCACGTCAATGTGGCAATCATTTCCAATGCCAGCCTTCTTTCTATTACACGAAATTAGAGCTGTGCGAGGTAATCACTCTGGCTTAAACTAAAGTGTTATGAGATTAGGACAATGTTATGCTGTTTTTTCTTACAAAAGGACATGATTAAAATTTTGCAAAATATCCAGCAAATCCAAAGATAATATGCCTTGTTTAAAACAAAAAATGTAATCCGCCTAGTTGTTAGAAGTATTGTTTGAATAATTAAACAAGTACACATCTCGTATCTATAGTGCAGATGTTATCCAGACACTTGAAACACATAGTGTGGGGATCTACAGGAATCTGATCGAGTTCCACAATCTGTGCTGAGTGATGTAGAGTGCAGTCTAAAGTAACAAAATCAAATATTCAAGTATATCAAACTCTACTTAGCGTGAAAGATCTTGCAACTAATACATAACTTCTACATCGTTTAATTTAACTGTGAAAAACCTTCAGATAATTATCAGTGAAAGATTAAACCAAAAATCGTGATTCAGAAAACTGGAAAAAAATTCCCAAGCTCTCACAGAAAAGTAGTTGTGTATTCTCGTCTTGTGCTTGCGCAGTAGATCAGATTTGATACTGCTTTCAGCACAACTGCTCATAAGATAACCAACAGGATCTGTTGATTTGTGAGTTCAGCCAAAACAAAAAAATGTGGCTATGATGTCATAAAGGTGAGGTATTCGAAGGAATTCATGCTAAGGAAAAATTCACCTTTGCAGAAAATTTAGATCTGTTCAACTACCAACCTTCATGGACAGTTAATGACAGACCTCAGGCTTCTGTAAATGATAATGCCCTGAAAAGTAGCTTTACCCTAACAATCCATGCAATTGGGATACGATGACATGCATCAACCAAGTCAGCGAGCTGACCAACCAATCCTACTGTCACCCCTTACAACAAGCATAAGTTGCTGAAGAGCAATTCTAAACTGGACCTTCACATGTGAGACGCTGTACAAACAACAAAGTAGATGTATAAAGTGTATGGAACTGATGCAAACCTTGTTGATTCTGCTGAGAATGGTCCGTTGTGCCTGCAGTTTCTGCGAGTTCTTTCCACGCTCCTTCTTCTCGGAGTCCACGACGGTGGTGCCATAGTCCAGCCAGAGACTGAGGAGGCGTGGCATGGATTGGTAGATGTACTGGTTGCCGTACTGCAGGGACTGCCCGAAGAACTTCACCACATAGATGATGAATTCTCTGTAACAGTACACACCTCAAGCTGAAGCACTTTTGCACACTGTCAAGGTACTTGTTTACTTAAGGTTTGACATTTCTATTTAATCTAGTGAACTAAAGAAAGGCCCTGTTGTCAACTTTTTAATTCTGAAAAGCAAAAATAATGAAAGTAGCAGTAGCTGAGTTAACATTTGATAGGTTGAACTGTTTGGACAATCACGGAGTTGGTTATGAAGTTGTGAGTTGCCTACAACTGTGGTGTGAGTTGCCTATCCCTGTGGTGTGAGTTGCCTACCCCTGTGGTGTGAGTTGCCTACAACTGTGGTGTGAGTTGCCTACAACTGTGGTGTGAGTTGCCTATCCCTGTGGTGTGAGTTGCCTACCACTGTGGTGTGAGTTGCCTACCCCTGTGGTGTGAGTTGCCTACAACTGTGGTGTGAGTTGCCTACAACTGTGGTGTGAGTTGCCTACCCCTGTGGTGTGAGTTGCCTACAACTGTGGTGTGAGTTGCCTACAACTGTGGTGTGAGTTGCCTATCCCTGTGGTGTGAGTTGCCTACTACTGTGGTCTGAGTTGCCTACCCCTGTGGTCTGAGTTGCCTACCCCTGTGGGGTGCTAAGCGCTCTTGAGCCACTGTGGTGTGAGTTGCCTACAACGGTGGTGTGAGTTGCCTACAACTGTGGTGTGATTTGCCTATCCCTGTGGTGTGAGTTGCCTACCACTGTGGTGTGAGTTGCCTACCCCTGTGGTGGATATATATATATCCATTCTCTGACAACAAAGGTTCATTTCAAGGCATCAATAGCAGTAATCTGATGGTTGGTTTAAGTAGGCCTAATAGTGAGTTGATGATCTTTACACCCAATTTCTCCGTAATAAATGTAAACATAAAAATAATTAAACATGTTACAATCATACATCCATGTTTTTCTAACCAGATAGTGTAATAATATCAGTAAATTGTGTATTTCTGTGAAATATTTTTTCGCTGCTCGGCGTTTTATGTAGGTAGTGGAACAAGCTGATTGGACCGGAGTGCCTGGAGTCACTGTGGTGTGAGATACCTACCCCTGTTTCTCTGGTTTCTCCTTGTCATCAATGAGAGCCATCATGATTTTGTCGTAGTACTTAGCCAGGTAGAAGTGGCCATCCTCCCACCGGGGGTAGATGTCGATCACATCCTTGTACTGCTTCATGATGGCATTGCTCTCCAGACTGGAGGTGTCCTCACTATAACGCCCATACAGCAACAAGGCCTGCAACATACACAGTGAGTCAAGATAGCATTGCTCTCCAGACTGGAGGTGTCCTCACTACAACGCCCATACAGCAACAAGGCCTGTCAACATACACAGTGAGTCAAGATAGCATTGCTCTCCAGACTGGAGGTGTTCTCGCTATAACGCCCATACAGCAACATACACAGTGAGTCATGACGGCATTGCTCTCCAGACTGGAGGTGTCCTCGCTGTAACGCCCATACAGCAACAAGGCCTGCAACATACACAGTGAGTCATGATGGCATTACTCTCCACACTGGAGGTGTCCTCACTATAACGCCCATACAGCAACAAGGCCTGCAACATACACAGTGAGTCATGATGGCATTACTCTCCAGACTGGAGGTGTCCTCGCTGTAACACCGATACACAAAGAAGGCCTGCAACATACACAGTGAGTCATGATGGCATTACTCTCCACACTGGAGGTGTCCTCACTATAATGCCCATACAGCAACAAGGCCTGTCAACATACACAGCGAGTCATGATGGCATTACTCTCCAGACTGGAGGTGTCCTCACTATAACGCCCATACAGCAACATACACAGTGAGTCACGACGGCATTGCTCTCCAGACTGGAGGTGTCCTGGCTGTAACGCCCATACAGCAACAAGGCCTGCAACATACACAGTGAGTCATGATGGCATTGCTCTCCAGACTGGAGGTGTCCTCGCTATAACGCCCATACAGCAACAAGGCCTGCAACATACACAGTGAGTCATGATGGCATTGCTCTCCAGAATGGAGGTGTCCTCGCTATAACGCCCATACAGCAACAAGGCCTGCAACATACACAGTGAGTCATGATGGCATTGCTCTCCAGACTGGAGGTGTCCTCACTATAACGCCCATACAGTAACAAGGCCTGCAACATACAGTGAGTCATGATGGCATTGTTCTCCAGACTGGAGGTATCCTCACTATAACGCCCATACAGCAACAAGGCCTGTCATCATACACAGTGAGGCATGATGGCAATGCTCTCCAGATTGGAGGTGTCCTCACTATAATGCCCATACAGCAACAAGGCCTGTCATCATACACAGTGAGTCATGATGGCATTACTCTCCAGACTGGAGGTGTCCTCACTATAATGCCCATACAGCAACAAGGCCTGTCAACATACTCACAGTCAGCTTAATGTGGGAGAAAAGCCTTATGTAGGTTCTCATTATATACAAATTTAACAGTAATAGGCTGCTGAATCGAGGCATTCAACCCAAAGACCAACAGATCCTTGCACAGATAGGGGGAAGCAACTCTGCACAGCAAATCACGTCGTCTTATGCTGTTGATTACAGGAGCCTGCAACTAATCTGGACTTGACAATCCAGGGGCTTACAATGCACAGATCAATACTGTCTGGGTACAAAAAACACAATTAGTTTTGTCACATATTACAACACCTGAATTCAAGTGTCATATAAAGACTTTTGGTCTGGAAATCACTTTTACGATAACTTTTGATATTGCAAGCAACTATTGCGATTAATATCGATAGTTTTCAGTGTATCATTTTAGATGGATTTTAGAGTTGAATTAAACCTTGGAACTAAAGTTTCCTTTGAATGTGATAACCATAAAAGTTCCAAACACTCGATTTTCCACCATTTGACTGTTACCCTCTGCCATTTTACTTTAAGAAAGACCGGTTGCTAAGCATCAAGGGCAGTTAACTCTAATCCTCACTCGGCTGCGTTAGCAAGTGTGTTTCAGTGCCCAATCGCATGATATGGTAAATACAATCAAAACTATCGATATTCCTAACTGAAATCGATACTATTGATCGAAAACTGATTTAACAATCGATTTATTGACGCTAAGTTCTTACCAATAGCAATATAATGATATTTAGATTTAGCGTGACACCCCTATATATAAAGCAAGAGGTACCTATTCTGTAAGTCAAACCTTTGCATGTACATTACCTGACAGTTTGATTTAAGGCAAAAATGGAAAATATGTGACTGACATTTTCACACAGACAGTTAACATTGGGATCCACATATGCTGCACATACAAACATACGACACATTTTCTGAAGACAACACCAGTGTTCTGGAGAACTATGGCCAGGAACTTGAAATGTTCGCACTTGATTGGAGTTTGTGAAAACTGGGAGCATTTGTACGAACGCTGAGTGCTACGCGGATTTTGCAGCTCGTGGGAATCGTGGGGCACATGAAATTGACGATGTATACCGAAAGCTTTGTGAAACTAAAGTCAGTTCGAAAAACACTGCGTAACAACCATCATCCTGCCTCACACTGCACACTAGACACTCACCTGAGCATATGTCTTCTTCTTCTGTTTGCCCTCATCCGAGTTGTCCATCTTCAGCTGGGACATGTTACTGAAGTTGACAGAAATACCCTTCTCCAAACACGTCAGTGCTTCATCGTTGTTGCCCTGACAAAACAGATACAGTGTGCTCTGAGATGTAGATGTGCAGATGGAGATATTGTACAATTACATCCTAATTTCTCACTTGAAACATATTTCAGATCAGAGTCTGACCACCCGATACAATCCCCATTTTAGTCGACATACTTCTCACCTGAACTAATTGCTATTTATAAATTTCCTGTAAGATCTTTCTGTACTGGTTGGGACTAGACCAGAAAAAATTCTGACATTGCATATCTGTCAGGCTTCACATGAAAACAGAGTGAGTGAGTGAGTGAGTGAGTGAGTGAGTGAGTGAGTGAGTGAGTGAGTGAGTGAGTGAGTGAGTGAGTGAGTGAGTGAGTGAGTGAGTGAGTGAGTTGGGTTTAATGCTGCTTTTAACAGAATCGCGCCGCCTCAGACCACTGGGTCACCCGTGCTGCCAAATGAAAACAGAAACAGTGAGTGAGTATGGTTTTACGCCGCTTGGAGCAATATTCCCGCAATATCATGGCTGAGACACCAGAAATGGGTTTCACACACATTGTACCCATGTGGGGAATTGAACATGGGTCTTCGGTGTGATGAGTGAATGCTTTAACCACAAGGCTACCCCTTGGCTATACTAACTAAACTCATATAACTGGTGTGTTGTCTGAAACAGATATCATTAATGACGAACATTAAATGAACGAGTCAGTAATGTTCCAGCCATATCACAGCATCTTGTCATTAATTTTGACATTGAAAACCAGTGTTAGCATAAGCAACAGAGTCTTGTATGACAAGCACGGGGTACTGGTGACATACAGAACACTGGCATACAGAATACATGGTTATGTTACCTTTTCCCAAAGCCAATTGGCCTTCTCAAGGAACTGCTCTGGCAGACTGATTGGGACATACAGAACACTGGCATACAGAACACATGGTTATGTTACCTTTTCCCAGAGCCACTTGGCCTTCTCCAGGAACAGCTCTGGCAGACTGAAGGCGCTGGCCTGTAGGAGACAGCTGTATGCAGTCTGGAGATATCCTGATCTGAAAAATATAAAACATATTACTAATTCTCTGTAGTACTGTAACTATGGCTCACGTCACATAGTCTGCTTGCTCTGAGTGGAACTGTTTTGTGTCACACGGTCGGGTAATCATGTGCTAAAAGTGTTTGTTGGTCAGGCGAAAGATGTGTTTGATCCCCACATGGGTACATTACGTGTCGGTGAGAAAGAGAATGCAGTGACAGACGATGGAGGCATGTGATCAGGATGTGTAGATCGCTAGGTAGGTGATTACATGCATGACCAGTTTGTTTGGAAAGTAACCATGGTGATGCTGGGTGTGTTCTGTTGAACTCTGTTCAAGCATATTTCCACATAGGATGGAAGAAGTAGGAAAAATGCAAAGTGTTAGTATGAGATAGGATAAGTTTAATAATGTTACAATTATCCTTTCCCATTCTAATGTGAAGACAAATTCTATATTCTATCAATGTGTATCAGCATAGGTGGAAACAAGCATGTGAAGTTGTCTCTGAGGAGATGAAGTTTAGAGTGCCAAGATAAGATTCTGTGAGAGAGAAACGTTTGTTCTCTCCTGGCGTTGTGACTGATGTTGTGACTTACTTCCTGGCCACCTTGGTGCTCCAGAGCCAAGACTTGCCCACCATGGTGCTGAGGTCATGGTCCGACTGACACAGAGTCAACAGGGTCCGCCTCAAGGTCAGAATAGGGTCTTGGATTCGGAAAGACGACTGAAGTCATGAACAGAAGGTGGAATGTTGTACATTCAAATTAACACATATCTAATATAATATTTGTAAATAAAATATATTGTGATTGTTTTTTTAATTGAAACTGATTATTTTGCATTATGCTGAGTTCCTATATTCCACATCCTGCATAACTGATTAATCTACATGTCAACATACTATCTGTTGGTCGATCCTTGGTCTGTTAATAACCCTTTGACAGTAACACTGTGCACCATATTTTGTTTTGTTTGTTGTTAAACACTGCACTCAGCAATATTCCAGCTATATGATGGCCCCAATCAGTCATACTAACAAAAGGGATATATCATACACATTCTTTTGTTGTTGAATGCTGAACTCAACAGTATTCCAGCTATATGACGGCAGTCTGTAATCAAGTCTGGACCTGACAATGCAGTGATTGACATCATGAGCATCGATCTACGCAATTGGGATACGATGACATGCATCAACCAAGTCTTCAAGCCTGACCACCCAATCCCGTCAGTCGCCTCTTGCAACAAGCATAGAAGCCATTTATGGCAAGTATGAGTTGCTAAAGACCAATTCTAACTCGGGTCTTCAAGGGTCCACCATAATATCAAAACTGAATGATAGTTAATTCTATATTGATATGTCCCACGATGGTCAACATGCATCACAAGTTATCACCTACGGCACACATCTGTACGCGTTCCACCACCTACCTGACACATCTGTATGCGTTCCTGCCACTGCTTGATCAGCTCTTCTGGCGCCATCTTGACAGCAGAGTCGCCAGAGTCTACACAGTGGACGGGGAAATCCCGCAACACTCTCATCACCTGCTCGATCTCATTCAACATGTGCAGTCTAAAACAAACACAGCCAATGCAGATATTCAGATATGAATACAGAAATTTCAAAAACGGGCATAATAGAACCACGTCCACAACATCAAGCAACCAAAGAAAACACAACTTTAAATATGGCTGCTAGATGTATACCGATATGGTGGGGTCGCGATACAATATGTATCCTGATGCAGTACTTATATTTCATAAATTGATATTCTTTGCTTTTGCTGGCAAGTTACAACCCTGAATCATTTGTTTTTAAATTTCAGAGATGGGATATTGAAGGGCAGAAATTTATAGGCTAGAGGGCACTGCGAAGGTTATACTGTTTATATCAAACCGTGAAATACTAGATAATACGTATGACCTGGTTGTTGATCAGTTTCTGTTATTATTAATGCTTTTTCCACCAATACAACTTGTAATAGTATTGTATTGTATGTATCATGACAGAGGGATTGAAAATACCATGGGCGTCGATCGCGATATAATAATGTATTGCTGTATCGTTACACCACTACTGCTATCTTGAACTTTCACTGATGAATGATGATCCTGGCTAATGCTTCAGGTTACCAAGTGGCATAGGGTAGCAGGCCAAACGTCCTCAAAGACTTTGGTCCAGGTCATGCTTTCTGAAACCAAGCTGTTCCCTCTACTTTGTTTATTATTTTCAACAATAACAACCTTTTGTTTGAAGCTGAATTTGATTTGCACGGCAAATGATCATTACTGGCACCCTATCGTTGTGAGGGGAGATTGGCCCTTCATTCTTGGTCCACATGGATTTCCTGGATATATGTCCCTGAAACCATGCAATCACTTTTGGAGGCAATCAGGCAATGGTTCACTTGACTCCTAAACATTGACATCAATCTAAATCTGTAGGTTACCTGCAAATATTCTCATATCCTCGATGGTATGACCCCATCTCCATGCTGGCCGCAGACAAAGGCCCCATCTGTTCACGTCGAATTATCTCCAGCTGCTTACAGAACTCTTCCTCCTTCTGCAGGGATAAACAATGTGGACGCATTCATATAACTTCATACATTAGTCTTCGAGGCAGTCGCAACTGCTTTCTGCAGAAAAAAAATTCTTCACACAACTCTGCAAACTTTCAAGTTTAGTTTTCATGAATTTCCTAGTTTTTCACCTGGTTAACTTGTGGTGGGCATTTTTCTGACTTATCCATGGCTAGTAAAGCTTATTGAAGTGAATCTGTCTGTGTAAACATACAGACGGTTCCAAGTCAGTCCCAGTCCCGTGAGAGTGGCCTACCTTGTCCTTAGCTGCCAGCAGCACTCTGCCCACGCCCACTGCCCAGTTCCGCCGGTGAGTCTCTCCATGGCAAAACATCTCCAGCTTATCCCAACTCCCCAACTTCCAGGAGGCCTCGATCCTGTAGGCGTTCAGCTGGCCTTTCCATGATTGTCTGAGATTTAAAAAAAACACTGCACTGCAGACCTTAAAATATTCAAAGTGGAAAGAAACTAAAATTTCCAAAGCTTTATATTTCTTACTCCTACAAGGGTGATGAAATATGTCATAACTGCCAGACAGGACAGGACTTGTTCAACAAAGATAGTGTACATTGATAATTATTCAGAAAACCTATTGAAAAACTGAAATGTCAGTGTTATTTTGTTCACATTCAACAGAGTACACACAAGTTCTATATATAATGTTATGCCCTTCCATGCACTCACTTCTCGGCGATGACCCCCGTGGTGTGCAGCAGTGCTTTGTTCAGCTGACCCAGTTCCATCAGACTGGCCAGCAGACCCTGGTGGTGGCTGACTTCATCCGGTTCCTTCTGGATCGCCTGCTCATAGCACGCCTGGGCATCCTGCTGCTGGCCTGGAGTGAGTGAGTGAGTGAGTGAGTGAGTGAGGTGGGAGTCAGTGGGCGAATGACGAATGAGAGATTGTGTGAGACAGTATGAGAAAGTTAGTGAGTGAGTGAGTGTAAGCAAAAGAGTAAACAAGAAATAGTAAGAGAAAGTGTCACAGTGAGTAAGACAGACAGTGTGGGAGAAAAAAGGCAGATAGAGAGTGAGTGAGTTACATTATACAGCCTCAGACATTCAACATTTTTAAGACTAATCCAGAAGACTAGCAGAAACTTGATTTCACTTGTCTTCAGAGTTTGTAGCTAGTCTTGCTTGAACGAAACAAAATGTTTACTATGTTAACAAAAATAAAATTCAGTTCCAATTTGTAGCAAAATGAAAGCTTTGAGAACTGGTTCAGAATTATAGCCCTCAAATTCTACTTGATTATGACTACTATCACTGCATTCTTACTTGTCCTCAGAAAAATTTAGTAGTCTCGGGCTAGCGGACTAGCATGAATTATGAAGGCTAATAATACCTGCATTGATATTACATTGTATATAATATTGTATATAATTGTACATTATATTAATTATCCCATTTTTGGAGACAACAAATATGGATCTTAAGAGGAATCTATTGTGACCCAAAATTGAAAGACAGGACAAAGTTATGGCCAGTGCCAACATAATCAACCGACAGACAAAGAGCAAGCCACATACCAAGACTCTCATGGGTGAGTATCTGCTGCATCAGTGTTGACGGTGTCTGTCTAATGGCTGCCACACCCAAAACTCCGTCTGGCTCATCCATAGCAACATACAGGCGCTGGAGGGACACAATATTCATGTGGCTATCTGGCTCAATGTTTTCTATTGCTATGTGTTTCCTAATCAACAAATTCTGTCATGAATCACAAGTAAGCCAAGGAAAAACAACTTTATCCTTTATCATGCTCGCCTACCCTGTAAGTCATGTGAGTGAGTTTGATTTTACATCACCTTAACAGTAATTCATTTATAGCATCTGAGTTTACATCAGCAGATGACATGTCCCCGACCCGATCTGGTGCTATTCGAATATGGAGTTTGGCTACTTATACCCCACTTTTGGTTCATTGCCATTTGGTACATTCAGTTGAGTGAAAAAAGAACCAATAATGCTGTTCAGTATTTTTCAAAAGGCACCAGTTGACCACTAGACCGATCTGAATAGTAAGTTCTATCTTGAAATATTCAACGGTTTTGTGGTTCTGCGATGGAAACATGCCCAACCTTATTTTTAGTACAAGTCAAACTTGTTGTCATGAAAAAAAAAGAGAAAAGATTTTTAATAATCAAATAACGCAAATCATCAAAAGGCACCAGTTCACCACTAGACTGATCTGTATTGCAAGCTTCATCCAAGCTTCAACGGTTTTGGAGTTCGCTTCCAGAAATGAGCACTACCCTCCAGCTTGTCATTTAAACAAAAAACAAAACAAGAGTCATCAGAAGATGACAAATCCCCCCGGCCCCTACAATAGCAAAAGGCACCACTTCAGCCCCTGGTTAATACATATATACCAAGTCTGTAAGAAAAATCTTTCACGCCTTTCAAGTTTTGCTCTTGAAACGAAATATGGATTGACGGACAGAACAGATGATGACTCTGTCCTCCCCCCCTGCATTTTAAGCATAAAATTGAAAAAAGAATATACACCCCAAATCATTGAAGAGCACCTGTCTCCCACTTTACTGATCTGTATAGCAAGTTTCAACAAGAAATATTCAACGATTTACAAGTTCTGCTCCATTTTTCAAAACGGAGGGATATAAAAGACAAGCTGCAATTGCTTTGTTGCATTGTAGACAAACATGTAACTGAAGAACACTACACCACTTTTAACAAAAAATAACTTACTTGGACGAAATCAAGGTGTTTTTGAAGATTGCTGTCTTTATGTGAGACGAACTGTTCGAAGTGCATTAGGGCTCGGGTGTATGCCTTGCAGTTGACACTGGCCTCAGCCAAACTGTCCTTGGGAACACGCTCGAGGAAGTCATTGACAGCGTTGTATCCAGCATCATTCAGGTAGCTGGCCTCTACCAATGGAAAGAAGGGTCACAAGTCTAGCACACCAACTGACTTCAACAACTGAGGTTATGGCAGTAGTTGGGGAGGAGTGTGCAATTGAGTAGGGTTGTGCGCCACTTTTAGCAATGTTCCAGCAATATCAGAGTGGGGGACACCAGGAATGGGCTTCACACACTGTACCCACATGGAAATTCAAAGTGGGCCTTTGGCATGACGAGCGAATGCTTTAACAACTAGGCTACCCCACCGCCCCCAGTGAGGGTGGAGAAATGTTGTTTCGGGTCTGACTCAAGTCCCTTAAACATATATAGGGGGGCACGGGTGGCCCAGTCGTCTAAGGTGCCGCAAAACCTATGATTGTTGGTTCGTATCCCGATTTGCACTGATTATGTTTCTAGGTTTGTCAGCACCATACCCTTGCTCGTGGGTTTCACCGAAGTGGTAAACATCTTTCCTCCGACATTAAGCTGACATGCCTTGATATAACTGAAATACTGTTAAACCCAACTCACTCACTCACCCTTAAACATATATTTCTTTGTCTTGTATTTCAAATGGCATCAATCTAGTAAATGATGACCTGTATTAAACATAGACAATGTCCGAATCTCACACAGGGTACTGATTACAATGTCTGGAAATGGACGATGAACATGGACCCTCCTTCGTGCCCAGTCCGCAATATCAGCGCCTGTTAATACTTCAATCTTGACCAGGGAAACTAGACACTGAAAGCATCATCAAAGATCCATGGACTACACAAGGTAACGTGCAATTGTAAGAGTGAATATTATCCTACCCTATTTTTTATCCCAGGGATGAAATTCTCTAGTGTCAGGATGATTCTCCCTAGTGAATATGAACCCATACCAGTGTGTTTAATCCTATCCTATACTATACTCTAGAGTAAAACTTCCCCCGGGATAATATTTAGGTAGGATATAATCCTTGCTTACACAATCTACCCAATCCCCACTTAACTCGAACCTTACGACAAGCCTGGAGTAGTAGGGACTCCATGTACATTGTGAGTAGCTAATATAATAACTATGGGCTGCTTGACCTACGTCTAGTGCTGGAGTTGGCCGCTGGCTTGGCCTGTGCTCGGTGCCGGCACCACTTGGCCAGGTAGTCCAGGACGGAGAACACTGTCTGGGCACTCTTGTGGCGGAAGTCAGACGGGCTTCGATGTCGAGTGTCGGGTTTCTTCACCTGGTTGATCACCTCAAGTATCTCAGAGTAGATCTACAACAAAGGGTCATGGGCTGTCTTGTAGTCATTATTTGTTGATTACTTAGAGATTAACCTGAGGGAACAATATTTTGTATCATGAAGGCTTTTCAACATTAATTCACGAAGAACAAATAATCTGTCAATCTGATTTTCAAGGGTCATTCTCTTTATCAACAAGTCTTCTTTTCTGAGAAGATTTTCATCCGCGAGACATTAGCTCAGTTTATCTACTTTTGGCACAGTTTCAGTGTAAGACCGTGAACAATAGATGATGCAACATCAATTTGCACTAAGGCACTGACATGTACAAGTCACTGTTTTTCAAACAAACACAAGCAATGTTAAGATAGAAGTGAAATAGCAAATCCAATCGAAGTAAAAATCATAATTATCTTTCATGTTAAAATAATTTCCCCAATATCCATGTCTCTATTGGTCATACTAATAAAAGGCTATACAACTCAGAATCCTTTCCGTTGTACCACACAGAGGAAAGAAGGGATGTTTGCGCATGAGGTGTGGGTAGCAAGATGCCATAACTTTCACAACTGATTATGGATAGTTGACATTGAAGAGGACTTCTGTTGAAAATCTGGAGAATTTAGTGTGCATAATGTATGGCTTTGATGTAATAGAGGCTTTGTAATTTTAAGAGTAATTTTAATTCTCTTTCGTCATAAACTAATTCCCCGAATATCCATGCCCAAATTGGTCTTACTAAATAGAGGGATATATTATACACATTTTTTTGTTGTTGAATGATGAACTCAACAATATTCCAGCTACATGACAGTGTCAGAATTGGCATTGGTCCTGTAGTCCTTGCCCAATAGTTAAGGTATCATAAGGACTAGTAGAAATTTGCCATTTTTAAGGGTTTTGCTACATGTTATCATTACAAGGATTAGTGGACTAAAAATGTTAGTTTCTACCGCTGAAAGACGTCAGTCTGTAAACAATCGAGTTTGGACCTGACAATTCAGTGATTGATATTATGAGCAAGGATCCATGCAGACAGGCTATCAGCCAAATCACTGAGTCTGACAACCAGATCTATTAAGGTGCTCTCACAATCAGGCGATTTATTCTACCCCAGAATCCCCATGGGGCAAGGATATATAAACTACCATGAGTACACTGTATGACGATGATGCACGTGTACATACCTCTTGTATGTCGTCGCTCCGTCCATCCTGCAAGACCTGCACCACCACGTGCGGCAGGATATACAGCGCCACCTGGATGTTGTGACGGATACAAGCACTACACGCCTGGAATACTCGCGCAGTCTTGCCAGGGTTCAGCTGAATTAAAAACAGGTGTTGAAGTCCTGATAGACATCTGAAGTTATGACAGTCTTGTAAAAGTCGAAATAACTTTCTACATTATCTTGAAATAATTCAATAAGGCCTACAGGAAATGAAATGTTGACTGATTACATAGAATTCTGAAATTAATATCAGTCAAAAGCCATAATTTTTTGTTCAATCTCAACATTTTTTTCCGAGAAAAGGTGGTTAGTAAAACTGTTGGCTGTATGGATTGGGTAATCAGATGCTACAAGCATCACTGTAGAGGATTAAATCACACTTTGTGACTGTTTGGCCTTGTCACATCAAGGTGATTAATTTGTTGCTTAATGCAATGCTTAATATTCAAGACCTGGCAAGCCAGAGACTGAAAGAATGAGCACTTCACTGAGGGTTATGATAACAGGACTCTGTGACATCACAGGAGCTGACCATCAAATCTAAGTTACTTGGCTGTTACAACAAACAGGCAATTACTGGTGACACATTGACCCTGGAACTCCCTCATCAGCTTTACATCAAAGTATCATAGCAATCTATAACCTCAGCCACCAGACCAACGCCCTCAGCCTAGTCGCATGTCAAGTAAACTGAGCTTCTGACAGACCACATGTCAGGAGTAAACTCCACCTGTCAGGAAACAAAAGTACACAAGTTCAAATGAGGAAGCAAGACGTTTTGGCGCTGGCTGACAGAGACGACGTATTGGAAGTTCTTTACCCTCGATGTGAGATGTATGAGGTAGCCAGTCCAGTTGCTGACCCAGTCCTTGAAGTTACCTCCCTTGGCACTCTGGTAGATGGGCTTGGGGCACTTGTCCCACACTGCTTCCGATGCCAGCTTGTATCTGAAGATGAACTGCTTCATTAGAATCAACTGTACTTCCATGGTTCCAGTGATAACCAACTATACTGTTTGCTTGTTGTTTAATGACTCACCTAAATTTGGTGGGCTGTAAATAATGGAACTGGGTGATTCAATCTAGTGATTGACATCATGATCATTGATCGACACAATTGGGCTATGACATGCATCAACTAAGCAAGCGAGCCTGACAACACAATCATATTAGTCATCTCTTTCCACAAGCATGCCTTGCTGAAGATAGTGGTCTAAACTGAAAACTATTTGAATATTTTACTGACTTTGATGTCAGCAGGGGTATGAGAATCTCCTGTATGTGTTCCGGGAATCTCCTCCAGAGCTTGTTTGGGGTCTTGTCGCTTTCCTTCCCTTCAGAGATTTCATAGATTTGCAGCAGATCTTGTAGAGCGAAGGCCGAACAGTCCTGTAACATGAAGCAGCAAGTGCATAACTCCATGTGTGTGTGCATGTGCATGTGCGTGTGTGCATGTGTGTGTGATTATTCGTGTGTGTCTACTGTGCATGTGCATGCATGTCCCTGTTTCATTAGGCTGGCTGTCTGTTATGGTGACATAAGCAGAGAATTAAGAGCAATATGTTGGCAATGGTAGACACTCATTTCAGAAACAATTTTGAATGTCAATTACTTGTTTTGTTTTTAGCTACCTGAAGTATTGTGTGAAAGATTGAGTTGGGCTTAATGCCACTTTGAACATTATTTCAGTTATATCAAAGGGTGTGAACTTAATATGTGAGGAAAGGTCAAAGTAATGCAGATTGTAGACATCCAAGATGTTGAAAATCCCACAAGCATGGTTATTGTGCCGACAGACTAACAGTCATAAGCAGCAGGAATCTTGGACTCCAACCCACGGCCAGCGTCTACTGGCACTGCTATGTGGTCGGATCTGTACAGCGTTTACAGGGCATCTACTGGGCCATCAGATGCCCAACCCTAGGGCTACAGGAGCTTTGTTGTAAGTTTATCTACCTGGACTCTGGGCTCTGTAGCCGACAGGAAGGCTTTGAGGGCCTCATTGATGAGACCCACAGCAAAGTTGTCATCTTCCACCGTAGCCTTGAACTTCGTCATTTCCTCCTTGGGGTTGTTCCCCATCAGCTCGAGTCTGCATCACAGGCGAAGGTCAACATAGGAAAAGAGATACTTTCTACCACGATCCTACATGTTTCAAAGAAGTCATTACCAGATGATGAGGGTAACATATAGAGACTATTTATTCACAAAGCAACTCAAAAAGAAATATTATATAAAAAAGAAATTTCAAATATTGTAGCATTGACACTCATTTTACAAATCCAAATCTAATCAAAGCAATTCTGCATTTTGGTGACCTTGGTCTTGGCCTCAAATTCCACCAAGGTCTATACAACAAGAGACTTGTCTAAAAGATCATCTTATTGTAAAATCAAGTTATTTGGACATAAAGCTGTTTTTATGCTCATTTCATAAATATTCGGCTTCAAAGTCAGCCAATCATGTACCAGAAAGATTATCTTGATGTTCCTATAATGGATCAAAGCAAAATGGAGACAAAATTGGATATCTAATGTATTTCAATTTGGTTAAACTTATTTACATCTAGTCTACTTTGTAGAAGCCTAGGATACAAAGAACTTGTTATTCAAACAAAACATTGATATGTTAAGTAGTTCTGAAATAAAAGCTTTTTAAAGTTAAAACAAGAGGACAAAGTCAGCGATGTCCCCTGCAATGTTAATTATTTGTCGTGAATATGTCATCTATTTTTTTTTTATATAGGATAAATTTCAAAATCCAAAACTGTCAAAAGGCACTGGTTCACCACTAGACCTATCTATGTGCCAAGTTTGGTGCAGAAATATTGTACTGTTTTCAAGAGCTGCTCCGGATACCAGCATTACCACCATTTCCAGTCCAAGTCAAGGTTGTTGCTATGGAAACTCAAAAATTATTTTTGTTGAAAATCCCAAACTATCAAAAGGTAACAATTCACTACTAGACCTATTTAAGTGCCAAGTTTGGTGCAGAAATAATAACGGTTTTCAATGACTGCTCAGGAAACAAACATTACTGCCATTTCCAACTTAAGTCAAAGTTATTGACATGGAAATTTAAAAAAGAACATTTAGCTCGAAAATCTAAAATTATCGAAAGGTACCAGTTCACCACTAGTCCTATCTGAGTGCCAAGTTAGGTGAAGAAATATTGTATGTTTTTCAAAATCTTCTCTGGAAACAAACACTATTGCCATTTCCAGGCTAAGTCGAAGTTGTTGCCATGGAAACTTGACATCTTTCATGGATGGACAGCCAAACTGATGGTGTCCATTTAATGGTGGGGGATAATGAATAGAAACAGTCATGCACTAGAATGCACTGGCTTATGGTGGTATGAATGACTCAAGACTTGATTACCTGCCAGGATCAATGGCACCAAGTTCACCAAGACATTCAGCATACAGCAATTCTGCCTCACTGTCAGACTCTCGACACCCAGCCATCAGCTGCAGGACAACAAAACATCATTCAACACAAGCGTGGGGAAACTTGTCTTCTGAAGTCTCTCAAAATTGTAATAAGTCATGGACTTGGTTTCCTTCACTGGTAACAGGGGGAACATCACCTCTACTGGGTTAGTAAACAAATGAATTTGGTTCACTTCAATTGTCACAGGTGGAAACATCACCTCTAGTAACACAGTGACTTGGTTTCCTTCTTTGGACAGGGACCAACCCTTTGATGTTCTGGGTGGTGGGGCTGGGTTTTTATCAAATAAAATAAATGTTCTTGAAAATTCTTTAAAAAAAATAATTATACTTCAGACTGTTGAAAAAAAAAAAAAATTGCCTGCAACAGGAATTACATTGATGCAAGGTGTTTTTCTTTAAATAAAATCCAGGCTCATACGTATGTCTAAATAAAAAATATATCTGGTTTTGTAGCTTTAGCTGTAGCTGAGAAGATATCTAGCCTCGATACAAAATCCCAGGCGCCCCCCTCCTCCAACTCCCAGAATATCAATTGGTCAGTCACTTACACATGTAGGAACATCACCTATAGTCAATCAGTAACACGTGATAGTGTTTCCTTCATTGGTTACAGATGGGGGAACATTTATCACAAGAAAATGGTGAAAAGCAATGTCCACTCACAACTGTCACCAGCTGAGATATGATGGGGTCAGCAACTTCACTCCCCATGATGTACTCATTCAGTGTATCCTGAAACGAAATGTCACTAACTGGGCTAAAACAATACACGAACCACATGATGAGATACGAGTGATACAATATGTATTCTGAGGATGTGCATGAATTTGATATAACAGAAGAAAGTCGACTGATAATTTCTATAACCATATTTACTGTTTCAAAGACAACTTATGAACACGATTACAAAGCATAACAAGAGTTTGCCACTAAAGTGGCTATATCCCCCACCCCTGTTGCATAATTTATGACATAATTAAATCTAAACAAACCCTAACCTTTTTTAACCGAGGTGGAACTTGTCATGGAAATTGTAAAAAAAAGAAGAGTTTGGAACCGAAGTCCATCCTGTTGCCATGGAAATGTAAAAAACTAAAATTTCTAAACAGCAAAAGGCACCAGTTCAGCATGTACCTGACAGACCTGTAAAGTTTCATGAAATTTATTTTTTGTGTTATGCTCCGGAAACGAAACGTGATGGATGTACGGATGGAGCCCGTTTCTATATCCTCAGCCAACTTTGTTGGGCCGGGGGATAATAATAGTGGTACTGTTGTTTGGACAATTATACATGGAAACTTACAGAAATCTTACTTACTTTTGACACATAAAGATGCACATCTTGTGCAGTATCTCAAAGTGTCTCAGTGAGCCCTGCAGAGCCCTTTCTGACGAAGACACTAATATTGATCAAAATTTCACACATACAAATGTATGACTAACCAAAAAGTGGGCATGTTTGTTGTTGAACGCCGCACTCAGCAATATTCCAGCTATATGACAGCGGGCTGTAAATAATCAAGTCTGGACCAGACAATCATTGACATCATGAGCATCGATCTACGCAACTGGGATATGATGACATGCATCATTGAGCCTGACCACCCGATATCGTTTGTCGCTTCTTACGACAAGCACAGTCGCCTTTTACGGCAAGCATGGGTTGCTGAAGACCTATTCTGACCCGGATCTTCAAGGGTCAAAAGTGGGCTTGACTAACTGAACAAAAATACCAACTAATCACTGACTTACCTTGTCCTCTCGAAGAAGTTTTCGGAGTTTTGAAAGTGCTCGTCTCCTCACATCAATATTCTCATGTTTGATGCCCTGTACCGAGTGGGCTAGCTGTGTTCTCAGGTCGGATTGGCTACAACATGACACAACAACCATGTCATGTATGGCTGTGTCTTGTTATTTTTCGAAGTCAGAGGAGGCAATGAAACATCAAATACAATTCTTGACATGTGTGGATAACATAATTTGTAGATTTAAAAAAAAAATACATTGATCAATCTCAGCTTTCCATGGGGCGTTTCACAAAAAGTTTTGTCGATGTTGATAGTTGCTCATTTTTAAGACTAATTCAAAAGATTTAACTGAAGGTAATCTTGACCAGATTGCGGAACATTATGTTCCATAACTGGTCTCACTGACATTGCAATAAACAATGGTTGAAGAAGAGTGAATTTGATCTTAAAAATAAACATGGGACAATGCCCCAGTTTTGGAATTTGGAATGAAGAGAGATGTTTTAAAGAATTTCATACTGACAATAAATCAATGTGATGTGGGTTTCAAAAAAAAATTGTTGTAATACTCCAAAATGGTCAGGCCAAGACCACTGTGTTGATTTGCCATACATGTAATCTGATACATCTAACAAATATTTTAAATAGCATGTGTATTATCTTTTATATTTCTCTGTCAATTCTAGGGTGCGTTGCAAACAGCCAACCGCTTGCAAGCAATTCGCCTTACAACGGGGCACTAACTTTTAGCTGGTTACAATTGTGCCAATCACTGGCAGTGGTCGCTTCATTCTCAAACCTAAATGGCAGCTGACGAAAATTTTAGTTTGACAGCGGAACAAGAAAATCTGGACTCGTCATTGAGCCTCTTCTCTTATGTTCTTGATTAGGACGAAGCAACCAAGCGGTAGTCGCACCACCATTTTGAATGAGTGCGCAATCGCTTTGAGTTGCCGCAGACACTGGTTGAGCGATTAATTTGCTTCATCTAAGCACCTCAGGGCTTGCAACGTGCTCCTCTTGATTGTATTAAACTTCCATATATCTGATTGAGTGAATGAATGAGTTGTGTTTGACACTGCTTTAAACAGTACTGAAGTGTTCCTTCATATAATCAACTCACCTTGAGGGTCCATCAGCATATTGTTTCAGTACCGCATTAGCATCACTCAATTCGGGGACGTCGGGGAGGAAGTACACCTCGTGGAAGTGATGGTGGAGGGCTGACCTGCAGCCAGAGCAACCAGATGACATACTCTTAGATCACAGGCAGTAAGATGACATACTCTTAGATCACAGGCAGTAAGATGACATACTCTTAGATCACAGGCAGTAAGATGACATACTCTTAGATCACAGGCAGTAAGGTCACATACTCTTAGATCACAGGCAGTAAGATGACATACTCTTAGATCACAGGCAGTAAGATCACATACTCTTAGATCACAGGCAGTAAGATGACATACTCTTAGATCACAGGCAGTAAGATGACATACTCTTAGATCACAGGCAGTAAGGTCACATACTCTTAGATCACAGGCAGTAAGATCACATACTCTTAGATCACAGGCAGTAAGGTCACATACTCTTAGATCACAGGCAGTAAGATCACACACTCTTAGATCACAGGCAGTAAGGTCACATACTCTTAGATCGCAGGCAGTAAGATGACATACTCTTAGATCACAGGCAGTAAGGTCACATACTCTTAGATCACAGGCAGTAAGGTCACATACTCTTAGATCACAGGCTGTAAGGTCACATACTCTTAGATCACAGGCAGTAAGGTCACATACTCTTAGATCACAGGCAGTAAGGTCACATACTCTTAGATCACAGGCAGTAAGGTCACAGGCAGTAAGGTCACATACTCTTAGATCACAGGCAGTAAGGTCACATACTCTTAGACCACAGGCAGTAAGGTCACATACTCTTAGACCACAGGCAGTAAGGTCACATACTCTTAGATCACAGGCAGTAAGGTCACATACTCTTTAGACCACAGGCAGTAAGGTCACATACTCTTAGATCACAGGCAGTAAGGTCACATACTCTTAGACCACAGGCAGTGAGATCACATACTCTTAGATCACAGGCAGTAAGATCACATACTCTTAGACCACAGGCAGTGAGATCACATACTCTTAGATCACAGGCAGTAAGTTCACATACTCTTAGATCACAGGCAGTAAAATCCCATACTCTTAGATCACAGGCAGTAAGGTCACATACTCTTAGATCACGGGCAGTAAGGTCACATACTCTTAGATCACAGGCAGTAAGGTCACATACTCTTAGACCACAGGCAGTAAGGTCACATACTCTTAGACCACAGGCAGTAAGGTCACATACTCTTAGATCACAGGCAGTAAGGTCACATACTCTTAGATCACAGGCAGTAAGGTCACAGGCAGTAAGGTCACATACTCTTAGATCACAGGCAGTAAGGTCACATACTCTTAGACCACAGGCAGTAAGGTCACATACTCTTAGACCACAGGCAGTAAGGTCACATACTCTTAGATCACAGGCAGTAAGGTCACATACTCTTTAGACCACAGGCAGTAAGGTCACATACTCTTAGATCACAGGCAGTAAGGTCACATACTCTTAGACCACAGGCAGTGAGATCACATACTCTTAGATCACAGGCAGTAAGATCACATACTCTTAGACCACAGGCAGTAAGATCACATACTCTTAGATCACAGGCAGTAAGATCACATACTCTTAGATCACAGGCAGTAAAATCACATACTCTTAGATCACAGGCAGTAAGGTCACATACTCTTAGATCACAGGCAGTAAGGTCACATACTCTTCGATCACAGGCTGTAAGGTCACATACTCTTAGATCACAGGCAGTAAGGTCACATACTCTTAGATCACAGGCAGTAAGGTCACATACTCTTAGATCACAGGCAGTAAGGTCACAGGCAGTAAGGTCACATACTCTTAGATCACAGGCAGTAAGGTCACATACTCTTAGACCACAGGCAGTAAGGTCACATACTCTTAGATCACAGGTAGTAAGGTCACATACTCTTAGATCACAGGCAGTAAGATCACATACTCTTAGATCACAGGCAGTAAGATCACATATTCTTTAAACACAGGCAGTAAGATCACATACTCTTAGATCACAGGCAGTAAGATCACATATTCTTAGATCACAGGCAGTAAAATCACATACTCTTAGATCACAGGCAGTAAGATCACATACTCTTCGATCACAGGCAGTAAGGTCACATACTCTTATATCACAGGCAGTAAAATCACATACTCTTAGATCACAGGCAGTAAGATCACATACTCTTAGATCACAGGCAGTTAGGTCACAGGCAGTAAGGTCACAAACTCTTAGATCACAGGCAGTAAGGTCACATACTCTTAGACCACAGGCAGTAAGGTCACATACTCTTAGATCACAGGCAGTAAGATCACTTACTCTTAGATCACAGGCGGTAAGGTCACATACTCTTAGACCACAGGCAGTAAGATCACATACTCTTAGATCACAGGATGTAAGGTCACAAACTCTTAGATCACAGGCAGTAAGATCACATACTTTTAGATCACAGGCAGTAAGATCACATACTCTTAGATCACAGGCAGTAAGATCACATACTTTTAGATCACAGGCAGTAAGATCACATACTCTTAGATCACAGGATGTAAGGTCACAAACTCTTAGATCACAGGCAGTAAGATCACATACTTTTAGATCACAGGCAGTAAGATCACATACTCTTAGATCACAGGCAGTAAGATCACATACTTTTAGATCACAGGCAGTAAGATCACATACTCTTCGATCACAGGCAGTAAGGTCACATACTCTTAGATCACAGGCAGTAAAATCACATACTCTTAGGTCACAGGCAGTAAGATCACATACTCTTAGATCACAGGCTGTGAGATCACATACTCTTAGATCACAGACAGTAAGATCACATATCGTTGGATCACAGGAAGTAAGATTACATACTCTTTGATCACAGGCAGTAAAATCACATACTCTTAGATCACAGGCAGTAAGATCACATACTCTTAGATCACAGGCAGTAAGATCACATACTGGCAGACCACATACCGTTAGATCACATACTGTCAGATCACAGACAGTAAGATCACATACCATTAGATCACAGACAATTAGATCACATACCGTTAGATCAAAGGCAGTAAAATCACATACTCTTCGATCACAGGCAGTAAGGTCACATACTCTTAGATCACAGGCAGTAAGATCACATACTTTTAGATCACAGGCAGTAAGATCACATACTCTTCGATCACAGGCAGTAAGGTCACATACTCTTAGATCACAGGCAGTAAAATCACATACTCTTAGGTCACAGGCAGTAAGATCACATACTCTTAGATCACAGGCTGTGAGATCACATACTCTTAGATCACAGACAGTAAGATCACATATCGTTGGATCACAGGAAGTAAGATTACATACTCTTTGATCACAGGCAGTAAAATCACATACTCTTAGATCACAGGCAGTAAGATCACATACTCTTAGATCACAGGCAGTAAGATCACATACTGGCAGACCACATACCGTTAGATCACATACTGTCAGATCACAGACAGTAAGATCACATACCATTAGATCACAGACAATTAGATCACATACCGTTAGATCAAAGGCAGTAAAATCACATACTCTTCGATCACAGGCAGTAAGGTCACATACTCTTAGATCACAGGCAGTAAAATTAGATCATACACAGATCACATACTGTTAGATCAGACAGATAGATCACAGACAGTTAGAACATTTACATTCCATTTCCAAACCACATATTATATCATCATCATTCTGACTATTAATAACCTACCTGTTTTCAACGATCATGTATGTGAATATATCTGCCACTTGTTTTGGAAGTTCATGCAGCAACGGCAGCAGTGTCGCCACAATCTGAGACAGCATTGTCCCCAGAAGGGGCAACTCAAGGCTGGAATGTTCAAACAGACATACATCACAGTGAGCCACAATCTGAGGCAGCATCGTCCCCAGAAGGGGCAACTCAAGGCTGGAATGTTCAAACAGACACACATCACAGCGAGCCACAATCTGAGGCAGCATCGTCCCCAGAAGGGGCAACTCAAGGCTGGAATGTTCAAACAGACATACATCACAGTGAGCCACAATCTGAGGCAGCATCGTCCCCAGAAGGGGCAACTCAAGGCTGGAATGTTCAAACAGACACACATCACAACGAGCCACAATCTGAGGCAGCATCGTCCCCAGAAGGGGCAACTCAAGGCTGGAATGTTCACACAGATATACAGCACATTGAGCCACAATCTGAGACAACATCGTCACCAGAAGAGGCAACTCAAGGCTGGAATGTTCACACAGATATACATCAAAGCTGTATACACACATCCTGACTACACAAAGATGTTTGAAATATTTTCAAGAGTTCTGTTTAAATTCAGTTAATACTTTCAGTGAATTGTCCCCAAGTGGCAAATATTCAATATCTGCTTGAGATGACGACAGACTGATATAGATGAATACCCTACTTCAAGTGTGGGTTCTTCACCAATACTTACATGTATTAGAACAAGGCTGACACTACTTACCTTCTAACAAAGCCGTTCCAGGCTCGACATGATGTCTCTACAAACTGTCGACCAAGTCTGTAACAGTACAAATGTATGTACATGTGTAGGTAAATTTCACAAATCAGACATTTGACAAATAAGACTATGAATAACATCAGCAGACCTATTTTATTTAAATTTCAAGATCTTCCATGCAGTGTTAGATACGGTTTCAAACACTGAAGTAAAACATCCTGCAAACTAATAGACAAGTCCTAAGTCGTGAGCATTACATTTTGAGTGATATTTCATAATCGTTGACGAATGTAAGTATATGCCAACCATTCAACTTGAACTGACTATTTTGAATAACTATTCCTTGAAAAGACATGATGCCATTAGTCAGTGTTTGATATTTAAAGTGAAAATATGAAGGTTATTATTGTGATTGACGTTTTGAGGATTTTATGTCACGTCATAACAGTCATTCAGGTTTTTAACTTTTGATGATTGTTTTTTACGAATGGGTGACAAGCTGGACAAGCCTGTGATGCTGGAAGCAAAAGGTGATGCTCTCACCTGAGTGTGTTCATCACCTTGTGTCTGATGGAGCTAATGTGCTTGGACCCCATCAGCTGAATAATGGCGATCAGACTCTCCATGGCCTGGGAAACAAACATTCATCACAATCATTTAAGCAAACACCAGATTCATATTTCTTTCTGTCTCCATTTTCTTGGCTAAAAGGGGTGGTTGGGTAGCATTGTGGTAAAAGCGTTTGCTCGTCACGTCGAAGACCCAGGTTCGATTCCTGACATTGGTACAATGTGTGAAGCTCATTTCTGGTGTCCCCGCCATGATATTGCTGGAATATTGCTAAAAGCAGTGTAAAACAAAACTCACTCACTCACTCACTCTTGGCTAAAATGCCAAGATATAGAAAAGAGAGATATATATTAACGTAAATCAATGTATACTACTCAATAGAAGTTAAGGATCACCCAATTCTTTCATATTGGTAATGTTACTCTGTCATGGCATGAGAGATTAACTATTGTAATATGAAAGAATCAGGTGATCCTTAACTTCTTTTGAGTAGTATATATCTTTTACATTCGTTAAGTTTCAATAAAAATTGTCTGTCAATCAGCAATAAAGTTATATTACTTTATTTAGAATAAACCCTATAGACGAAACAAATAATTGCTAGAGGATTGATAAATCAAAACTTATGTCCCAAAATCTTTCATATTTTTACATCTCACCCCTCAAATTACTCTTGCCTTTGTTCCGAGTTTTCATTGTTTGCTTGACGAGTTACACAGAACACAGTAAATAAAGTCAGGACCTGACAAACCAGTGATTGGTTTGAGTTATGTCCCATGCCATGTGGGTAGGAAGACAAGCAGTCAACCAAGTGACTGAGTGTGGCCACGCGAGGCATGGTGTCACCTGTTACAAGCATAGGTGACAGGGGAGCTAACCCAGTATGCCAGCATTTACTGATATGAAACCTCATTTAAGATGGGAGATGAAATTCTGCTAGCCTCCTTACCAGCTGCTTGTCCTCCAGGGGAGTGTTTGGGTTGACCAGCTGGGAGTCGAAAGATGCCAGGACACCAAGCAGACGAGGTTCCAGATAGTCAGCCTGTGAGGGAGGAGAAACAAGGCCAGGTTCACATCAATCTGTGCGATGCATCACTACAGAGCTCCAGATAAGCTTTTGGTGTTGTGGGTATTTTACCCATGCATTTTAAAATCATTGGGTATCAGTAATTCTATCTGGGTATTCAAATTTCTGTTGCACATGTGGGTATTTAAGTTAAATATTTAAAAACATTAGTCATCTAGTCCCTGCAAACTGGTGTCGTGTGGGTTCGAGAGCTTTATAGGACTCAAACATACCACGATACTTCCACAAGAAAGTGTGATGGCAAATGATCGTGATGTAACTGTCATCGTGGAGTTTGGCAAGGTTGACGGAATGCCCGTTTATAATTTCAAAATAAGTTACTGATTTGCTTATTGAATACGCAGGGTTACTTCACAATATTTTGATGATACGCACAAGTTTTATTTTTGAAGCGTATCTGTAATGTTCATTGCATATTTGATACGCTTGGATTTTATTTTACTGTGTATTTCTGCATTTCTGATGCGTATTTTATGCAGATACGCAGCTTATCTGGAGCTCTGATCACTACATGTAGTGCAAGTCCCACCAACTTGTAAACGACTAAATGTGCATCAGAGAAACATGGCAATTCTTTGTTCATTAAGAAATTAAAATGAAACCTTCAAAATATGTATTTCCAGATAAAAATAAATAAGTCTTGGTTCTCAGGCACCGCCCGCATCCACATTTCGTTTATATTTCCATTTTCAACAAGAACAATAATCCTTAAATGTTTCCCGTCTCGAACTCATGACCCAAGCAGAGTATTGCTACAATACTTAAAAACAATGCGATCTAAGATGGCATGCAGTTACTTCCCTTTATATGCGCACTGTTTTACTGTGCATCTTGTGTTATGGTCATGACAGCAATAAGAGACTGTGTGCTTGTTTTGTAGTTTGCAAATTTGGTGTATGAAATTTATGATAAAACATCACTAGACATGATGATTTACAAATTCAATGGTATTTGTGTACTGTATGCCGGACAATATTTTATACGCAGAGACTAAGATTACATTTGTATTTGACTCGTAAAATAAGCCGGAAATATCAATTAGCTGTGCAAACATTTTCTCCCCAATAGATCTATGAGTGTGATTTAGTTAAAAATATACTTCATGTCATGGCCAATATCATTCCTGAAAAGAAATTTCATTATATTGATAGGAAGATGGAAGTCTTTATATCTCTAACGATTAATGTTCGTTTCAAGGCCAGGTCATGGTGAGTTGATGTGATTTGCCAATCAGTTTTTTCACGATTTTGCCAAAATTAATGAAAACAAAATTGAAAGAAATCTTGGAAAAAAGTAATATAATGGATTACAAACGAACGTCCAGATATACAATGAACACTTTTATAGCCAGATAGTGTAATAACAGGACTAACTTGCCTACTTTTGTACAGATTTGTTGACATGCTTCTTGTGATGTTGTGTGCTCATGATAACATCTTCACATTGTGAAATAAAATCAAAGCTCACTGTATGAGTGTATTCTGTGAACACAGGTAGTCCAACGATAGTCAAATACGGTATTCCAGTATTTTACTTATCAAGGAATACATTTATATATGGAAGCCCTTTCCCAGGTTGATTATACACAACCGTTTCAATGGTTAAATGAAGCACAGACAAGACTTATGATTTGCTTGTTGTGTGATGCCTCACTAACGATCCATGCTGTCAGGGTACGCTGACACTCAAATCAACATTTCACCAAGGGTGACCATCAGATCCATCAAATTGTGAATTACAACCAGCAAAGGTTGCCAAGGACCGATTCAAACCTGGAATCCCCACCGGCACAAGCCTTGTTACGGAGTAAGATAAGACTGATGCCTACCATCTGTTCTGGTGTGGTGATGTCCTTGGGTCCTTGGTAATGACCATCGTAAGATGACAGGGTTCTCAGACCATTGAACACCTGGAAGGGAGGGCCACCATGTCATACTTCACAATCAACATAACATTAAAACATTTACATTTTATTACTTTTTTTCAGTAACACCTTTCTTGAGCCTGAAAAGTATATTGAGAGGATCTTGTATCAATAATAATTATTTGAATACAGCATATTTTTTTTCATTTCTTTGATAGGCATTTAGAAGTTGGAGTACCAAGCAAGAATAAGAAATGATGGATGAACAACTTCTTTATTACAATTAAGAGCTTGGAAGAATGGATGTACTGGTCCTCAAGGTTGTTGAGTCGGTTGATGGTTGAGATTGCCACGCCTCCATGAAGACGACGAATAACTTCTTTGATAGGCATTTAGAAGTTGGGAGTACTAAGCAAGGATAAGAATTTATGGATGAACATGGAGAAAGCTCTGGCAATAAATAAAGAAGTTGTTCATCCATAAATTCTTATCCTTGCTTTTCTTTCATTGTCAGCATGGTGAAGAAAAAACATTTTGTTTTCCAGACATATGTTTACCAGATTAACATGAATAAATTTCTTGTCAGTTTCGCAATGAAACAGTGAGTGAGTTTGGATGAACGCCGCTTTGAAGAGTATTCCAGTTATATCATGGCATGTCAGCTTGATGTGGGAGGAAAACCCAAAGTGATACAGATCTTAGACGTCTAAGGGACACAACTCTGTACAGCATGGGGTCCGCCTGTTCCCACTCATAATACTGTTTGTCTCATAACGATGCTATTGTTACTTTCATATTGCTTTGTGTCCCATGCAGTGTTTTACTGCCATGAGTGAGACTGTCTGATATCCCATGTCGTACCTGTTGGTAGTTGGAGCTGAGATGAAGCAGCAGCTCGTTGTGGAGCCGCTGGAAATCGAGGCGGATCAGCTTGCCAAGGTCCATGTTGGCCTCACTCTGGATGAAACAGGAGGACATAAACCAAATATTCCATCTCGATCAAGTCAACCTCACCTATCTTGTCATCTCATTCATGCATCGCTCTTTTAACATCTATATCCCATTCGCACCATATAACTCAGTGTTATAGATTAAGAGAGGTCCTGGGGTCCTTGATGTTTGCTACTCAAGTTTAGGACAGTCAAACACCAATTTGTCAAAGTTGAAGGGACCTACGTAAATATTATGAGTTATCGAAGTTTTGACACAACCGAAAATGATGAATAAAGAAGGAATACACAGGGACCAAGCTTTTACTTTGAGACAACTGCAAGTTTGACACATCAAAGTTAATAAAAAAGGTGGAACTACATCTTAAAACTTTTAACATTAAGGTTATGACAACGGCTTTCATGCCTAATTTTGGACACTGCAGCTAATACCAACCTCCCTTTATGCAGATATTTTGGTATACATATATAGCAGACTACAAAGGACAATCTGTTTTTCCGAGATCATGTTAATCTGGGGTGTGTGGGGTGTGTGTTTGGGGTGTGTGTGGGGTGTGTGTAAGGGTAGGCTGTCCAAATAAAGAGCAGCTCTTTGAATATTAATAGGAGATCTGACTGTGTCATACTTCATGAAGGCTGTACCCACCTGTAGAAATGCCAGAGCTTTCTCCAACTCAGCGGCTTGGCAAAGTCTGACCAGATAGGAGAAGATATACTTCATGTTGTGCACCAGGAGCAGACGTCGTGTCTGGAACATAACAGTCATGTCCTTTAGAGGCTACAAGGATTTGTTTGAAAGAGATACAATGACCAATTGTAAGATAAAGTAGGATAGCTGTCCCTGTAAGTTTCACCTATCACTTACATTGATGTTCAGGAGTGTGGAGATCATCTTCAGGAGGTTCGAGGCAACTGGAGTGGCCTTGCTCACAAGGAACGGGACGATGTGTTTCTCAGATCCCTGAAAACATGGTAACACACGCTTGAACACATTCTCACATTGCAAAACACTTCATAATTACTTGGTCACCGACAAAAGTACCCACTGATTCTAATTTGTCTACAAAAGAATGCAATGTTGATGATTTACTTTACCAGGAGAGGATAAACAGGGTCTGAAGCTGTTGTTGGCAATATTTCATGTCCCAGCAGTAACTACTTGTGAAAATGGAGACACAGAGATATTTCATGGTTAATTGTTTAAGCAAAACTCTATATCTTAATCAACACAGGCACAAAACTGAACAAAATCAACAGTTTTACCGCCAAATGGAAATCGACCAAACTCATAACATATCTGAATCTGAAATTAAATTTTCATTCCATGACCACAACTTAAATGTTTGTCATGATTCTTGGGTTGTAATGTTTCATGAGGAAAGCACACTGAAGTACCACTGGTCTTACTACCCTGGGACATGCTGCCCCACACTTAGCAGAGTTATCTGCCCTAATGCTATGCTAACAATGGCTACCTGCAGGAACATCTTGACATCCTGGTACTTGAGAGCTCTGGCCACCTTGTGTAGAATAACCTCTGGGGTGTTGTCCCCGCTCCCTGTGGCTGCATCATGCATGGCCTCCACAAGAAACTGACAAGGAAAACAAGGCTTTGTTAAGAGTGAGACTTTACCCCCCTTTTTACACAACTACTGTGCCGGCATTAAAAAGGGCAACACCTCCCCCCCCCCCCCCCCCCCCCCTCCAAGATCCGTTATAGTTGTATTATGATTAGACTAAATGTTATCAATAACTTTGTTTTTGGATTTCTTTTCCTAATCCATAGGGTCAATGATGGCTACCTGGCGGCCATATTTAAATACTAATTCAAATGCATTGTACAAACTTGAAACCCTTATGGTAAGAAACATCCCTTCAAATTTTAGCTGAATCCATCAAGCAATTCTTTAGTATAAGATGTAGATCTTAAAAGTTTCAGAACAACACAACAGAAATTGCTTGGTGAGATCCATATCATGTAAGCTAAAAACATCAGCATGCCTACATATGTTATAATCCTCCCGTCATACCTTGCATATGCCTTGTCGGAACTTGCTGAGCAGGTTCTGAGTGCTCATCTTCTTATGATCAGCTATAGCATGCAGCTGAAACATGAATTATGTGAAAATCAAATATTGTCTTTGGATGCTTTCTAACAATACCTGCCAAAGCCATTGTATTCAACAAACAATATGGGCTCACAGTAATATATGTGTTATGTGATATTTGACGGTTCTTTGTTGGACATGATCCTTCCTAAGGTTCCCTTCCCTATTAAACAAGTCAGGAGAGTTGATATAAAGACTTCCCTCTCTCATTGTTTTTTAAGTAAAATAGACTGAAAGTTCAATAAACTAATAACTGGTTAAAAAAAGTTTAATGCACAGATTGAGAGACAAAAATTCTTTCATCCAATAACACACCATTTATTTTAATCAGTTCATATTGCAATGAGTAAATATGAAGGTAAATAAACAAAACTTATTTTGTATTGTATTATATAGGCTTATAAAGAGGGGAATACTGTTTCATCAAATAAAATTTCCTGAGGGTTATTTAAACCCAGAACAAATTTATGTTTCTGCCATGTACTACAATTAAAAACAAACGGTGATAGAGATGTATTTGTGTGCATTTATCATCTTATTGCCAGGTGAGCTTCAGACATCAAAATGCCATCAAAGTCACTGTTAATGTACCTAATGCTGTGTTGTCATGAGGCAGGGTATATTTGTTTCAGTTGTACACTGTTTTAGCTGGGTATATAGAAATTTATCAAAACGTCACTGCCCAAAAAGATTGAAGTGTTCTATAAAGTGCATGTGTCACCTCATGGTAGGCAGTGGCGGCTGTGAGTGGTATGGCTGACAGCAGGCTCTCCAGCAAGCTCACCAGCACCACCAGGAGGATGTCCTTCTCTGCAACCCTGTGGAACGGAAGTGACATTGGTGTAATGCAGTTCTTGTGGCCTGAGCAATGTAATATTAATGAACAATTCTACAGCTTTATGTGAGCCTTTACAAAAAATATTTCCCTTAGTAATTATTGATAACTATTTATTAATCATCAATTAATTATCCATTAATTATCTTTCCAAAACACAAAGGACTCATTGTTCTGCAAAATGATATAATCAGACACAAACAAAATTAAAATAAAATAATAACTTATGTAGCTAAGTCCCCTGTAGCAAAAAGGATAGAATGATTTGGTAGATGGACAATATTTTCAAAATAATATTAGAGATCAATGAGCAAAATCCTGATAATGCAAATGCTATCCCTGACCTAGAAAATAAGGTCAATGTCACCATAACTAAACGGGACTCAATGACCTTCCCATCTGAACATTATTCATGAAGTATATCTTGAGATTTCACAAACAAACTGCAATAAAAAGGGGAAGTTTTCAGTGACCTTGAAATGTAAGGTCAAGGTCACCATCAAATATCTGTGGACTCCAGCGTTTGTGATATCTCACAAACGTACTGACCAAATGCTGCCCATGACCTTCCAAATAAGGTCAAGGTCACCATGGTGAACCAGGATGAGAAGGTCCCAAAGGCACCTTGGAACAGAGTCCACGTACAGCTTCTGGGCATAACTCGCTATATGTCTGAAGAGGTCTGAGACTCCACCCACCTGCCAAGTTGCCCGATGGTGTACAGCACAGTCTCCTGGAGCCTGATGTTGTTGTCGGACCGGGCCTGGAAGTAGACCTGCTGAAGTCTGTTCATGATGATGTTGTCCACGCCTCCCTTCATCTCTCCCTCTCCCTCCTCTCCCAGCAGGTGCTGAATCACCTCACTGAAACAAGGTATACAATGAGTGAGTTCGCCATAACACAGGTTTGAACAGTATTTCAATTATAAAACAGCAGGTCAGCAGTCAGGCAACTTGGTGTTGTAAAGAGTTATCCCCCTTGAGTGATGTTTCATTGCTCAAATTATTATGTGTTTGGTGCTACAGTTTGCTTTTGTTCATAGAGGTTATGGATAAACCCTTTTTCTTGTATGCTATTTAACATTTTCTCTTTGTGGAGTTAGGCCTTACTTATAGTTGTTGTAAATTAATGTTGAAGGAAAGCCAAAAATGATGCTGGTCACTTTCAATTTTTGGTGGAATCCATGAGCATTCATGCCAATGATTGTAAGATCCTGGTCCGCCTAAGGGACACAACTCTGCATCAGAATCACCTGAAACGTGTCCTGACTTGATGGTCCGTGTCTTCTACCAGCCCGAGACACTGATTCAACATGGCCACTGTGGTTTGGTTGTGGGACCGAATACTGATGTGACTGAACATCTGTCTAATGCTCTTGATGAAGGCTGAAACCATGGACTCTCATACAGACACGTAAACTCACAATAGCAGCACATCGCAGAATTATCCAAACACAGACAGCAGTTGCATTAAATATCTTTTCCTCCCCTAATACAACCTCAATTATCCAGTGTCTTATCTCTCCATTCTATGACAAATTCCCCGAACCCATGCAACACCATAGCTTCATTTCTGAAGTATTGTCACCACCTCTGTCACTCCTATCTATAACACAGCACAGTATTTCTCTTGCTCATGAGAGTAATTTCACTGAACAACTATTTCTAGTAAGATACCATTTGAATCACAAAACAAACACCTGCATTCACATCCAACGAGATTGGTTGGTTTGTTGTTTTACGCCACACTCAGCAATATTCCAGCTACATGACGGTGGTCTGTAAATAATCGAGTCTGGACCAGACAATCCAGTGATTAATATCATGAGCATCAATCCACGCAATTGGGATTGATGACATGCATCAACCAAGTCAGTGAGCCTGACCACCCGATCCCGTTAGTCGCCTTTTACGACAAGCATAGGTACCTTTTAAGGCAAGTATGGGTTGCTGAAGACCTATTCTACCCCGGAATCTTCACGGGTCCCACACACAATGAGAGCACTGAGGCTGTCTCACCTTTCTTAATAGTCACATCACCTATCTCCAGGAGCTGCAGGAATGGACTGAACAGCGCCGGGTCAACACTCTTTGACCTCTCCTTCTGGGAGCTGCATCCATCAGTCTTTCCTGCAACCGTAGCGAGTGAGTGTACGTTAAGTGCAGCTTTGAAGATTTTGGTTGTTGTTTATCGCCGCACTCAGCAATATTCCAGCTATATGATGGGGGTCAGTAAATAAACAAGTTGGGACCAGACAATCCAGTGATTGACATCATGAGCACTGATCCATGCAATTGGGATACAATGACATGCATCAACCAAGTCAGTGAGCCTGACCACCGAACCTGTTTGTCACCTCTTATGACATGCATAGTCGCCTTTTACGGCAAGCATGGGTTGCTGAAGATCTATTCTACCCCGGGTCTTCATGGGTTGCAACCTTGAAGAGTTTTCCCATTACATCAGCTCATGGCCAAGGTGATGCCAGTTGTAGTGAGAACACTGAAGTGTATGGTGCTAACTGTGCATTTCACAGCCATGGCTAAGCTATGCAAATGTACAGTGTGTTTCAGACCTAAAACCACTAGACATATCTACCTCTGCCCCTTAGGGCCCTTACCAACAAGTACTGACATAAATAAGCAACTATCACTAACATGTTCAAAGCTCATTAATTCAAGAATCACATGACACTGTTTGGCCCTGAAAACCTCCCCGCCTCACCTTGCAGCTCGTCACACAGTGTGCACTTGATGCTGAACTTCCTGTACAGGGGGCCACAGGCAGCAGAGAAGTCATCACTGAAACACACACAACAACTGACATGATGTCTGCCACCTACACTCGTGGAAAACAGTCAAAGGTATCAGAAACCAAACTGTACTTACAATGCAAGTAATAAATAAGAGGATTTATGGATGGCAACTTCTTCATATGAGGAACACAACGTTTCGGAGTATATAATATACTTCCTTTCTCAGATGAAGGAGTAAGTATATACTCTGAAACTTTGTGTTTCTCATGTAAAGAAGTTGACGTCCATAAATTCTCTTCTTAATGTGTATCACTTCTAAATGCCATTCAAAGACTTCATGCAAATAATGTATAATCATGCATGTGTCATAAACCACATTGAGTTTGGATGTGTGAGTTTGGTTTTATGCCATCATGAACAGTATTTCGTTCACATCACAGCGTGAAAAGATGGAATGTGGTGCAGGTCAAATGCTTCCTACTTTGGTGAAACCAACCAGCATGAGTATGGTACAGACAATCCCAGAAACACGAGTGAGTGAGTGAGTATGGTTTTACGCCGCTTTTAGCAATATTCCAGCAATATCACGGCGGGGGACACCAGAAATGAGCTTCACACATTGTGCCCATGTCGGGAATCGAACCCGGGTCTTCGGCGTGACGAGTGAACACTTTAACCACTAGGCTACCCGACCGCCCCCCCCAGAAACATGATCAGGTGGAATAATAATAATAATAATAATAATAATAAGTGCATTTATAATGCGCCAGATTCCATTCACCAAGTGGATGCTGACAGCGCTACACTATTATTATCCCGGTCAATGGATCAGTGAGCACTCGATTTTCATTCTCAGCTCCCTGGGGAGTATACAACCAAAGCTGCCTGTGAGGCGCTAGAAGTTTAACAGGAATCTTGGACTAGCACCCTTTGGTCCCAAGATAGTGCAGCAATGGTATTTAACCAATAACAATTCAAACACTCTCTCTAATACAATTCCAGTACCAAATGCAGGCTAATGTTCATAACATGTCTGGATATCTTCCTCCTCCTCATGTGTCATTCTGTTGTTTTCTTTGTCCTTGAGGTGATTTCGTCCAGTTGTTTCTGTTATCTCTGTACAGCCTGAGTGTGCTAGCCCACCTCCTCCGCCCATTAACAGTTATCACACTTGTTCGTTCTAAATTGAATCTTTCTCAGAAATAAAGTGACCATGGTGGTGACGAGACAGTGTCTGCCCAGAGAGTGGAAGGAAGGTGGAACGATCCCTGGCCTCATCACATCAAAAGATGTTAAAGGATGGTACTTGTAGCTACGACCCGTGAAGATCCGCGGTAGGATAGGTCTTCAGCATACCATGCTTACCGTAAAAGGGGGCTATGTTCGTCGTAAGGGACGACTCTCAGGATTGGGTGGTCTGGCTTGGTGATGCATGTCATCATATCCCAGTTGGGTAGATCGATGCTCATGATGTCAATCACTGGATTGTCTGGTCCAGACTCGATTATTTACACACCACCGTCATATAGCTGGAATATTGCTGAATGCAACATTACACAGCAAGCTAACAAACTTGCCTGTTTAGAGCTTGGCCTGTTTAGGGGCTAAGACAAGGAATGGTCGGCTCGGAGTCAGTATAATGTGTCTGAGTGGGGTATTCATGTTAAACTGCAGCATGGTATCTCAGTAGGATTGATACAACTGGTGGACTAGTACAAGCAGACACATCCATTATCACCTCTCCTGACCATGGTGGCAATCATATATAGTGAATTCTCCTGCATCTGAAGTTCCAGAAAAAACACAACAGTGAAAGAACAGCTCACCACTTGAAGAGGGCCTTCCGACTGACAACACATGTGATGATCCCCAAACTTGTGGCCAGGGTTTCAACAATTGGCTGGTGTTTGTCCCCAGTAAGAGGGCTGCAAGAACAGATGCTCACTGTACTGTAGGACATTACAAGACTTACATTTGCCTGCCAGCAGATGACCTGGCTGCTTGGTATTTAATATGAACAATGTGTTAGAAAATAAGTCAACGGGAATTACACACTTTACATATTTGGCAAGTTCTACAATCGTACTACATAAACTGGAAGTATATAGGATTTGAAAGCTTTCTTGTTGCAAATGCTTGGTATTTAATACTACAAATGTGTTAGATGATAGGTCACCAGGAATGACATATTTTACATATTTAGGAATATTCTATAATCATACTACATAAACTGGAAGTATATGGGACTTGAAAGATTTCTTTTTATCAAATGGCACTACATATTTCCACAGCAAAATTCAACACTTAGAACATAATACTTTAGAAATAGGTTCAAATTCATTTAAGTCAGGACCACACATGTTGTTATTCAATGGGACTTATAGCCTTGTGGAAGTTACTCACTGCAAGAAGTTCGTAATGAGATGGTTTCCATTCGGTCCAAGGTTGAAGAGGAATTCTGGCATAACCTGAAGTGACGCCAGGCGGATGTCTGCACTGCTGTCAGCCTGAAACGAGGGGAGTATCACTCCATAATACAGTCACTCTGTAACAACTCTTCAATAGTGATATCTGCTTTGTTCATATCACAGAAAGTGCCAAACTTACGAAAGTTTGAGTGAAGATATGGATCCTCCATTTTGATGCCACATCTTTGGGCAGCAGAGACAGGACCCTCAGACTCTCACACAATGTGGCTGTCTCTGAAACACACCCAGAAACAGGTCCAGTTGGCTAGGAGGAGCTTAAAGGCTTACATTAGCATGCTCACATTACCGGAACTATTTTGTTTTCTCTTGCTTCAGGTCAATAGTTATTAACTGGACCTTGCTCAACTGGAGGTCACAATGAGCTCATCTGGTCCTAGTCAGTGATATCCTCTCATACATCTCATATTTTGGGATCATCAGCTGGTTTGTCGATGTCAAGTTGGCCTAAAACTGTCAGTTGCTCGTATAATACAATTTTTAAACTTCTGTATTCCTCTTTAAATCTCACCAATGACATCAGACAGAGTGTTGCTGAGCTGGGCAATCTCCTTGGCCCTGACAGGCCTAAGGTCCAGCCAGGACAGGTCATTCTGGAAAACATACAGGTCTTGATAACAAGAGCCCCTTGTTACAGTGGGAATTTACAATCCTTCAAGACATATTCGAGCCACATCAAAGAATGTCGCAGATGTGCAATACAATCAGCCAACACTTTAACCCTGTTTCATGACTATAGGGAAAGAAAAACCTTTAACATGGTATACACTTGTTAGTTTGTTAGCTGCCGAACTCTCACTTAGCACTACAGCTGCTGTATGAAGGTGGCCTGCAAGTAATCGAGTCTGGAGAAAGCAAACCTGTTATTAATCTTATCTGCAACTTCCCATGCTGTCTGAGATGTTGATAAACAATAAACCAGGTCATTTAGCCTGGCCACTTGCTCCATATTGTCACCTCTTACGAACAGTATAGTTTGCTGGGGATCTGTTCTTACCCAGAATCCCCACTCGTCTGACAGACGTGTATAGTGCAAGATATTACAAGTAAACTGGATACTATCAAAAACGAAATCAAGCCACTCCAAGTAATTACACTGTTTAATGATGCAGGAATGAACAGTCAACCCTTTTCTCTTGATCCTTGAAATGACCCTTCTACATTTGCCAAACATCTAATGTTTTTTTCAATTTTCATAAAGTCACAGTCATGACATAAATAACCACCCATGACCATGATGACCATTTTCAGTACTTGCAGTATTAATGATCCCCAAATATATTTTGTACTTACTGGTAACCATGGCAATGACAGTATCCAAGCAAAATCTGTCAGAATATCAATGTCGGATAGAACTGAATCTGAAAACAACAAGTCTTATGTCACACAAAATGTAAGGCAATGAAAGGAAAAGATGCTGCAAAAAGGTGTCAAGCATGTAATATAAAGTTAATCCTGCACATTTCTGGCAATAGTGTGGCCGGGTAACAGACATCAAACATGCAGAAAGTCTCGAGTCTTGAACGTTCACAAATACAGAATTGTGCATAAATGAGTACGACTGCCATCAGCACAATAAGAACGATACATGGATGCATCAGTTTTCTCTGTGCTAGGGCTGGGACGGGTACTCGGGTCGGGTGGGTCCTGAGTAGGACCCGGGTACCCACAGGACTACCCGAACACGTGGTTAGTCATGTGATATTATTATTTAATGAAAAAAACTCACCATAGCATTGTGGCTACACTATAAGTCGCTAATGTTCACATTTTTTTCTGACGATGCACACATTCGTTTTGAATGTATATATGTATGAGTAAAGATAAAGCTTCAGTCAACTTCAGTGTACACAAGATCTGATCATTTGATACACATATCTAAATAGTTTTGCCAGTGCTGCGGTAAAACTGTTCCAAATCAGACATTTTGTTCCCAACACTTGAGACCAACAACAGGTACCCGAGTAGGGCCTGGTAAAAGGGGGTCGGGTACCCAGGTAGTAAATTTGGACTCATCCAAGCCCTACTCTGTGCCATCAAAAAGTATCGAATTTGGCTACTTTTCATGTCTTTTCATGTGAGAAGTTTCAATGTATCTAATCGCAACCTACTCTTAAGACACAATTTTTATTGCAAAGAAGGGAATCGTTCCAGTCCTAAGGGACACTATTGTCTAACCCTGCAGTGCCAGTAGAGTTCCTATAGACTGTATGATGATGAGGACGCCTGTGTTGATGGTGGCTGGGGACAGTTCGGTCTTATCCTGAAACAAGTACTCTGCCCAGACGTCATAGAACTGCCGTAGAAGCTGCTTGCTCAGCCAGGTCTGCAGGACACAAGGACTGCAAGGAAAGCTTTGATATACACGCAATTCTTTCAAAGTGTCATTTTCTTAAAGTGAAATATCATGGATTTACAGGACTGTTGTCCAGTGGGACCATTAAAAATGTTTAAAATAAGGCTAAAAAAAATTGGTTCTTCAGCAATGACTATTGAAAATATAGTGCGAGCAGGCAGTGCTTTTTTTCTTTCTTTTGTTTGGCTTGTTCAAACTAGTATGTATCCAAATAAACAGTTGTGTACTATCAACCTGGAAAAGGGCCTCACTACATAAACAAACATACAAACTCCCAAGATGCGCAGTTAAGCAGTGCGCATGTAAAGGAAAGTTACTGCGTGCTAAATTGGATCGCATTGTGTTTAAGTATTATGATTTTTATATATTTTTTTTAAAAATGGAAATAAAAACGAAACGTGCGGCAGACTTTACGATGACATGGAAGGTGCTTGAGAAGATTATTTTATTTTTTAGCTTAATGTACATGGATTGCATATGATCAATTTTAGAGACGACCTTCTTACCAGACCTACTGGCAGACAGGCCTAATGTGATCACTGCTAGAATGAACTGAAGTGATGTTAACTATACAGAATCAAATTTCTTGAAAGTTAACCAATAAGCAAATTAGTTTGTCAAGTCCATATCTCTATGACACATGAGAGTATTACCGGTCCTCCCCTGTGGTATTCTGGCAGTGGACAATTCCCCTTGCCGCCAGCTCAATCACTGTCTGTATGATCTTCAGACATGACATGTGGTCTGTCTGAAACACAAAAAATTAAAAGGGTATAATATCTTGAACCAGAGTATGGTGCATAGATCAAATTTCATAATTGTTGCCCCATAAAAGCGAGTCCTTGGACATGAATTGAATCAGAAGTCTTTGTTTCCTGAGCATAAAGATAGGGGAAGAAAGTCCAAATGCTATCAGGTGTGTAAAGTTGTGTTTGAGATGGTATGGTGATTGCACAAAACAGAGTCATTTGGATGAGTGAGTGAGTGAGTGAGTGAGTGAGTGAGTGAGTGAGTGAGTGAGTGAGTGAGTGAGTGAGTGAGTGAGTGAGTGAGTGAGTGAGTGAGTGAGTGAGTGAGTATGGTTTTACGCCGCTTTTAGCAATATTCCAGCAATATCACAGCGAGGGACACCAGAAATGGGCTTCGAAATGGAATCGAACCCGGGTCTCCGGTGTGACGAGTGCACACTTTAACTACTAGGCTACCCGACCGCCCCTTTACTGGATGATTATTTATAGCATCATGCCAGTCGAACCCAACTCAAAACATAGCTATGGGTCACAGGTTTTCTTTACAGAATGGAGAAATAACACACTAGATACTTGAGACTGCAAGATATAAAGCTATCCCCATCTTCCCGAGGCAAGAGAGTTAACTGACTTTAAAAGTCCAGTTTCCGCCTTTGCCGAACTAGGCTGGAATTCCTGGGCTCGATCGTAGCACCACCAGTGGTTATTACGAGTTATGTCCCTTCTAAGCCTCTCCTATGGACTAATCAGATTCCGGCTCTCGTGTCACTTGCATTTGTTTCAAACAAAATGCCGTTTGTTTCAAACAAGGGTGGAAACTGGACTTATATAGGCAGTTAACCCTCTTGCCTCAGGGGGATGAGCTATCCCCAGAGTTGGGACACTACCTTTCTGTTGATGATGGACATCCTCAGTTTCTGCATAGCCTGTTTGAAGGTGGCGGATTGCTTCTCGAGGTTGCCCTCATCGTCATCTGACGGCTTTCTATGGATAAACAACATGGGGCCTTTCAGTTTCTTCCCTGTGTACCACAACAGCAAACGTATTGGCCTCCTCTGTTATATGTTAAATGGACAGAATGTGGTGACATGTTTGGATTGTGAGTGACATAGTGCTGACAAACCAAAGATCAGGATCAGGGAGAATCAGGGAATCAACCAATGACATGTGGATCCTGCATGACCAAGGGAAGCAACTCTACAGTTAACCACTCACTTGCCCTACCAGCAGTTCAATTAATTTGGAGACGCATTAATTTCCAGATTTACAGTATTTAGCATAACCTTATCCTCACACTGCTGCATGGATCGATCAAATTGTTCATTGAAACATTGCTGATATACGAGTTTCAAATGTCAATCATGTCTTGTTTATGCCTAAAATCTGTATGTTTTCACTGGATTCGTAGTCCGTGTGTTTTATTCAAAATCCTTAGAAACTACAGGAAAATTGTAGGAGTAAACAGGTCTGCAACGTGCACACCTTAAACCATAACATTTTGCCACCCTAGTATGAAAGGTTTATTTCATTAACACCACATTTTATTCATTGATGTAACTGATACATTATTGTCAATACAACACCTTTTTCGCTTCTGTGATAGTCCTGGTCTCTTGTGTTTATCCTTCCGGTCCTGCTCAACATCTACCCTGGTTGTCTCCCCTTGTTTTGGCAGCTGACCTTGAAGATCGATCACAATGAGCTGATGCAAGGGGTTCACAATGAACTGAAAATAAAGATTGTTTGTTGCAGAATGGACATTGACGTCATTAGGGTTTAGATGAAACGTAGCCAGCAACCTTGAGAGTTGTTATTCTTAAGTATGGTCAAAAGGACTGGTTATTTAACCTTATTTCGCTAGTCCTTAGAGTTCGTACTAGTCCTGCTTGAACCAGACAAAAAAATTTCCATGCATTCATTTTCTGTCAGTAAATTCAGTTCAAGTTTGTAGTAAAATTGAAGCATTGAGAACTGGTTCAGAATTGTAGCCCACAAATGCTGCTTGTCAATGAGGAGTACCACCATTTGATTTATACCTGTCATCAGCACAATTTAGTAGTCTCCTGAATTTCTAAAGCTGCAATCAGCCAGATCACACACTGAAACAACCTGATATTCGAGATAGACTGCTCTTACAATGGGATACAGGAGATCTGTTCTGCATGCGATCCCCGTCTGGGTGCATCAAGCTAGAAGAGTTACTCACTACTCACGAGTTGCGTCTGCTCCTACAACTTGACACACATCAGACATCCAGGCTAACCAGGATACTCTCATATCCACAGTCTACTCTCCAAACATGACAATCATACACACTCTCACAAAAAGAAAACTTATTCTCCTAAAGAAATGTTTTAACCTGACCTCGTAAGATATTGTTGATCCAAAGACTCCAAACAATGCCCTCATGAGCTGCTGTCGGTAGTAGCAGAACAGTTGGCTGTGTCTGAGGTCAGCCGGGAACTTTCCTAGAAGGTGACAGATCCAGTGTGACATTGCCTGCCTCATGTTGTCAGTGCGGAGACCAGTCAGCCCGAGTTTCACAGCCATGTCAGCAAGTCTTTTCAGCTGGTCCTCAGCCTGGCCAACAGACACCTGGTTTATCTTGAAGGGCTTTGCATCTGCTGCTATGAGGCCATTCATCATCAAGGCACTGTTTTCTTCAAGTTCTTGTAACTCACTGAAGGAAAATTCTCAGAAATCCAGTGTGATACTATACCAAAACTTACCACAGGTACTGTCTGATAAGTTTATGAAATGGCTGACATATGGATGTTTGAGAGGCTACATGAAAGAACTCTCTGTGATATAATACTTGGTGGCAGGGTCACGATCACAAACTTGAAATAGTCAAGAAATGATGACAAGGAGCGTTATGGATAACGACTTCTTCATCACAGTACATTACGTTTATAACGAACATGCTTATAACGAACTGACCGATATAACAAACTTATTTTTTAGCCCCGGCCATTTGTTGTATATACATGATATATGCTGTAAATATGCTTATAACGAACTACGGTTATTACAAACTAAAGTTAGTGGTCCCTTTGAGTTCATTATAACCATAGCTTACTGTATATTATACACAACTAAGGACCATTTCTTGCCCTTTTATAAGATTATCATAACCTGATGAAGGGTCAATTAAGTTGCCCTAACTCATCCATAATATTGTTTGTCATAATCAGATAGGATTTCTAAACGCATATCAAGACTCTCCGTCAAGAAATTATTTGGGTGGAATCAAATGTTTCATACTTTATGGACTGTTTTGCAACAGCAGGTGACAGTTTATTTCTACTCCACCTCACCACCCCAACCCACCACCCCAAACCCCCAAAAATGTGCAATGGACAAAGGAGTGAGTGAGTGAGTTAATGCTTTACGTCACATCGGCAATATTCCAGCCATATCGTGACGATAATGGACAAAGGAGTAAGACAAGAGGCCTAAGAAGATGACAAATCTTTCCGGCCACTAGATTGGCAAAAGGCACAAATTCAGTCCCTGGTTAATACATGTACCAAGTTTGGATGGAAAACCTTTTACGCTTTGCAAGATATCCCCTGGAAACGAGTTACAGACGGAAAGGGTTCTTTTCATTATCCAAATAAAAGTAAGAGCAGCTTTTCATGACATTCCGTCTGCTCACCTATCTGGCACATCATCACAGTCGGTCAGCAGGAACTCCAGCAGGCCGGCCACACAGCCCAGGAAGTAGTCCATCACCAGCGTGGGCAGACCGGTCGAGGCCAGGATGTCGGACAGGAGGGACAGGGAACACTGGAAACATAGAACTTCGTCAGGAATGTCCAGAGACTCGGGCAGGAACAGGCCAAGATCGGCAGATCCAAACAATTTGAACAACAATAATACCACAAGAATTATATACCTTGTAAACCTCACCGATAACTTTCATCCAAGAGAGCCAAAATTGCAAATACTTTGAGCTAGTTGTGTGAGTAGAAGTATTCTGTAGATGTCATGTAAAGTAGAGTCTAGTTCTCAAGAGTCAAGTCGAGGGTGATTTTTAACTTTGAAATCCAGTTTTTTCATCTTTGACTCCAATATGATACCTCTCTGCATGAAGACTGACAACTCCAATATGATACCTCTCTGCATGAAGACTGACAAGCAGTCTATATGGCATCTACATCCAACTTGGATCACCGCTGAAGGAATGTATAGGTTTTCTTTTGTTCAAATCAAAATGTCCGAATCAGATTTGCTTTAGAAAGGTGACATCTGATTGGATTAAGAACCCCCGCATCCTTCACCTTCCTTCATTTGGCAGTCTAAGTTCTCTCAGGGTTCACCTGTCGTTACCTTCAGTGGATGAGTTGTCAGATCTACAAGCACAGAGGTGTCATACCAGAGCAAAAGATTATCAAGAGACTGGTTGTTTGTGAGCTTACTATTTTCAGCTGGATGTCCCCAAACTCCAGATGGCAGCACAGACATCCCCACAACAACTGAACATGGTGCGGGTCTACCACACAGACCTCATGCAGCGAGCCGTGGACTATCTTCCTGTAATCATCAGAAACCAGTGCCACCATTATTAAAACACCCGCTGGTGGGACAAGGGGTCCATTTAACCATATCGCAACACTACAGCAGTGATTTATTAGATGTGAAATACTGCATCCTATATGCATAAACATTGAAAAGAGAAACAAAATTATTACAGAGTGCATCCTACAGGATGCAGAAAATTTGTTTAGGAATGACTGCTATTACAAAATTTGGTGCCCCTTAATGTTAATTTCCATACATTATCATTTAAAAAATATCATACACAGTCACATGCTACATGATCTTCTTGCTACATCACTTGTAGAAATGTTTCAGTTGGGGAATTCCCTATCTGTGCCACTGAGCATGTGCCGTTATACATCACTTGTGATAGAGGACTGTATTCAATTTCTTGACATTTCTCTAGGGACCCACTTTTAAAATATAGAACCCTTACAATTAAAGTCCTTGAGCCCCCTGAACCCAAAACTAAACAACCCAGGTAAAACTGTGCATTAGTACTGTGATAGTTGAGTATCTTTATTGGTCCACAATGCAGGGTTTGATTTAAGGAACTTGATTCAACTTGTAACAGGTGCATGTTGACATGAAAACCAAGTTACACCAGTCAAAACCAAGTTGCACCCTGGTCCCATACATTTATCTACATAAATCTAATCTCAGATCTCTGATGACTGTCATCAGGGCTTTACCTAGACTTACAAAAGTGGGGGTCCAGGGGACCCCCAATAATTAATTTTAAGGGTCCTTGCGGGCAAAATGAGGGTCCTGTAAAGTAATGAAATAATAAAGTGTACTGTATGTTTTGATAGTTAATTTAGAACCTGGAAAAAATCCATGATCATCTGGACAGATTTTTGTTGTTGTTGTTGTTGTTGTTTAACGCCACACTCAGCATTGCTCAGCATTGCTCAGCAATATGACGGTATATGGCGGTCTGTAAATAATCGAGTCTGGATCAGACAATCCAGTGATGGACATCCTGAGCATTGATCCACACAATTGGGATCGATGACACACATCAACCAAGTCAGTGAACCTGACCACTTGATCCCGTTAGTCGTCTTGTATGACAAGCATAGTCGCCTTTTACGGCAAGCATGGGTTGCTGAAGACCTATTCTACCCCGGATCTTCACGGGTCTCACTTGGACAGTGGTAATGATTGATGGATGACAACCATAACTGTTCTTGAGGTACATAAGGTACAACAGATATTATTGTGCGTCCCTTCTCAACAATTGTGCGTACTGGATGCACATTTGTGCTTCACGTAAAAACCCTAGTCATCATGTTTAATACATCCAGATGGATCTGAATATTCAGGATATTATTACACTTCTCCTAACACAACACAACTGCAACTTTTTTCTTCAACTTGATCATATTACACCGAGTTCAAAACATGTCTCTTAACATCCGGGGAGCCCATTGCCCATGGGTTACCAACCAGAGTTATCCGTCCCTGATCTCTCATGAAGAAGGATATTGCAATGTGTTGTGTCAGGAAATAATCAGCAAATTGCTGGTGAAGTTGTCAAGGAGATGAGGGAGCCATCTCTGACTATCATTCGGTATAATACACAGAAAACTGAAAATGCTTCTGTTTGAAAATGAGTACTGTAAATCTGGAAATTAATGAGTCTCCAAATAAATACGACTGCTGAACCCCTAGCCAAACATGCGACTCAATCCCATCCCCAGTGGAATGATACATATCCTAACCTTTATCCCATCAAACAGCAAACAGCACTGCTAACACACAGTTTATATGTTTACTGTTGACTGGCATTGAGGAAGTTCAAAGGCAATAAAATAATTGAACCAACCACAGTTCACTGATTGTTATGCAGAGGTATCAACAAGCTTGACACGAGTGTTTAGAACTCTTGTCCCTCTCAGTGATAACTCACCGGATGCCCATTGTGTAATTACTATTCTTTGAATGACAGTTATATCCTTGTTAAAACTGCTGCTCAGTAAACTGTGTTTGTGTTTAAATATTCAAGTTGGTATTTCCGCTATCCAAAGTGTACAGTGAGGCTGTCTTATGTTGATAGTCATTTTGGAGACATCAATGCATTTTTTGCATTTAATTCACGTTTGCGTTACTTTCACACAGCTCTAATTACATGTTCTGGAACTACAGACAGTTTGCATATATTGTCTAACTATGGTCCCCCTTCAATTCAAGTTCAGGGCCAGACACCAACATACTGTTCTGAAACACCAGATTGCTTGGTCAGGTTACAGGAAACAGAAGTACGGGGCAAGTTTAGGGAGGGTGCCTCTACTCACGTGAGGTTGATCTGCAGCAGTTCACAGTGACAGGGATCTGCAATGTTGATCTTCATGTCCTGCAGGGTCAGACCTTCTGCTTCCACACTCTGGGGTGTAGACATGGTGTGTGATGAGTACAGTAATAGACATTAGATTTGTTTGTCTGTTGTTTAACAACACAGTCAGCAATATACCAGCTATAGGACGGCTGCTTGTAAATGATCATGTCCGGACCAGATTAATCTAATTAGCAACAATCCACATATTCAGGGACAATCTCATTAAAGTCACATCTTAGTTCTCGCCATCGCTGAACAAAGATCTGAGGACATCCCCTTACGGGTCACGTCAGAACGACCTTTTATCCAACCAATCAGAGTGTCGCTTACCAGATCATGAAAGTGACAGACGGAATGTGTTTTCTAATCATGCAACCTCGAAATATTTAACAGGGGGTATTCCGTACGACAGTTACGGGATTTATGATTATATCCACACAATCTAGGCCATCTGTAAGCCATTCCAGAATGTTCTTTTTAACAGTTTAATCTTTTTTTTAATCGAGAATACCTCAAAATATGTTTCGAGGCGTAGTTGCTAGCGGCGAAAAGCTAAAAAAAAGCTGCCTTCTGATTGGCTAATGTCACACGTTACAGAGGACCAGATTGAACCCAGAATCCCCACTTTTGTTCAAAATTGTAGAATTTTCCTATTCGGAATATTCTATAAGTAATACGTTACCACTGTTATACCGAGGCTGTTGTCTCCCACAACTGCTGCTATAGCGAAATCTACCACAGAGATCTCAATTACCTCATGCAGCACGTGCGTAGCCACCCAGCTGCCATGTGACACCCTTCACTCTTGTCTCCTGCGAGAGCAAGTGCTCGGGGGACGGACGGGCGGGCAGCAGCCCAGTGGTAACGTATTACTTATAGAATATTCCGAATAGGAAAATTCTACAAATTACATTAAGTAATACGTTACCACTGTTATACCGAGGCTGACTACCACAGTAGGCGGTGGGGAGCACCTACAACCCGAATCCTGACTGCTAGCGTTCCTTCCGACCAGTGGAAGTAAACACCAAGGCGGAAGCACTCGATGCGCATGCACCTAGCTAGGCGTTACCCTATAGGAATACCAAAGCACTGTCAAGCGCATACCGTAAGGCTCAATCGTCATTGCCAAAACGATTGGTGACTCCAAACGGCCCCACTGGATAGGTATTTCATCGCCGCAGCGGATGAGAACACAGTATCCGTGTGAGCTAAATCTTAGATCAGGTTAAACAGTCGAAAAGAGGGAAATTAATTTCATTCAGACCGTATATCCCAGAGCAAGCCTACTTAAAGTATGCATTAGGCGCGTGACCTAATTCCAGTATTTGTAAGCATGCATCACAAGGTTGGGATACACGACAGACAATTAAAGACATAATTGTCAAAATACAAATAAGGACAAAGCACACAAAAAGCCGCCCTCACCTGTGGTGTGAGTGGGAACATTGGAGTCGACCCAGATTGACCACCGTGCAAGGTCAGACGCCTGAGGAGTTCGGAATTGCGCTGGGCACACCCCTTAGGTGCCCGCTTGCGCCGCGATCCGCGGGCCAAGACGGTGCACACTCTCCACGACGGCATCAGCGACCTGTTTGAGGTAATGATTGGCAAAAACCGAGTCAGAACGCCAGTAACAACCTCGTAATATTCTGCGAACAGAGATATTCGAGTGTAGGGCAAATGTTGCCGCTAGCGCCCTGATCTCGTGCGGGTTTGACCCCGCTACCGGTAACCCCCGAGACCGGTACGCCAGATTGATGACAGAACGAAGCCACAACGCAATCGAGTTGCGAGTTATGTCAACCGTGCGGTTAGGGTTACACGATATGAACAGACGGTCACGCCCTTGTCTACGTTCATTCGAAGCCTTAAGATAATACTTAAGGGCCCTAACCGGACACAGCGCTCTGTCCTCAGTATCAGCAGGATGTAAGATTTCTTTGAGTGATCTTACAGTGAATTCTCTCTCCGTTTGCCCGACTCTCTGATTCTTGGCGACGAAGCCCATGAGCAGGCCCAGGCGGACCGCTCCTTCGTCACCCCTATCGAATCGTACCTTGGCGACATCGAGTGCATGAATTACGGATACATGTGCCGCCGTGGCAAAGGAGAGGAGAAATGCTGTTTTCCAAGTCACATGCCGGAACGAAGCACTATGCAAGGGTTCATACGGAGCTTCCGTAAGTGATTGCAACACTAGGGAAAGATCCCAGGCCGGTGCCCGAAGGCGGCCCTTCTTAAGATCGTGCTGTTTGAAACCCTTGATAATACCCCGTATCACCGGCTCTTTGGAGAGACTGGTACCCATAGCAACGTCCCGTACCGTAGCAACGGACGAGACATAGTTGGCAATGGAACCCCCGGAGAGTTTCCGGGTCTCCCGCAAGTGAGACATGAAACGAGCAATATCCTGCACAGATACCTTATCTGGCGAATGAATGTGATGTTTACAACACCACTTCGTGAAAATAATTTAACCCAACGTGCATTATACACCTTCTGGGTAGAATCACGATGCATACTAACGTATGCCCGAGACGCCCGGCGAGAAAAAACTTTACTCCTCAGACGCTCGGTGACAACATCCACGCGTGCAGATTGAACTGCCCTGCGTTTGGATGAAGCTGACGGGTGTGAGGGTGGATCAAGAGATACGGTCTCACAGGCAGTGGAAGTGGCGACTGCGTGACCTGGGTCAGCAAGTCGGGGTACCACGATCTGTTCGGCCACATGGGTGCGATCAGTAACATTCGACAGCGAACTCCTCGGAGCCGGCTTAGAATGTGTGGTATCAACGCTGTCGGCGGGTAAGCATAAGCGACCAAGCCCGTCCAGTCTAACGCGAGAGCATCGTGATCGATGGCCCTCGGGTCCGGGACTGGTGATACAAACAACGGGAGTTGATTGTTGAACCGCGTTGCGAACAGGTCGACCATCGGACGACCCAAACGTTCGCACAGCCACTGAAACACTACTGGGTTCAGCATCCACTCTGTGGGGCTCGGATCCTGAGGCCTCGATAGAGCATCGGCCAGTACGTTCCGCACACCTGGGATGTGACGGGCGCGTATCTGGCACGGGACACTGTCCACCAGAGCGTAAAACTCGAAAGTGAGATCGAGTAGCAAGTGACTGTGGGTTCCCCCCAGTTTGTTCACATAGGACACTACCGTCGTGTTGTCGGTCGCCAGCATGAGCCGGGCGTCGACGAGACGATGCTTCCAGTGATTGACTGCGTTGATCACTGCCTTGAACTCGAGACAAGTGATGTGAAGACCTAGTTCGTCTACGCACCACAGCCCCGAGCTCACCTCCCCCTTTAGATGGGCGCCCCAGCCCACTAGAGAGGCGTCTGTATACAGGGTCAATGTGGCCCGGTAGGGCTGCATAGAGACTCCTGATAAGACAATGTAAGGGACCGTCCACCACTCCAGATGCGGTCGGAGCCGATCCGGGAGGGCGACGGTCGCACTGTTCACCTCCGTTGCTAACAACTGGATTAAAAACCGTTGCAGCGGGCGGAGTTGGAGACGACCCCGTGCGGTGCAGTCCTGGGCTGATACAAGTAGCCCTAACAGCTGTTCCCAAAAGTGAACAGTCTGTTGCACCGCTAAGACTTTGGCAATCATCGCCTGAATTTTGTGCCACCGGTCTGGGGGGAAAAAGAGGCGATGGGACACCGTGTTGAACCGACCTCCGATGAACAGCAAGTTCTGAGAAGGGGTTAACTCGCTCTTGGGGAGATTGATAATCCAACCAAATTGCTCCAAGAGCCGACGTGCGAAATCGAGATGGCGTGACAGGGTGTCCGTCATTCGATTTGCTACTAGCGAGTCGTCCAGGTACGCGAAGTACCGGACACCCCTCCTGTGGAGGAACCCCACTATTGGGGTGGTTAACCGGGTGAACAGCCAGGGAGCGGACGTGTGAAACATTCTGAGTTCGGCACTGTCCTACTTGGGAACGAGAAATATCCTGGAGTAAAACCCCGGTGTTATTTCTGGTAGAGCTAACTCCCGTACTGCCCCTTCTCCACCAACCTGCCGATGGCATCGGCGAGGATGGGAAGATCGGTTTCCGAATGGAAACCTGCCAACGGGGCAACGGTGAGCGGCGGATTCGCTTTGAGATCAAGCCGATAGCCGTACCGAATCGTGTTGACCACCCACGGGTCGTCGAACACTTGTTCCCAATTCTCCCAGTAAGTCTGGAGTCTGGCTCCCACTGGGGAAGGAGAGGGGGCCCTGACAGGTTGCGGCAGGCGCAACTGTCCAGGGCCAAGTGACTCGGGTTCGCCTAAGGGCCAACCGAAGTTGGCGCTGTCGGCATACGAACCCCTCCAATGAGAGTCACCTGGAGGGGCCCTTGCCGTCCGTCGACGACTTGGGCTGCCCCAAGTTCCCCGTCTTCCCGCGAAAGGGCAGCTGATTGCCCATACCGGAGCCCTCAGGGCGGGGCTACTTCCCAGAGGAAGAAGAACCCGACCCCTTAGACCTACAGGCCGCAGCAGCCTGGGGCGCGCTCCGGTTAGGAGCGGCACCCAGGCGCCTATGCAGGGACCCAACAAGAGCAAGTGTGTGCCGAGAGTCCTCGGCAACGTACTCCAGGGAAGCATTTAAACTGAGCAGGCAGTTATAAATGCGCTGGTCACGGTCCGTGGGAGAACCTTCGACCAGACGGGCCGCTGCAGCCAATTAAGTGTCTCCGTGAGACATGGAGTGCCGAGCGAGGGCGTCCAGCTGGTGCAAGGTAGCTTGCGTTACCGTAGCAGCCGGTGGGGCACGGACACCCAACCGCTCAACATGGGCCTCCGCGGTAGGACCAGCCTCGGGAAAGGCAAGGTCATGTACCGGGAATAAACCCTTTCTCCATGACGTCGGAGGCAACGGGAGACCCCGACCGGAGGCCGCCGCGAAGGCGTTCTCCAAGGAAGGCTTGAAACCGCGCAGCAAGGTCGATGCGGGGAAAGCCGTGTCGGAAGACTCATCGTATACCTCGGAGGAACCCACAGTCGTGGATTCCCCGCGGTACCGGCCGGGGCATGTCCTCAAAGAGGTCATAAACCATGGCCACGGGGTCCTAAACCGATAGCGGGAGCAACGGTTCGGGGGAAGGACCGGTGACCACGGGAGCCGCCGCCGTACCGGTGGACCCCGCGGCCATCGAAGTGGCCGGGGACGGAACAGCCAGCGGCCTATCATGAGATAAGGCCGCCAGCTTGGAGTCAACAAGTTATGCAAGTAATGCAGCGACGGAATCCCCGGACAGCACACAGGCCGCCAAGAGATCCGCCGCTTTACCGGTGGACCCCGCGTCCGACCCGGCGGCCACCGAAGAGGCCGGGGACGGAACAGCCAGCGGCCTATCTTGCGATAAGGCCGCCAGCTTGGAGTCCACAAGTTTCGACAACAATGCGGCGACGGAATCCCCAGACAGCCCGAGGGCCGCAAGGGGATCCGCCGCAGCCGAGGAGGTGGTACCCGCACGGGGGCCCCGACCGGACGAACCGGCCACCACAGGGGTGGAGACGGACTGTACGTACAGCCGGTACCGCTCAAACTCCGCAGGCCCCAGACCTTTGCACAGGATGCACCGGGTGTCCCCGCAAGGAACCCTGCACCGCGGGCAACGATCGTGGGGATCCCGGGACGACAAAAACTTTCTGCACACCCCACAACTCCGAGGAGCAGGGGTAGAGGGGGTGGATACTGGGGACATATCCATGTCAGACATTGATTGTTTGCTATAAACAAAGAACAAAACATGGTTACAACGCACGCACCACAATGATTCACAAACGAACATTTTCACAAGAAAATAAACGAGCAATGTGAACATATAACATACACATATAACTTTTATTAAAGAAATAAGTTATGTTAACCCCCAAAACATACAAGAACAGGGGAAACGTAAAACACAACGTGCATACGCGAACCCCGCAAGTATATAGAAAAAAGGGCGGGAAAAATTTTCCGTTTGGCGGGAAAATTATAACCAAGCGTAGCTACCGCAACGCCCCATAAAAGCACAGTTTATTAGAGAATAAACTATAATAAATATCACCAAATCTTCAAGGAACGCTTCAGCAGGAGAAAACACGTCTTGCTAAGCAGACGAAGGAGACAAGAGTGAAGGGTGTCACATGGCAGCTGGGTGGCTACGCACGTGCTGCATGAGGTAATTGAGATCTCTGTGGTAGATTTCGCTATAGCAGCAGTTGTGGGAGACAACAGCCTCGGTATAACAGTGGTAACGTATTACTTAATGTAATTTTCTTGAAAGTCCTTATTTTCATAAATTCAGTGGTATTTTAATATTTCATTCAATGCAAAAAAGTAAAATATTGCAAAATCACAGCAAATGAACTCAGGACTGTGGTAGGAGAAGACAATGCTTGAACCACAAGACCATGCCACTGCCCTGCTGACAGTGGAATCAGTCAGGAAAAGTGACTTTGAGATAGCAATGGGATTAAAGTGAATATTTTCTTTTGGGGCTGGGACGGGTAACTCGGGAACTCACGCCGGGTGGGTCCTGAGTAGGATCCGGGTACCCACAGGACTACCACACCCGTAGTTAGTCACGTGATATATTGTTTAATGAGCATAACAGTCAAGTCCATGGTCAATAAGCCGTTAAATGCTCGCATTTCTTTCTGACTTTGCAAGCATTCCTTCTAACTTTTGTTTGTGTGAAAAACGATAAAGCTTCTGTCAACTTCCGTGTGTGCATGATGAGATGGTTTTTGCCAGGGCTCCAGTAAAACAATTCTCAATGGGACATATTGTACCCAGCTGGAGACCTACAGCAAGTACATGGGTAGGTCGGGTAAATGAGGGTCTGCTTCCCGGGTAGTAAATTTGCACTCATCCTAGCCCTATTTTCTTTTTTCACTTTCAAGAACACACAAATATTTATTATAATTTTGACAATGCTACTTGGTATTCAGAAGCATTTATTCACCTTGCCAGGTTCCACATGACTTTGTTTGACCTTCTCCAGAGGAACTTGGAACCTTGACAGAGTCACAAACTCTGGAGGGTCTGGTGAATACAGCTGGTCATTGATCTGCACCAACTCTGTAACCATGACAATGCAAGTGTCACTGCATTAACTGAGTAATAATGCACAACATCACTATATGGAACCTAACTTCTTTTCAATTTGGCAAATATGGGATAATTAAGACATTTTCTCTTAACTTAACCAAAGATATGGTCAGCATTGTATTCAAACATTCTCTGCATAAACACTGAGGATTAAAGAGGAACATACAAGACAAAGTTCGGCTCCGTCAGTCTGTAAATTTCAAAGTAATTTACAGGGCCAAATATGCATTTCGTGGCATTAAAGGACACAATTATATATATCGCAACAAACAGACCATGTATTGAGTCCCACAACTAACCAGCTAACTACACACATTTTTTTAAACAAAACTGACTAAATAATGGTTATAAACAGCTTTTTTCAAACAAGGCTGCCATGGTGGCCATATTGAAATTCAGATTAAAAGTTTTTGTACAAACTCAGATGTCATAATTGGTGGGAACAAGAATGTAAAGTTCAAATTTCATTGGTCCATATGTACATGGGAAATGTATACATACCTCCCAGCGCGTGGACTATCTCCGCTGCTAGTTGTTTGAAGACGTAGAGATGCTTGACCCGGACCACCAGCAGCACCTGTCTGATGATCTCCAGGCACTGCTGGTGCAGAATGGTGCACTCCGGTCGACCCAGCAGACGCACAAGGCGGCCAATAAACCACATGCAGAACGCTGCAACACATCAAGCATATTAATATCACATGTATGAACTGTGATTCTTGTATTCCCTAGAGGGGGAAATACATGAATTTTGGTACCGGTTTTGTAAAATCAGTCGGCAACAGCATGTACACACATGAATACATGATGTTGAGAACAGGTTTTCATGCCATGTCATCAACATCATATACCATGTGAGACAATTGCAAAGAGCTAAGTTTAATTCATTTTGAATTACCTCCCTTCCATTTCACTCCCAACAAGCCAGGCAGGCTCGTGACTAATAAATGTAACTAGCCTGTCTTGAAAGTATCTGGCCCGCATTTGTAAACACAGAGTAGATAATAAGCAATTTATCAGACACTTTCATTTTCTTCTGTTGTCTTAATGTTAAAGTCATCAGCATTTTTCAGATAAATATCTTCGAACGAGATATCGTAAATCATCAAATAACAGCTTGAAACCAGGGTGCCAGCAACAGCTTGCTTAAACTAAGACTCCAGCAACTGCCATATTGCCATTTTGGTAGAAGGAATACTTCAACTGTAACCTCTACTACGATCGGTCTGCCTCCTGAGATAAACCAAGGAGATGCACACCTGTAAAGTTTGCAAAAACAGAATCTCAGAACCAGGGAGTGTTATCACAACATGGAACAAACTTCAGTTAATACAGCAAATCAACAGTGGCTGTCAAAACTAGCACCGAAAATTTCTACTGGACACTCAGGCAGGTTGGAATATATTTCTCCAATCCCGACATAAATGTTACCAGGCATGGGACCGCAGGCAGACTCCCATTTTGTCTCTTGTCTGATCCTGCATGATGCATCTCTGCAAATCAGTTTGAACACCAAATGTTTATGAAGAGGATTTCCACTGGGCCTCCCTCCGTTTCTTGAGCTCCCTGGTGTATCTACCTTGTGAGAGCTGTATTTCACCCTTGACCTCCCCTGGTAATTTAGACACTTGTGTCAGTGGTGGGCCTACCTTGTGAGAGCTGTGTTTCACCCTTGACCTCCCCGGGTAATTTAGACACTGGTGTCACTGGTAGGCCTACCTTGTGAGAGCTGTATTTCACCCTTGACCTCCCCGGGTAATTTAGACATTGGTGTCACTGGTGGGCCTACCTTGTGAGAGCTGTGTTTCACTCTTGACCTCCCCGGGTAATTTAGACACTGGTGTCAGTGGTGGGCCTACCTTGTGAGAGCTGTGTTTCACTCTTGACCTCCCCGGGTTTGGGTGCTGTGACACTGGTGTCAGTGGTGGGCCTACCTTGTGAGAGCTGTATTTCACCCTTGACCTCCCCTGGTAATTTAGACACTATTGTCGGTGGTGGGCCAACCTTGTGAGACCTGTGTTTCACTCTTGACCTCCCCGGGTAATTTAGACACTGGTGACACTGGTGGGCCTACCTTGTGAGAGCTGTATTTCACCCTTGACCTCCCCTGGTAATTTAGACACTATTGTCGGTGGTGGGCCTACCTTGTGAAAGCTGTGTTTCACTCTTGACCTCCCCGGGTTTTGGTGCTGTGACACTGGTGTCGGTGGTCGGGTGGAGGAGGATGTAGATCTGGGGCTCATTCCTGAGACAGTGCAGGCACCACATCAACATGTGAAAGCACTCACTCTTGTCGCCATGGTTCTTTAAGGATTCTGACACTGCAGTGAGATGGAAGCATACCAATGGTAATACAGCCAGACATAGAGAAAAACCAATACTTTTTTAATTTAGAATGTTTAAGCAAAATAGACACAAATATTCAATTTAAAGACACAGAAACAGCATAAATATCATAAAGCACCTGTGACATTATAATTACAGCTGTAAATCAATCAATTATGCATTTTATAAAAGTCACAACTTACCAACATCAATATCTCCAAAGAAATCATCAAGAAATCTACAGATAGATTTCCTACATTCATAGATTCCAAGACTTTTCTTCAAACTGGAAAAGGAAAGTATACAAATGTACATTAGGCTTAAAAAATATATATAAAAGAATAGGTTCTCAGGCTTTTGAAAATATGGTGAGGGTGGGTGGTGTGTTTTTTTTGTTGTTGTTCAAATTAGCATGGTATGTATCCAAATGAGTAGTTGTGTAACCAAATAAACACTTGTGAACAATGAACCTGGGAAAGGGCCTCCCTACATAAATGTATTCCTTGATGAATAAATATTGGAATACAGTATTTGACTACCGTTGGAATTGGAATATTTAAGGATTTTGGGGGGATTTTATTAAAATGGAAATAATAATGTAACATGCGGCAGACTTTATGATGATGCGGGCAGTGCCTGAGAACCAAGACTATTTTGTAAGTTTTTTGTTTGCTCACCAGACTCACAAAGCAAGATGGAGTCAATGAGGAATATCTGGTATAATTACGATAATTGGGGCCCATAATTAGTAATTTTCAAAAGTAATCAGTGCTAATCACCAACAACCCGATGTATAAAACTATGTGACGATGCCTGATACATTCCTTACACCATGTGCACCATGCATCACCGAGGACAAAACCCATGGGGATTCCAGGTCAGAATGGGTCCCTAGCAACCTACGCTTGTTGTAAGAGGCATTACAATGGATTGGGTGGTCAGCTCGGTGACTTGGCAGATAGTGTGTTAACATCCTCAGACTGTGTGGATACTTTCTGACAATATCAGTCACCTGATTGACTGGTCCAGAATTAAATATTAACAGGCTGTCGTCAAATTGCTCCTATACTACTGAGTGAGGCATTGAACAACACACTCAGACAGAGGACAGACAAAATCATTTCTAGACATAAAATATTTGTATAATTTTATAGCTCCCACATGCTTTCTACAGTTGCCACAACCACACTGATAGACAATGAAAACAATAACAGGTCAAACTTTCTTGCAAACGTCTAAGACAAAATATGCAAAATATTTCACGCACCACGTGCACATTGGCAGAATTTGTGCAAAACATATTAATTCAGCTAAAATCGCAATGGTTGCCATGTCAGAAAAAGTACCAACAGGGTAAACTCTAGGAATTTTCTGACATGGGCCCTTTATGTGAAAATTTCAAATATTCTAGAGGTACACCCACACTTGCCCATACATCACAATGTTAAAATGAAACATTGTATATGAAAATGTGGGCCTTTTTTCAATTTAAGGGGCTAAAAGCACAAGGCCCCACCCTAGAATTAACCCTGTACCAACTATTACTCAGGACCGAAACGATACAGGAAGGTCACGATACGATAAGTATCATGATAATATGCATATAAACGTTAAATCGTTAGGAAACTTCTTGACTATCAATTTTTCAGAGCAGGTTCAGAAGGAAAAGCTGACATGTTCGTAGCAGCTATTACTAGTAGTGAACTTGAAACACTATATACAACACCTTTTGACTGAATGAAAAAAAAAAAAATAAATGAGTAAGTAATTTATTTTAGCCAGGGTATCGTCTTGTATGGACAGAGTAAAAAATGTGTCATGTATCGTATCCTCGCATGACACCACACATTGCACTGGTGCATCAATGTATGGTTTCACCAGTACTATCACTAGACATCAGTTGGTTAGCAACCAAACCAATTACCATTATGTTTGTTTGTTTGTTTGTTGTTTAACACCGCACAGCAATGTTCCAGCTATATGACGGCAGTCTGTAAATAATCGAGTCTGGACCAGACAATCCAGTGATTGATATCATAAGCATCGATCCACGCTATTGGCATACGATGACATGCATCAACCAAGTCAGAGAGCCTGTCCACCCGATCCCGTTTGTCGCCTCTTATGACAAGCATAGTTGCCTTTTATGGCATGCATGGGTTGCTGAAGACTTATTCTACTCCGGATCTTCATCGGTTACTTACCATTATGAGGGGAATCACTATCCAACATTGTAATGATGTTCTTAATATCATGCTAAAGCTGATCATAATCGTTAAAACTCAACAATAGCTAAGGGAAAAGCTGAAGTAAGTTTTACAAGTTTATCAAAATCAAATAACTGATAACAGACATTTTTATTGATAACAATTTTTTACTTTCAGCCTTGCTTATGAAACATTGAGTTGGGACTAACACTTGGAACAGTATTTCAGCTGACTTAAGTGTGTCAGCTTAAAATACATGATATCGGAGAAAAGTCTAAGTGACCAAGGTGCTAAATGTTTCTCCTTGGGACAAAATATTAAAGATGACGAGCATAGAAATGCTACTGACTGACTATGCCGGCACAGGATTATATTTTGTGTGAACTGGTGAATCTTGACATTTGATTCAAACCCACAATCAATGGTACCTGAAATAGATAAAGCGCAAGCTGTCACTTCTGAAGAACAGGAAGTTTCTGACAAAATACATACTCAGCTATGATCTTTACTGCCTCTGCAAGCTGTCTCTTCAACATCTTGGCATCGGCCATATTGTCTAGTAACCTGAAAATAATGTAAAACATCAAATTGGACGGTTTTCTCGGGGACTCGGGTTGGGTAGGTATAACTGAGTAGGACCTAGGTACCCACAGGACTACCCGGACCCGTGGTTAGTCACGTGATATATTGTTTAAAGACATAAATTATCAAGGTTACACATTTCTTTCTGACTATACACGCATTAGTTCTGATTTTGTTTGAATGAAGATATAACTTCGGTCAACTTCAGCGTGTGCATGACCAGATCGCTTTATACGTGTATCTAAATACATTTTGCCAGGGCGACAGTCAAACTATTTCCAAAAGTACTTTTTGTACCTATCTCTTGAGACCTACAGCGGGTATCTGGGTAGAGTCAGGTAATAGGGGTTAGGGTACCTGGGTAGTAAATTTGGACTCGTCCCAGCCCTATTTTCTTTCACTGTATTGCAACCTTACTATTGCGATATAGTGACAAAGTGCAAGTATCGTTACAGCCGTATTCAATTCAATTTCCTTATTTGGGTACTTGTGGGCAAAAGTCCCTGGGTACAATGATATGGTATTGGTTTGTTAGAACATTATATCAGTTATATCACATCAGGTCATCATATAAGGTGAGGTGGGATGGGGTTTATTGCACTTATATAGTGACGTGCTTGCAGGTGTGTGTGTGTCTGTCTGCTTGTACTAGCTTGACTGATGCTGATTTATTGTGCTAGCACACTGAGATACCATGCCGCAGTTGAACATGAATAGCCCACGCAGACATAGTATACTGACTCAGAGCTGACCTGTCCTTGTTTCAGCCTGCCAAGCGTCAGACAAGGTAACAACAAGTTCCATCTTTTAATGTCTTTTGGTATGACACGACCGGGGATCGAACTCCGGACCTGCCACTCTCCAGGTGGACATTCTACCAGTAGACCACAGAGGCGGTCAGGTCATCATTTTAGGAATGCACTTAGGGATGCAGGTTTAGGAAATCACCACTGTGAAGAAACCCACAATGCTTAACTTTTACAACCCAGGAATCTAGGGCTGGGATGAGTCCAAATTTACTACCCGGGTACCTGACCCCACCCGGGTAGCCACTGTAGGTCTCAAAAGTTGGGGGGGGGGCGGTCGGGTAGCCTAGTGGTAAAAGCGTTTGCTTGTAACACCGAAGACCCGGGTGTGATTCCCGACATGGGTACAATGTGTGAAGCCCATTTCTGGTTTCCCCTGCCGGGATATTGCTGGAATATTGCTAAAAGAGGCGTAAAACCATACCCACTCACTCACTCAAGAGTTGGGAACAAAATGTCTGATTGGGAATTGTCTTACTTGAGCCCTGGCAAAACGATTTAGATACATGTATAAAACAAGCAGATCAGGCATACACTGAAGTTGACGAGGGTTTATCATTACTCAAATATATACAAGTCAAAAGGAATGTGTGCATCATCAGAAAGAAATGGGATCATTACAACTTGTAGTGTAACCTCTGAGCTACTGAACAATATATCACGTGAACAATATATCAAGTGAACAATATATCACGTGACTAACCACAGGTCTTGGCAGTACTGTGGGTACCCGGGTCCTATACACAGGACCCACCCGACTCGACTACCCAAGTTACTTGTCCCTGGCCTACAGGCATAGCTAGGATTCTGGCATTCCTGAGGGATGTTATGCCACACACCAAATTGTGGCACCTTTGACCATTTTGGATGACTGAGGCCCCCATGACATTGTCACCAAGACATGTCACTTGGCCTTTACTTTTAAAAATTGCTTCTAAAAACACCTGTTGACCTGTAGCATATGAGGCTTTTGTCAGCTGTTTATGAAACGCAAAATAGGAAAACATTATTCATCATGTTCATAATAAGACACAATACTTGTCCACCTTCCTTACCATGCACCATGTGTGCGTCAAAGATTCTATTTTTAGACTCCAAGACAAGTCAAGTGACATTTGAACTTCAAAGTTAGTCTTTCGTTTGTTATGATAAACAAAATAATAACATCAAATTGCAACCATTTGCATTGGTAATGTTCACCTCTATCTAAATTATCAAGGCATTTTGAATGTTCGTAAATCCACATGCAGCGATTATCTTCCAAACAAACGAAGTATTGACACTATCGTCTTCCCGCTCTGCAGTTGAAGCATCGAGTTCGCCACTTCCGTGTATTGCCTCCCTTGATACTAAAAATAGACATTATTCAATGACCGGAATGCCTACGCTTGCAGTTTATGTTTCGCCATGGTTTTCCCATAACAAAGTATTTACTGCAGGTTGACGGGCGTCATGTCATGTAACTGAAGGTAACGTACAGTTTTAATCACTGACTTGTGTTTAGGTCATTTGTAAAGTAATACATTTGTTTAATTCAAATATATGTTTATGATAACCTTATCGCATGAAATTACTGATCATATCAGCTGATACCATGTCACAATATGATATATGGTCTTACCACTTGAAATTAACGATGTAGTCACTGGAGATGCTGAAGGATAGACCACTGAATGTGGTGCATGATATTCTGTTGACTGACAACAGGTGACATTTCTATGTAATTGAGTTTCAGTTAATACCTTATAAAAAGCATAAATATTGAGTGAGTGAGAGTGAGTATGGTTTTACGCCGCTTTTAGCAATATTCCAGCAATATCACGGCGGGAGACTTCACACATTGTACCCATGTAAACATAGTATGACATAACATGATTATAATGTTATATTTATTACCGAAGAAGATGTCTACATACAGTATTAGTGTTTACCTAAAAGGACAGCAGCGGAACCACGTCGATTGACGTAAACAATCTTCAGCTGTGAAACGACGTTTCTAGTGTGACGTCATTCAGACCTCGCGTCACAATAAGATTGGAAGGACGTCAACAATGATGTCCGGATGACGGAAACAATACACTGTTGTCTCGTGATGTGAAATGACCCATATGATTTTTATGAACCCTGACTAACACACAGGAACGGTTCACCATCCATTGTATTTGCGCCTTAAAAAGTAGTTTCGTGTTTGCAAAATCTTAAAAAATATAAACAAAAGTATTAAAAAATATTAAGGGTCACAAATATTCTTTATCATACATTTAGATATGATTTTATACAAAATCAAGTTGAACAAAAAATATTCTTGAAAACTAGGAGACCACTGTTGGAAGTGAAAAAATACATGCTGGTCAAGTAACAAAAATGGCACTTTCAAGACGAACAGTCTCGATTGACGAGTTAAATGAGAAATTTACAGTTTATAGTTTCAAGAGAATAACAAACGGCAAGATGTGATATTAACTCCATAAACGACCATTTGTCATTATTTTGCTTTGTCAATGTGGACCTATCGTAAAAAGAACATCAACAGTTTGTGTATGGGCTAGTTACTTACACCAATGGGAGATAATTTAAGGGGAGGTAACTCTTGTTTGACAATAGTTCCGTCAAAGTCTTATGTTCACTGCAGTGACTTCGGAAAACTCGGTCGTTCACACTGATGTATATAATAAAATATTATAATGTCACAGTAACAGGGAAACATATAAACAGTAACAAACAACAGAAAACTCATCCGTTCCATAGATCAAGTTAATTTAGAACATCTATTTCATCTTCCAATGTCATTATTTACATTTCACCTTGAAGGGAAACCATTTATGTCAGAATATGTCTGCTCTAATAATTGCATATATCCATTCAACTGTTCTGACATGTTTATATGTGCATGACGTGTGGTTATTGTTTCCTATCGTAAGTTGTGTTACCTGGGCTGAAGGGGTTGTTGTCAGCACTGATAGTACAGATACATGTACCCCAGGTATGTTTCTGTATGTAGAAATGTACCCTAGCCAAAATCAGAAATTAGAAAGGTACCCTAGGATGAGTTCATTCCGCCACAGGCCGCATTGCGCAATATGCTTAGCTGGCTCCTTGAATGCTTACTTATACAACACGTTCTGGATGCCAAACCGCAGTAAAACCATGGTATGAACCCAACTCTTTACCACCTGTTCATATGATCATGGGGGCGGTTGGGTAGCCTAGTGGTTAAGGCGTTCGCTCGATACGCCGAAGACCCGGGTTCGATTCCCGACATGGGTACAATGTGTGAAGCCCATTTCTGGTGTCCCCCGCCGTGATATTGTTGGAATATTGCTAAAAGCGGCGTAAAACCATACTCACTCACTCACTCACTCACATGATCATGTCTTCAAGGTGTTCTGAGGTATTCTTGTCTAAAAATAGAGATGACTCGCTATTGAACTGCTGCGTCTGCATAAATGTCAATTTGCATGTTTGGCCCCACACAAACACCCACTGAAGTAACAATGGCCGTATTAAGTGGAACATAATAAATATTTTTAAATCTTTGGGAGGAGTAGGGGGGGACTGTGTTCCACCAAAACAATCACAAACATTATATGTAAACCATTATTAATTTTACCTTAACATCCAAAACCAAATCAACATGTTGTCATGATACTGGTATAGGCATGGACATACAAAATGTCATCGGATGTTAAAAAGGGGGGGGGGGGTGGCACCCTCTGTTTCCGCCACTGCTATAAGCATAGTAAGGGAACACTCTATTTCGGTCAATCTAGGTATACGTGTATATGATAAAAGAGTAAATTTGATATGTGTAAAGTTGTTGTCAAATATAATTTGTTTATTTACAATTTTTAAATAGTTATCTTCCTTACCTGTGTCAGGATCTGATAGTAGTGGGTTTAAATTCAGATTCACTAATATGTTAATAGATAACATTTATTAACAGCTGATAAAATCCTAAATTTATATTTGTCCCTGTGTAGTAAATAGATTAACCAAACCTTGATCATGCTGATAGCCACCATATAATGTATGTTCATACTGTATATACAGAAGACCTCAGTATTTCACGAGGCCTCCTTATTTGATGTATTTCATAAAGGCTTCATTGTACCTGTTATTATCATGCATATAAAGCAACTATAGCATTTGTATCTGGTCCTTTAGGCCAAATGCTCAAAACATAAGCTGTCATGGTGTTCAACAGTTACCACACTTTGTGACTTTCCTAAGCATTTCAAATGGAGGCTTGTGTAGATCTGAACATGTTAACTTGTTAGGAGAAAACTGCCCAGAATCAAGGCTACACCTGTCCAGAGTTAAATCTTCACATCAGGTGTATGTTATAATCAGCAAATTCATGAATTCTTCTTATTTCTCCGTATGAATGAACAAGAATTCGGAGCAGTATATCAAGCTTCTGTATTTTGAAAATGAACCTGAATGGTCAGTTCTGGATGGAGAATAACAAATGCCTGTGCTATGTTATTTCAGTAACATCTTTCAATGGACAACATGAGAATTCTTTTGGCTGTGTACTTAAACCATGTACCGGATCTTGGATACTTTCTGTATAATTTTGCATAATAACCTATTGTTAGGTCAACTTTTTTTGTATAAAATTTGTTCAGAATGGCCAATGAATTCCTGGCTTAGAATCAACCATAACAACACCAGCTTGACATCGTCATAATGGTTTGAGAAATATTAAACCTTATGTACAATGCATTCTTTTACCATGTTTACCCCTCTCCCATTTTTAAACTCATGTCATCCCAATAAACACATAAATCAATGTATGATAAATCAACAACAAAAATAGGAAATAAACTACCTTTAAGATGATTGAGGGTCTATTAATTATTGTTGTGTAACATTTTTGTTAAAGTAATTTTCTTACACATTATAGAGAAACGTAACACTTGACAACAACACATTCCTAACTCATAATGAAGAAAGGAGAAAAGTCCAAGACAGGCAAGATGAAATCCATCTCAAAGAAACCCCCACGATGTGAGCCTTACATAAGGGGATTCAAAGCTCCATCTGAGAAGGAAAGGATACAAGCAATTGGGTTTGATGTGAAGAACATTCCTCCTGCATACAACCACACTGACACTGACTTCTTCACGCACCTCTCGCAACCCACATCGGTTGATGATTGGCTGGCCCAGTACAAGGAGGATGGGCAGAGTTTCTGCGGCTTCCTGTGGCAAGTGCCATGGTTGAGAAGCTCCATGGACACACTGATGAGGACCACTTCGACCAGGGCTGGGAAGACATTGACTAAGAAGTACTCCAAGGGGAAGATCTATATTGTTCCTGTTGGGAATTTTGATGAAGTATCTTGTATTGCACTTGAAGATCTCATTGACTATGCTGGAAGGTTTCTTTGTGTGCCTGTGACAACCTTACCCGGGTTGAACCTGAAGGTGATAGAAGACAAGGTTGTCCTTGAAGAGGTTGATGGTGAGTGTGAGCTGGAGTCGAGATACAGTGAGGAGTCACAACATCTGCAGCTAAGCATCAGTTCGGTTCTACCCTTACTGCGTGACAAGGTTCCAGAGGATGCCATATGTGTGATAGGCCTTACCATGTATGATCTGTATGGAGAGGATTCGGATTTGTTCATGTCTGGTTTGGCTTCTGCAAGTCAGAAGGTTGCTGTCTTCAGCATCTTCCGATATGATCCGAGACTGACATTCTCCACTGAGTTTTGGTATGACATCAAGGAAACAGAAGATGTTTCTGATAAGGACAGGAAGAGGCTGATCCTGCAGAGAAGCTGCAAACTTGTGGTCCATGAAATTGGTCATCTTCTGAGGATCGATCACTGTATTTATTTTGACTGTTGTATGAATGGGTCGGGCCACCTGTCTGAGGATTTCCGCCAGCCCATGCACCTGTGCCCTGTGGACCTCCACAAGCTGCAGGCCCTGACAGGGTTGGATGTGACCGATCGGTACAAGAAGCTGCTGGAGTTCTACAAGAAGCATGGGATGGAGTGTGAGGCAGCATGGGTGGAGAAGAGGATCCTGTTTATTCAGGCAGAGGAACAGAAGCAGGGGAAGAAAAGTGCCTTGAAAAAAAAGGATTAGAAGTTGGACATGTTGAACTCAGTTGTTGTTGAAACATGTTTTTACTTTTCCTGAGTCACTAGTACTCATTGTAGTCTTCATGATATCGGCGTTGTCAGTTTTGCTGTTTCCATAAACATATAAGTCTATTTTCTCAGTTAGTTTATGGATCATCCACCAGTGTGTAATTTGTTTATGTGTGGCTCTCTGTGACCATGTTATTCATGTGTCCAGTGTAACAATGGTTTAAGTTAACAATCTTATTTTCTTCTGTCTTTGTAATGTTGTTTACCTTATCAAGTGATTATCATGAAAGCAGTTAGTTGAGTGCTGTGATAGATGTTATCTCACAGTATACAATGTATATGGTTAGCATTTGATGCATATGTTGTGATGCTATGCTGTTCCTTTGTTTGTATTTGTATAATGTTTTGAAGCACTGTTAATACATGTATTTTATGAAACCAAATATATTACGAAAAGAAAGGTTCAGAGAGATCATATTGACAAGTTTATGTAAATATTAGACAACATTGATATATCATTCTGTGGTGTTGCCTGCCTTGATAATGTTGTAACACAAAAACCTTCACTCTCTCAAATGCCAGTATTCTTGTTTGAGTTTGAGTCGTATGTAGTCATGTATTTTTTCCTATTTTGTCAGGTAGATACCGGTACTTAAAGCAACTTGTGATGATATACAACATACCAGGCAGGAATTGTGTCCCAGTGTAACTTTGTGATTACTGGTATTTTTGTTACTAATCTATTATTTACTTTTGGAATAAACTATTACATGTTGACTATACAAAGTGTTCCTTATTAAAGCAGCCCTTTTGCACTCATCTCTTCAATGTCAAGGAGTGTTGACATCAGGTACATGTGTACCGTCCACATTCAGTCCTCCTTTTCCCTGTAGGATTCCAGGTCAGAAAGGGTTTCCCATACCCCAATGGTTTGAATATTTGTTTCAATCTCCATAAATCAGAAGTTTTACCCTGATACAATACCTTTCTGCTCAGAAATTACAGGGTTTCTAAAACATGTACCGATACAACAATATAATTGTGCCACCTTTTTTGTTTTCATTCAGTTAAATTTTAACTCACTCACTCACTTTACAGGACCCTCATATTGCCAGCAATTCCTACTTTTGTAAGTCAAGGTAGAACCCTAGTCCAGCCAAAGTATAACTCCATAATCCCAGCCTAGTTCGGCCGGGGTGGAAACTGGACTTTTATAGCCAGTTAACTCCCTTGCCTTGGGATGATGCTCACAGCCAGCCAACTGAAATAATTCTTGACCATCTCAAAATATTCCAACTCATCTGACCTTGAAACAGTTGCTGATCCAGTCTATATGAGTCTGATGCAGTGTCATTGGAGATTTTCATGACCTATTTTGTTTGTTTGTTGTTTAATGCTGTATTCAGCAACATTCCAGCCATATGATGACGGTCTGTAAATAATCTGGACCAGATAGTCCAGAGATTGACATCATCAGCATCAATCTACTCAATTGGGACATGATGACATGCATCAACTAAGTCAGTGAGCCTCACCATCCAACCATTTGTTGCCTCTTACGATTTTCATAGGGGCACAACATGTCGGTCGTGGGTGAGTGAGTTGGGTGTAACTTGGCTTTCAACAGTGTTTCTGTTATCATGGTTATGGCATGTCGTTTTAGCATGCAAGGAAGGGAGTGTTTTTCATCATGACCTTGACAGATGCCAAACAATTATCTTGTTTTGTATAAACAACACCTTCCCAATTTCACTTGGAAAAGAAATGGTCTATACCTATAGGGTTAAGACAAAATCAAACTTTAAGTTCCAGAATAGAAACAAACCATTGTTCACCTGTCACCCAGCTGTCTTAAACTGTAACATTTTCTACATCTTCTCTGAAACAAAAAGATCGGTGAAGCTGAATCTTTGCATGGGTGATCCAGCTGTCCCCTTCCCATATAATACATGGCAGCTAATGAAGTGCCATTGTATACATAGGGAGTACTTCTTTAAATGTATTGTAAACAAATTCATGCTGTTGTGTTATATTTAATGTATATTAATAATGATTTTAATCTTCACGTTCCCCTTGGTGCCTCTGATGCCATTCTTTCATCATATGTTCTTTCGTATCTTCTCTGAAATCCCAAAGTGTATGATGATGAAATTTTGCATACATGATCTTAACAATGCTGTTGTAAAAAAAATTAGAAAAGTTTATAAGCTTGTGAAGTTACCAATAAACAACTATTGACAATTTTTGCATTATTGCTGGCAAAACATATATACACATCATGTGTGCCATGGGGCTAAAGGTCTATTCTTTTTAAAAATCTTTATTTTGATCCATATTCTCATAATGTGACTCATTTGTTGATGTCATTTCTTTCTCTGAAGAACAAGACAATTATTATTTCGAAAGAAATTCCTCTCATTAATACCAATGAAATGATCTGAAAATAATTCTCATTGCAAAGATTTTGACAATGATTTCACTTTCTGTTAACAATAATGATGAAAGGAAACCGAAAAATTCAGAATTATTCATGGATGAGTAAGTTGAGTAATTTGCCTCTACATGTTACAGCTCCTGATGATTTGAGACTTGTGCAGACGTGAGCACGATCATCTACAAGAACAAGATGGAAGGTGGTGGAAAGTCAAGATCTGTCAAAACCAAGACAAAAGTGAAAGATTCTAGATATGTGCCCTATGTCAGAGGATTCAAGGTGCCGGGCAAGGAGGAAAGAATGAAAGCTATAGGGTTTGACATCAAGGGAATTCCACCTCAATTCCTTCCCTCTTCAGACACTAACTTCTTTTCATTGGTTCCACAACCAACATCTATTGATGACTGGCTGGCTCAGTACAATGAAGAAGGGCAGACGTACACAGCATTTCTTGATGAATGTCCGTGGTTGTCGACAAGGAAAGTCACAGGCATGAAACACAGATTTGTCTCACGCAGGGGAACAATGACGAAGAAATACCCAGAAGGAAAGATTTACATAGTCCCAGTTGGAAACTTTGATGACAAGTCCGGTATTGTGTTTGATGATCTTGTTGACTATGCGAGCAGATTTCTCTGCCTTCCTGTGGCAGTGCTTCCAGAAATGAAGTTAGAATTTTCAAAAGATCAACTTTTTCTAACTGAAGAAGCTTCTGTTCATCCATCAGGTAGAAAGAGCCGCGCCCGTCGTGCTAAAATAGATATACGACATCATTCCAAAAGTAAACACCTGCAGATGGATGTGGTATCAGTTCTCCAAGAACTGAGAAGAAAGATTCCCCAAGATGCCCTCTGTGTAATTGGTCTCACAATGTACGACCTGTATGGTGATGATACAGATCTGTTTGTTGCTGGAATGGCTGCTGGTAATCACAATGTAGCCGTGTTCAGTGTACTCAGATATGATCCAAGGCTGACATTCTCTAAGGAGTTCTGGCATGATATCAAACGAACAGAAAAGGTTTCTGACCAGGACAGAAAAAGGCTGGTTCTGCAAAGAAGCTGTAAATTGGTAGTGCATGAAATTAATCATCTTTTGGGGATCGATCACTGTATTTATTTTGACTGTTGTATGAATGGGTCGGGCCACCTGGCTGAGGATTTCCGCCAGCCCATGCACCTGTGCCCTGTGGACCTCCACAAGCTGCAGGCCCTGACAGGGTTGAATGTGACTGATCGGTACGAGAAGCTGCTGGAGTTCTACAAGAAGCATGGGATGGAGTGTGAGGCAGCATGGGTGGAGAAGAGGATCCTGTTTATTCAGGCTGAGGAACAGAAGCAGGGGAAGGCAAGTCAGCTGAAATCACACTTACATGGTGATTACTGATAAGTTTTTGGTTCAGATATATCTGTAGTCCTTTGTATTTCTCATACTTCTACTTTTGTTAATTTAACAGTAGTTTGATGTAAGGGATTGGTCATTTATTAAAGAAGAGAGAGGGGGTGTCAGAGGTTTTGATGTACTCATGTACTGAAAATATATTAATTAGGCACCCCTAATATTTGTCATATTTGTGGATGACTCCCCCATGCCCTTGTACAAAAGCACTTTATATTTTACAATAAAATGTCCATTATTCATGCCCCTCCCCAAATATGTGTGTTATTTTTTAAGACCCTTGCTTAGAATCTTTCATATTTTTGGTGACCCTCCCATCCCTATCTTAAATAACTTGCCTCTAACTTAGAGAACCTCTTCATGATCTGGAGCAAGGTTAAAGTCTAGAAGTTGTAATTGTGTGATATTTAGGCTGTTAAGACATTGTCTCTATGGAAATGGTAATGAAGGTAACCCTATATTTCTCATCTTGATGCCATTATAAAGTTTGAGTTAAGGGGTTGACAATTTAATATTCTTGGAAGAACCTGGCATTTTTATAAAATATAATCTCTCGTCCAAACCTAATCCTGTAAGACATTATCTGATTTATTGTTAAAAGATTATACCTGTTCAGGTGAATTTACATGTGATTATTCTCCTTTCTAGATTTAGAAGATGGTCACGTGAAGCGTCACATTTCTCAGGATCCCTTTGAGAAAAAGGAGGCTAGTGGTAAAACAAGAAGGAAAAGCAAGTCAAAATCCCGAAAATCTGGAAGATATGTGCCTTATGTTAAAGGATTCAAAGTTCCAACCATTAAAGAAAGAACAGATGCAATAGGATTTGATACTAACAACATCCCACCCCAGTTCCGTCCAATATCAGACATCACTGTCTTTGCTGCCATTCCACGGCCTACCTCTATTGATGATTGGCTGGCACAATATAATGTGAAAGGGCAGTCGTTTTCAGAATATGTTCAACACTGCCCCTGGATGTCAAACGTGAAGCACAAGAAAATGAATCACAAATTTGTCCCAGATGGAAAGACATTAAGTGAGAAGTACCCAGAAGGGAAGATCTATGTTGTGCAAGTTGGGGACTTTGATGAAAAATCTTGTTTTGATTTTACTGAGCTTGTTGATTATGCAAAGAGGTACCTCTGTCTGCCGATAACAACATTGCCAGAATTGAAGCTGGAATTTTCAAACCAACAACTTGTACTGCTTGAAGATCCTGACGTCAATCCTGTGATAAAGACCCGATACAATTCAGAATTCAAATATCTCCAGATGGATGTTGGATCCGTTCTCTCGGAACTGGAACAGAAACTACCCACTGATGCCCTGTGTTTGATTGGGCTCACCATGTATGATCTGTATGGAGATGATACAGATTTGTTTGTGGCAGGAATGGCCTCCGGGAAACGAAATGTTGCTATTTTTAGTGTGTGTCGATATGACCCAAGACTTACTTTCTCCACTGAATTCTGGTATGATATAAGTGACACTGAGAATGTGTCGGATCAAGACAGAAAACGGCTTATTTTTCAGCGCAGTTGTAAACTTGTGGTCCATGAAATTGGTCATTTACTGGGTATTGGGCACTGTATTTATTTTGACTGTTGTATGAATGGGTCCGGCCACCTGGCTGAGGATTTCCGCCAGCCCATGCACCTGTGCCCTGTGGACCTCCACAAGCTGCAGGCCCTGACAGGGTTGGATGTGACTGATCGGTACGAGAAGCTGCTGGAGTTCTACAAGAAGCATGGGATGGAGTGTGAGGCAGCATGGGTGGAGAAGCGGATCCTGTTTATTCAGGCTGAGGGACAGAAGCAGGGGAAGAATTAGTGAAAGGATGTGAGGAGTTGCAGTTTGTCTTTCCTCAGTTTGCAGCAGCTAAGTCAGTGAGCCTGTCCAAACATATACTTACATATACGTCCACCAAATCCTGTTTGTCGCCTATTATGAATAGCATGGATTGGAAAAGAACAATTCCAATCCGAATCTTCATGGGGTAAAATGTCAGTAATCATTTACATGTACTAGTGTGTGCCAATAGAGAAAACGTATTACATTTGTGTTTTTAAAACTTAATGACATTAATCATATAATGGGTAGGTTTATCCGCAGGAAATAGCGGACAGAGATGCAAATATCAAAGGTCAAGAAGGGACTTCTTTCAGTGTTTACAAACAAATATCGCGTCGCTCAGACAATCCAATCAGAATTAACCAATGGGAATCTGGAGAAACAACTGGGATAATTGCTATCATTATCAAAAGTGTAGCCTAATATACTGAAAATCAGTGTCTAACTGTGATGTAGCTAAGGCATTTTGTGGCAAACCCTGCTAAATACAATGTTTATTCCTAATATAGGATATTTACCATCCCCAAACACACTTGCGTGATAACACTGTCAAATAACAGAAATATTGTTCTAATTGGCATTAAACTCAAAGCAGTAGTATCTTAATCTTAAAAAAATTATTCTGGTAACATTCATTGTTGATTTGCACCAGTTAAAGCTTGCTTTAAACCAAACTTACTCACTCAAAAGGGGCGGCCAGGTAGCCAAGTGGTTAAAGCAATCGCTCGTCACGCTGAAGACATGGGTTCAATTCAAGACATGGATACAATGTTTGAAGCCCATTTCTGGTGTCCCTCACTGTGATAATGCTGGAATTTTGCTAAAAGCGGCGTAAAACCATAATCACTCACTCACTACTCACTCAAAATCACAGTAGAGATTCAAGTCTTTTGTGATTCCAGTGCATACCACTGTGTTAATTTAACAGATTTGAGGTGACAGACTTGATCATGTTGATAATGGAGTTTGACTTCCACATTAATGTATGTAGTTCTAAAAATACCTCTAAACAATTTTGCAATAAAAAATTGAAAGGAACTGACACCTTTGACATTTTTTACACCAGGGAATATTGAGGATGTATGAAGAAATACGAAAAGATTTCACTTATCAAAAGGAAAACAGTTTAATTGTCAAGTCTTCTACTGTTGTCAGTGTTTTTTCTGTTATTAGACAGCGAAAAGAAAAGTTTAAATAGGTATACATCTGGAACATGATATAGAGGTTGTTTTTTAGCACTGTGATCACCTAGCTGTCCCCCAGTTACATCACTGTGATCTGTAATAGTCAAATCTGAACCTGACGAACCAGTGACTGATATCACTTGCCACCCAATTCATTTAGTTGCCTCTTACAAATAAAGTTTGCTGGGGACCTGTTCTAATATGGAATCCTCATCAGTGGGAGAACATAACAGAATATGTGACCAAATAGCAATGGTGTACTTCATCATTGGGTTATTTTAACCTTAAACATATCATTTGGCATTGCAAGTGTTAAGTAATGACTGATTTTAGAATTCAAATTGTATAAATTGATCCCTCTTGCCTTTTGACCTATAGATGCTTTTCTTGATGAACTGTGAATAATATAAACCAACTTCCCTACTTAATTTTAATTATTGATTTAAAAAGTATTGATCTTGGGAGATGATATTAAGGAGTGTTCGTCCGACTTAACAATATAAGTTATGTAAAATATTTTCATATGAAGAATTTACCATTTATTTTCAACATTATTAATGCACAATGACTTATATGCACATTGACACCTGTACCATCTTTAGTCAGGACGTAATATCAGGGAATTAGCCATGACTGTGATTAGAATGTTCTAAAGGAATATATTTATTTGTTTACTTTCTTTATTGCCAGCATTGTAAAATTGGCAAGAGTATACATGTTGTAACATTTATTAATTTCTCAAAGTTTCATCAAGTATACATTATATAAATATTTGTTTGTTCCTGCACCATTTATTAATAGCTTTTATGATTCTTAATGCCAAATTATTTTTATCAAATTGTGTTTGACATTTTTTGTTATTGATAAAACAAACTACTGGTAAAAGTGTGACTTGTGTTTCACATGTAAGTAACCTCTTTTTGACTTATTCATGTACATGAGTATAGGTATTTTAACAAGATGTAGTTTAATTTTTGGTCATGCTGACTTCTTAAGTTGTTTTGCCTGGAGGATTTTCCATATTCTGTTACAATGTGTTTATATGTACATATATTTTTATCATGTTATCTTTGTTTATTTGACATAATATCATAATTATGTGGTCATTGTATGTTATAATTATGTGTTCATTGTAAATTTGTGTCCTAAATGTTATACACTTCACTGACTATTTAGTACCTGTTGTGTGATTTTCTAAATACATTAATATATTCAAATATATCTATGCCCATGTCATGCATAAATGTATGTAGTTCTAAAACTACATCTCTTAAACATCTTTGCAATAAAAAAATCAAAGAAACTGACACCTTTGACATTTTTTATACCAGGGAATATTGAGGATTTATGAAGAAATACAAAAAGACTTCACTTGTCAAAAGGAAAACAGTACAAGGAGAGTTGGACCACCTACAACAAGAAGAAGTTGCTGTCACAAGTACAGTCTATGGAAATTTGTTTGTGACAATGATGAGCCATAGTTTGTCAGCACTGAACATAAAAGCATTACTAACATGGCGCTTTGGGCTTTCTCTAAAATTAAGCTTACACACCATGATGATATAGAAAACTTTAAATGCTTCAGATAAAGGTTGAGAAAATATCAAGTACACCTGCCAGTGATTCCGTTATTGTGGCAGAGTACATTTTACAAACGCTTCTTTCGTCGCTGTTGGGGCTATGGCAAAGAGAGACAACTTGTCCTGACTGATATTAAACATTATGTGGGTCTCAATACATATCTTAAAGATGAACCTACTTCCTTTATGTCGTATAACCTTTTGTGTTTTTACGCCTTTCACAATAACTAGCAATGATTAAAACGACGAACACCGTACATGCAAATTGTTTAGCAACTGCTATCATCGGCCTTTTGTCCAGTACAATCTGCCAGTCACTGTATTGGCAGTGCTCGCCTACGGTCCTATAAAAAAACGAAATATGCCGGTATTTGTATAGCTTGTTCAGGAGATTGATTGCTGAATAGATATAGCCACCTGAGTGTAAAATACTTTTTTGTCAATAATAAATCTGACAGTTGATATTGTTTTGAAATAATTATATCCGACGTCTATATATTTTTAGATTGCTAATTGTCCATTACAAACACTTGTCTCTATAAATTCTGTATGGGTCCGTAGGGTTTACTTTCATTGTCATCTGATAAAATTTTGTCGAGATTTCTTTTCGCTTGGGAGGTGGTATTGAAGATTATCAGATAAACGTCCCGAATCTAATTTGGGGAGTAAAAACCGCGACTAACGAGAAGCTTGGTAACCAGCAAAATAGTCTCGCCAACACGAGAACATTCACTTTCAAACGCTTCGTTGTTTCCATGTATTTGTACACTTTGTGGTCATACAACTACTTTATTAACCTGCTAACTCATTACTAAAGTACATCTGGCATCCATTGGATAGATAACTACTGGTTTATACTATATGTTTAAACTTAACTCATTGGAACAGCTAATTTAAGAACCGACGCCCTTTCACCAGACAGTCCTTGCACTCCTTGTTTTCACATACACATTCTCTGAACGTGGGCAGCGGTATCTGCTGGAGGTGAGGTCACAGTGAGGGTGTTACCGACTTGAGAACTGATCCCCTGCTGACACCAACACTCCAGGTGAAGAGCAACTGAATGAACATTCCAGTGTTGATATGTAACCAGGCCTCATATCGATATGGTCGCAGGTATGGAGAGGGTGAGAACACGTGACCGCCGTCCAATTCAGCTGTGCAGCCAGGAACTGGTTACGTCGGGACTGGCCCACGCACCCCTTTCGTCATACGTCGGTGGGATCACTGCCGTCATACGTCAGTGTGAGTGAGTGAATTTGGTTTAACGCCGCTTTGAACAACATTATTACAGTTATATCACGGCGTGTCAGATTAATGTTGGAGGAAAACCCGATGTGATGCAGGTCTTCAACGTTTACCATTGAGGTGAAACCCACGAGCACGGGTATGGTGCTGACAAACCAAGAAACAATCGGGGCGTATCGGGGTCGTCAACCATTATACACTTATGATAGGTTCCTGGCGTGAACAAGGGACGCAACTCTGCACAGCGATTTATTGCGTTTCAGACGACTGGGCCACGTCCCACGTCAATATAATATCAACAATACGTCAATATGATCACTTCCGTCAGACGTCAATATGATCACTTCCGTCAGACGTCAATATGATCACTTCCGTCAGACGTCAATATGATCACTTCCGTCATACGTCAATATGATCACTTCCGTCGGACGTCAATATGATCACTTCCGTCAGACGTCAATATGATCACTTCCGCCAGGCGTCAATATGATAACTTTCACCATACCCTTGATATGATCACCTCCGTCAGACGTCAATATGATCACTTCCGTCAGACGTCAATATGATCACTTCCGTCATACGTCAATATGATCACTTCCGTCGGACGTCAATATGATCACTTCCGTCAGACGTCAATATGATCACTTCCGTCAGGCGTCAATATGATAACTTTCACCATACCCTTGATATGATCACCTCCGTCAGACGTCAATATGATCACTTCCGTCAGACGTCAATATGATCACTTCCGTCAGACGTCAATATGATCCCTTCCACCATTACTGTTCTCTGCAAATAATTCCCTCCTTGATTAATCAATTACTAGATAAATCAGTCTACAATAGGAACATAACCCAACACATTATAATGTAGACCGTAAATGTAATGTTTAAACTGCACCTCAGTCGTATGTCGGAGGACAAGCACTATAAAACCGGCATACGGTCGGACTAGTACAAGCAGCGTACCCGGCCCCGTGTCACATGCGCGTCACTATTACGTCACGTGATTACTTCCATACTACTCAAACTGCCTGTTTCTCCTTCGTACGTATATTTAATCCCCCGACCATTCCCCCAAAGTACCCCATCAGCGTGTTCCTTGGTCGCGCTCTCCACCGCGGGGCTGTTTGGTCCCGGCCCAGGTGTTTTACAGGCGGTTTGAGTATTACAGTTGTAATATTGCAAACGTTAAGATGGACGCTCGTGGTCCATTTGTCTGAGGCTCAGCCATTCGTTGTAAAGAATTCCTCAAACTATGAACAACTGTTTTTTCTGACCCAGGCTGGAATATTGCTGACACGCTCTCATTCACCAAGTGAGTTAGTGAGTGAGGTTGGTTTAATGCCCCAGTATTTCTGTTTTATTGGTCAAGTCAGATGAAAGTTATGCAGACGCGTCTGTCTCAGCTAAGGGACGCAACTCCGCATGGGAAATCGCGGCGCCTTAGAAGACTGGGCCACCTCAGCCCGGGTCACTCACCAAGATATTCTTAAGCAACGTGGAGCACGATGATAACGAGTTACACCTATAAGGTTTACATTAAGAATATTGCGCAGTAAACAGATAACTTTATAACAGATAAAGAGATTGTCAGCTCTATTTATATACGACACTATAAAGTTCATAGTGACTCATCCAGAATCAAGAGTTGATGTTAACAATGGGGACACGTGAAGAGCTGTAACCTAAATTCCTTGAAGAAAAGAAAAGAAACGTTTGTGGCTGTTCGTGAAAATCAGGCGAATAAAGGACTGGTGAAGGTTGACTGAGTCCAGCCCCGTTCAGACTGCACAGTGAGCCTATCTATTCTTCTCACGTTAAACTAGTGGGTACATACACGCAAAACCTATTTTTAATCCATATCTATCTAAGAGTGACATCTTGACATGTTCATGACTCGTCTTATGAGATCGGTGACGTGTCGGGTAACGAATGCTGCACAATATCCTGAGCCATCTGTCAAATCTGTCACAGCACATCCGTGAGTGTAAAACAAGCCAAAAGATCTGTCTTTTCTTTTTTGGTTTCCCGCAACCCCCCACTCTCTCCTCGTCATACTCAATTCATCTTCAAGCAATGCATCCCCACCCGACGTACACACGTTGTGCCCTTATCATGAAATACGCTGCTTTTAGCTATATTTCAGCTATTGCACGCGGGGTGATAAGAGGGAGCGTGCATGATTTTACGCCACGTTTACACAAACACATGCATAGGCAAATCAAGTGCCACGTCAACAAACACGGGAATATATGGTACAAGTCACCATAGGTAATTGCATCGGACATCAGTTTGGTCACTGATGTGTCACATTTGGAATTGTCTTCCACATCAAAATCTATGCGAGTGTATAGCGTTTTGTCGACAAAGTAAATAATGTTCCGTTTAGTGAACCCAATTATACTGGTCAAAAGAACTAGCAACGTAAACTTCACAAGCCGGGATATAACAGAAATACTGTTGAAAGCGGCCTAAATTCGCTCACTCGCTTTGTACAAGTCAGCACGGCGGTTTCAAAAATGTCGACATTGTATACACATTATTACAACGTTCTTACCACCTCATATGATATTATCGAATTGCGCGACTTGTAATTTCATTTCAACAGTGCCTAAACTTGATTTTAAAGCAATATGCATAAAAAAACCAGTGAAGAAGCTGATATTCTAATTTAAACATTCATCTTTTTCATTCAAAGAACGGAGGCCACATGGTCGAAGGATCATTATGTAATATCTGAATGGCGTACTTTAAGCTTAAAAGATGTGTGCTGTGGTGGTTATGCTTTTGCTCGTTACGGTTTTGACACCTTGTATCACTGTTGAAAGGGGCCGTTGTGGGTGGTCCAAATGAAGTCCCGTGGCACTGATGGGGGCGCATAGTTCGGGGACAGTTATTCTTTGGCACCAAAAAGGTTATACAATGATTGTCGATTGTCATCTAAGTCTCTTGGGGGTAGTGTTATGCAGCTACACCAAGTCTCATAGTCTTAAGTGTTGCCACCCGTTATGCAGCTTTGAGCAGTGGATCCAAATGTGACTTGGTTTTCTTGTCAAGTGCTTTGTAATTTTGTCTACTCAAAGAATCCCATCTGAGAAACACAAATATCACGGTAAGGTTAGGAGTTAAGACAGCATAGAGTAGTCTGTCATGCATCCCGAGATGGTGCGAGATATATATGCCGTTATATCTGCGACTATTGATTATGTTTTAGTCTGAGATCGCGTTCAACATGAAAGGGAGGTCACTCTGTCGATTTGGTGTGAGTACACAAATGAGCAGTTGCATGTCATTAACACTAGTCTTATGAATCTGATTTTTATGTAAGAGTTGATAATGAACCATGGAATGAGAAGGTTCATGTAGGCATCGAGAGAGTATATAATAAACACGTTCCAACCTTGTTTTGTTGTGTGACCTTCGCGGAGGTGATGCATTGTCTTCGTGGGCACTTCTTTGTGCTTCGTTACAATACATCATTCGTAATTTCCGTGTCATCCATCATAGGGTGCAGCACAGATCAAGGATTAGAGATACATAATATGCATACCTGCACACACTACCGGTCAAGGCATATATTCCTGTTGTATATTACCGTATTCGACGTAATAAGCGCCCAGGGCGCTCTCAAAATTAGAAATTGGGGTCTCTTATTAGAATAGTATTTTGTTGAAAAAAACAGAGTTGAAAGATAAGTTTCGCGGTTTATGCTGACAGTCTGATATTTTTATATACGACAGATATATTTTTCCAGAATTTAATTACCCATAATTAAGGGTGCATATAACACACGAGTGCGTATTATACGTGAATGAATAAGTCTTGTGTACATTGATCAATCGGAAGCGGTGCTAATTGGGATTGTTCACTAGCCAATATATTAATAAATATCGCCGTGGGCGCTTATTAGAGCGGGGCGATTATTAAGTCGAATACGGTATATATATATATCGTAGATCTCAATAGCAGCACCGGGCACGTCGTCGCATTGCTAACTGTTTAACTGTGTAAATGTTAATTAAGACGTTTAAAATGTCTTTCTCAGGGTTCGAAGCGTCAACACCTTTTAACATTGCTTGCATCTTAACTATCACAAGTGAGCTGGACTGTCGCACAAAAGGGACATTAAGCTAAGACAAATAAACCAAAAAATGAACTGGTGTAGTGAGAATAAGTGAGGATCAGTGACCGTGAATAAAACAGCTCTGTGACACAATCAGGGTGTCAGCCATGGGCTGATTAATGTGACGATGGTCTGATTAACCTGATATAGACTACCACAGTCGTGGTGCCAGGCATGGTCTGATAACCGATGGGGTAGGTATCACTACCCTGTGGAAGTGTCAGTCAGGGTGCCGTGGTTTTGTTAACGTGAGAGAGACATCATTACCTCAGTCAGGATGTCCTGGTCTGTTGAACGTGAGAGAGACATCACTACCACAATTAGGATGTCCTGGTCTGTTGAGCGTGAGAGAGACATCACTACCACAATTAGGATGTCCTGGTCTGTTGAACGTGAGAGAGACATCACTACCTCAGTCAGGATATCCTGGTCTGTTGAACTTGAGAGAGACATCACTACCACAATTAGGATGTCCTGGTCTGTTGAACGTCAGAGAGACATCACTACCTCAGTCAGGATGTCCTGGTCTGTTGAACGTGAGAGAGACATCACTACCTCATTCAGGATGTCCTGGTCTGTTGAACGTGAGAGAGACATCACTACCACAATTAGGATGTCCTGGTCTGTTGAACGTGAGAGAGACATCACTACCACATTCAGGATGTCCTGGTCTGTTGAACGTGAGAGAGACATCACTACCACATTCAGGATGTCCTGGTCTGTTGAACTTGAGAGAAACATCACTACCTCATTCAGGATGTCCTGGTCTGTTGAACTTGAGAGAAACATCACTACCTCAGTCAGGATGTCCTGGTCTGTTGAACGTGAGGGAGACATCACTACCCAAGTCAGGATGTCCTGGTCTGTTGAACTTGAGAGAGACATCACTAACACAATTAGGATGACCTGGTCTGTTGAACTTGAGGGAGACATCACTACCACAATTAGGATGTCCTGGTCTGTTGATTGTGAGAGAGACATCACTACCTCAGTCAGGATGTCCTGGTCTGTTGAACTTGAGAGAGACATCACTACCGCATTCAGGATGTCCTGGTCTGTTGAACGTGAGAGAGACATCACTACCACATTCAGGATGTCCTGGTCTGTTGAACGTGAGAGAGACATCACTACCACAATTAGGATGTCCTGGTCTGTTGAACGTGAGAGAGACATCACTACCACAATTAGGATGTCCTGGTCTGTTGAACGTGAGAGAGACATCACTACTTCATTCAGGATGTCCTGGTCTGTTGAACGTGAGAGAGACATCACTACCACAATTAGGATGTCCTGGTCTGTTGAACTTGAGAGAAACATCACTACCACAATTATGATGTCCTGGTCTGTTGAACTTGAGAGAGACATCACTACCACAATAAGGATGTCCTGGTCTGTTGAACGTGAGAGAGACATCACTACCACATTCAGGATGTCCTGGTCTGTTGAACGTGAGAGAGACATCACTACCACAATTAGGATGTCCTGGTCTGTTGAACTTGAGAGAGACATCACTACCACAATTAGGATGTCCTGGTCTGTTGAACGTGAGAGATACATCACTACCACAGTCAGGATGTCCTGGTCTGTTGAACGTGAGGGAGACATCACTACCACAATTAGGATGTCCTGGTCTGTTGAACTTGAGAGAGACATCACTACCACAATTAGGATGTCCTGGTCTGTTGAACGTGAGAGAGACATCACTACCACAATTAGGATGTCCTGGTCTGTTGAACTTGAGAGAGACATCACTACCACAATTAGGATGTCCTGGTCTGTTGAACGTGAGAGAGACATCACTACTTCATTCAGGATGTCCTGGTCTGTTGAACGTGAGAGAGACATCACTACCACAATTAGGATGTCCTGGTCCCATGAACTTGAGAGAAACATCACTACCTCAGTCAGGATGTCCTGGTCCCATGAACTTGAGAGAAACATCACTACCTCAGTCAGGATGTCCTGGTCTGTTGAACGTGAGGGAGACATCACTACCTCATTCAGGATGTCCTGGTCTGTTGAACGTGAGGGAGACATCACTACCCTAGTCAGGATGTCCTGGTCTGTTGAACTTGAGAGAGACATCACTACCTCAGTCAGGATGTCCTGGTCTGTTGAACGTGAGAGAGACATCACTACCTCATTCAGGATGTCCTGGTCTGTTGAACGTGAGGGAGACATCACTACCTCAGTCAGGATGTCCTGGTCTGTTGAACGTCAGAGAGACATCACTGCCACAATTAGGATGTCCTGGTCTGTTGAACTTGAGAGAATTATCACTACCCTAGTCAGGATGTCCTGGTCTGTTGAACTTGAGAGAAACATAACTACCTCAGTCAGGATGTCCTGGTCTGTTGAACGTGAGGGAGACATCACTACCTCATTCAGGATGTCCTGGTCTGTTGAACGTGAGGGAGACATCACTACCTCATTCAGGATGTCCTGGTCTGTTGAACTTGAGGGAGACATCACTACCTCAGTCAGGATGTCCTGGTCTGTTGAACTTGAGGGAGACATCACTACCTCAGTCAGCATGTCCTGGTCTGTTGAACGTGAGGGAGACATCACTACCTCAGTCAGGATGTCCTGGTCTGTTGAACTTGAGGGAGACATCACTACCTCAGTCAGCATGTCCTGGTCTGTTGAACGTGAGAGAGACATCACTACCTCAGTCAGGATGTCCTGTTCTGTTGAACGTGGGAAACATCACTACCTTAGTCAGGATGTCCTGGTCTGTGGAACGTGGGAAACGCAACTAATACTCTCAGGGTGTCATACATATTCCTGTAAATGTGAGTGAGACATAACTAACACAGCCTAATATCAATCACTATTGATAGTCTTTTGAACGTTGGACGTCACTGCTACAGTCAGGGTTTCAGTTATGGGTGTCAGACATGGTTCTGTGAATGTGAGGGAAACATCATTGCCACAGCCTGGGTGTCAGTCAGTAGTGATAGTCTGTCGAACGGGGTTGGGACATCAGTACTTCAATCAGGGTGTCAGACATGGTTTTGTAAATGTGAGGGAAACATCATTGACAAGGCCTGGGTGTCAGTCAGTAGTGATAGTCTGTCGAACGTGGGTGTGACATCAGTACTTCAATCAGGGTGTCAGACATGGTTTTGTGAATGTGAGGGAAACATCATTGCAACAGCCAGGGTGTCAGTCAGTAGTTATAGTCTGTCGAACGTGGGTGTGACATCAGTACTTCAATCAGGGTGTCAGACTTGGTTTTGTGAATGTGAGGGAAACATCATTGCCACAGCCTGAGTGTCAGTCAGTAGTGATAGTCTGTCGAACGTGGGTGTGACATCAGTACTTCAATCAGGGTGTCAGACATGGTTTTGTGAATGTGAGGGAAACATCATTGCAACAGCCTGGGTGTCAGTCAGTAGTGATAGTCTGTCGAACGTGGGTGTGACATCAGTACTTCAATCAGGGTGTCAGACATGCTTCTGTGAATGTGAGGGAAACATCATTGCCACAGCCTGGGTGTCAGTCAGTAGTGATAGTCTGTTGAACGGGGTTGGGACGTCACGACAGCAATCAGGGTGTCAGACATGGGAGGGAGACAACTCTGCCACAGGCTGGATGCCACTTAGTCAGTCACGGTGGTCTGGGGCCATGGGCCATGATCGCCGGCAGAGAATGAGTCACTACACATGACAATGAACTGTTATGTTAATTGATTTTGCACACTAATCGATGATGAGGGCTGTCATGTCTTGTGTCAGGAAAAAAGGAAACTCAGTATAGAAGCCGGGTTAGGAGGTGCGGACAATAAACCTTGGTCGTGCATCAAGATCTCCGTGCAGAGTGAGTCAACGTATAGGCTTCATTGTACACTTTCTAGTTACCACGGAATAGAAAGGGCTTGACAGTAATTGGTAAGGTGGCTTGTTTGTTTGTTGTTAAACGCCGCACTCAGCAATAATCCAGATAAATAACGGTGGTCTGTAAATAATCGAGCATGGACCATTCTATCCAGTGATTCACATAAACATCGATCCACGCAACTAGGTTACGATGACATGCAATCAACCAAGTCACAGATCCATGAAGTCGCTTCATACGACAAGCATGGGTTGCTGATGGCGTATATTCTTACCCGGAATCCCCACAGGTAAGGTGACATACGTTTTGGCAGAGAGTACAGATTAAATCTGGTGGTTGCGTGGAAATACACCCCCCCCCCCCCCCCCCCCCCCCCCCGGGGGGTTAATAAAGGTTCTAGGTCTTAGTTGTATCGTGAACCGTTTTAACATTATTCATTCTACTTCTACTTGGTTTTGGTTCAAATCATGATATAGTTTGAAGACAGCAATGGCTTCATGCCTAGGTTGTAGGTTATATTCAGTGTGTGTAAACAACGAGCAGATTAATGTGAACTCATTCGATTGTTTTTGTAAGTTAATCTCATAGGATATGTGTGAAAAATGAGATTCGTGCAACTTCAGAGATCAATCGATACTGGACCGGACCAGACAATGATATTATCAGACATGAGGAGTACCACGAATGCCAAATAATCGATACAATCTAAATACGGTAACCGTTGTTATTCATCCCACCACGTGAGTCGAGCTTCCTCGGAACTGCTCTGCCGGGTCTCCTTCAACCGTTTCAGCTCTAAACCCTGACCTTTAACTGACATACATTGTCGCAGACTGCAACGACAATGGCGTAATTTATGCGATGCTCGACCTGTGAAACATCCGCTGCCCGCCGTTACAAGTTTACTCTTTGTCGTCTGCTGTTTTGGCAGTTTGGAGCGTGAGGAGGCAAAACGGTGACAGCTGAAACAATAATTGTAATAACGGAACATAAAAAAATGGCCAATGACCGTAGCTGAATATTTCTGGCATGTTACATATTCATGCTTTGCCATCAAAAACGTATTGTATCGATACGCAATCAAATAGACGGAAAACATGCATTTTTCATGGCTAATGCCTCGCTCCTAATTAATATATTCAACATCGGCAGTGACAGATGCTTCACAAGATCTGACAGTTGTTTTTCCAGATCTGACTCCTATTAGAGGCAATACACAGATGTCGTCTAACAGGACCTCCACATCTCTCATCATATAACATTCCTCATATCCTGTTGAACAACTGTTGTGAACCTGCTGAATATTTCAGCCCTGTTTAGCCAGGGCCTATGATCAGTGACGACCAGCTCTTGTGTTGTCTCCCCCCCGTGCTTCGGCGTCTTCGCCTCAACCCTGTCACGCCGCCAAGAGTTCGACCCAGACCGCCATTGTACGGACTGCAAGAACCATGGCCAAGGTAAGCACCCATAGACCTTCACCTATGTCCAAATGTGTGTTGGAAGTCGAGATGTTTAGTTCTCCTTGAATTAAGTAAGCACCCCTAGACATGCACCTTCATATGTCCGAATGTGTTGGCAGTCGAGATGTTGTTATTTGTGTTTGTCGTACGTAAACACCCCTCAGTATGTACTTGTGTCCAAATGTGTTGGCAGTCGAAATGTTGGTCATTTCTCTTTGTCGTAAGTTAGCACCCATAGACATGTCGCGCCATTTGTCCAACAGTCCTGCAGCTTATCGTTTGTCAGGATGACTTAAGACTCCTCGTTGTCCTCAGTACAAAAGGTAGACATGAAACTTCATATATCCAAATGTGTTGGCAGTTGAGATTGACATATGGTTCATATGGCCAAGCTACAGTTCCACCAGTCTGATGGCATTTGAGGTGTTGTTTACTGCTGTTTGCTCAAGTAGGCACCAACAAACATGTAGTCTCATGTGGCTCATCAACAGTTCTACCTCTGAGATATACTTCTGTTTGTCCTACAGTTCTAACAGTCCACGACCCATAAATAATTCATATAGCATGATAACTCACGCATGATGGAGAAAAGTTTTTAACCATTTCATTCATTAAAAATATATGTATTGTCTGTGTCTTAATTTGTAGGATTTTGCTTTGACCCATAATATGAATGACAAGATCATCGCCTGTTTGCCTCAGCTGTGTGCATTTCAAAAGAGATGAATATTCAGTATAATATTGCGAGAAGTACTAATATGGCGAGTGACACATTGTTCACACAAGAATATAACATGGTAATTATCTTCATTATATTTACAGTTTTTGAATTAACAGGAATTGCAGAATCGTTCAGCATAAGCAATGTAACTGTCTCCCAAACTGTATACAGTACGTTTTATGCTGTATACATGCATATCTCTCTATCTGTCTGTCTGTCTGTCCGTCCGTCCGTCCGTCCGTCCGTCCGACTGTCTGTCTGTCTGTCTGTCTGCCTGTCTGTCTGTCTCTCTGTCTGCGTGCGTGCGTGCGTGTGTGCGTGCGTGTGTGTGTGTGTGTGTGTGTGTGTGAGATATGTTAGAAGTTTCCTATAAATCAAAGTTCAAATAGCTGATGTATTTTCAGTGCTGCTGGTTCTAGGCCTCAAGTCATGTATTGTCAATAAATCATATGTTAATCCTCTCTTCACAAATATGTAACTTACACTTGAAAGAAGTCGAACATGAAATATCAACCCTAACTTCATTGATAGAACAGGTTCTAAAAAAACACTTTTAAAATAGATTTGTGACTAATATATAATCGTGTGTAACTTTAGAAAAATATAATTATACTAAAGAATAATATTAACGAAATAGGTTACGGTTCTGATACGTAACACCCATATGACAGTTAATTTATTCCATTTACACATTCGTCCTTAAACAATCAGTAAAGCCACATTGCATATCTCACGAACTAGCTGCAAATACATACATCACTGTTTACTAGACGTAATCACTTAACAACGACAATATTCTGCTCGACACATTTGCGTTTTAATGCAACAAGACTTAAAATAACAGAGTAAGATTAGAGTTGTCCATGTTGGGAGAAAAATATATTTTCCTGAGTATTATTTGTAATACCCAGGAATAGTATGTGACTATCCGAACACAAATATAGGTAACTACTGTGTGGCCTCATTTGGATACATGTTTTAAAATGAACCCAACCCTTTCTCCAAAGTTATCTTTCTAGCATGGCTTTCTTGTTAGGCAGGGATATGCTTTAAAACCTTGCAGGACATATTTAACGACAGTTACAGCATCCATGGGCTCATCAAATTCCAGAGGCGTGTGCATGTTGTCCCTAACGACATTAGAGATAACTGCTTGCTTGACCAAGGAACAGTGATACTTCACACGTCATTTCCAAACCCTCGGTCTAGTAAAGTGTAAAACTAGCAATGCATACTATACGATCATAGGATTTTGATTTTCGTTGAGGCCAGGTAACTTATATGGGTGCAGTATGGGGGTGCATTATAGGGGTACAGTACGTACAACATTGTGAGCGGCACCACACACATCTTAACAGTATTACGTCATAATCATGTGAGAAAATACTTTAATTAACCAAAGTATCTGCCACTATTCCTTGCCGTTGTTGGCTAGTGATCACTTCCATCACAACCTGGCCCATCGCGAATACAGCATGGCGGTGATAAAAGACCAGAAGACGCTTTGTGGCAGTCATAACTGTCAACACGTACTTTGTATGATAGAGATGATTTTCATTCAGCAGAAGTTCCATCTACATATTGCAGGGCATCTGAACTAAAATATGATTCATACTGGTTCTCTCTCTTGAAGTATCGATTGTGAATTTCTGCCTGTTCCTAAGGAGCGCACGTTTCCTTGTGCTATAGCGTCCCTGTGAACATCTGATGTCGAGCTCAATATGCTAAATTATTTACATCCTCTTCAAATTATTCACACACGCATGCTTTAATAATGTTTCGGGAAGTGCAAGCTTTTATTGGCTGCTGTGACCTTTCAAACCCGCCCGTTTGCCATCCGCTCATCCATTTGACATTGGCTTTCGTCCACATCGCAGAGACAAGATAATCTTATCTGCTAGTGCCATATTCTGCTTGGAGTTTCCGGGTAAGAATGGTTCCCCCGCAACCTATGCGTGTCCTCCAAGACGACAGAATAAATTGAATGGTCAGACTCGGTGACTTGGTTGAATGCGTGTCATCGTAAACCGATATTACCAATCACTGGTTGTCTGGTCCACACTCAATTATGTACAGGCCGCTGTCATGTAGCTGGAATACTGCTGAGGGTGGCGGTATACAACAAATAAACAAACCTAGTGCCATGGCCTACAGGGATTTTTAGTTGTATACGGAAGTAACCATTGAGCGATTGTATAATCCTGTTCTACAGGCGTCAACAAAGAGTTTGGTTATGGCGTCGCCACCTATTGACGTCAACAACGACGGTATAACAGTAAATAACAACCCACAATGGCAACTGTCCAACACATTGCTGTCACATATTCACTTTATATAGACACCGTCTGCCGTCTCCGCTCATGATTATGAGAACCTGGGTAATACGGGATCACTGTGTGTGCTTACACAACTACGCAGATAAGGAAAGTACATGGATGACCGCCTCTGTATATATCAACATCGACGGAGCAACGCTTTGTGCATCGAGACGTCGCAGTTACTGAGCACGGTTGTGTCCTGATTACTATCTGTCTCAGCATCTATCATTACAGATCTTGGGAAACCTGTTTCATCTGCTTCATAAAGATACCCGTATGTTGGAAATCGAATGTGATGGTTGAGCGAACTGGCACGAATACAGTTTATGAAAGTTATTTTACAGTTGTGTCGAGACGTCAGTAGTAACATTCAGACATTCTCATATCTTGTAGCAACTTTAATACAGATGTGAATAACACGCACGCCGGGTGCGTAGTATGCTATATACACTGCAGGTCAAAAGAAAGTGCACATCTATGTTTGATGGTGGCTAATAACAAACAAGAAATGTGGCTAAAATGAAACAAAAAAGAAGGTTATACAAAAAAAGGTTATTCGATGGTGAAATATTTGATACTGGTATCATAGGCGATATTACATATATCATATCAATGGAACCTCACAACAGGTGACGTGAACATGAAGTCTCGAAGAAAAGGGGGTTGCAATTTCACAGTACACAGTAATGAGTAAAGCAAGTGTTTTCAAGTAATTACTTCTTTTGCCAGGCAGTTTACTTATCTAGATGGGATAACCTAGTGGTTAAAGCGTTCGCCTGTCAAGCCGAAGACCCGGGTTCGATTCCCACGTTGAAATGTGGTGTCCACCGTCATTAAATCACAGTGATAGTGTTAAAAGTGGCTAATACCACCCTCATTCACTCTATCCTGACAAAGAGATAGGAATGTTTACTTGGTTGAGTCAGGTGATCAGGAACTGGTTCAAACATATCCCCGTAACCACTCGTAATTGACATGTTTCATTGGAGTCACGTTCAGATAAAATGGTCGCACATGCATGGTATTGAGGCATGTAATCCTAATACCCCAATCCCAGCGAACCTTTGTTGTGGTTTATGGCAACAGGGCGGTGTCGGAAGGCGAGACGGGTAGTGCAGGGATCTCAACAGAGTCGATGTGAGGAGATTTGGGACGGACAAAAGCGCATTTAGGACGTGCTCAACAAGCACCTGTGGACCTTAAGTGTGACGCTCCATGCTGCACCACAGCTGTGTAGGTAATTGTCCAACCCAGATCAGCCGGTGAGGCTTGACGTGTCGACTGCAGCCATTGGGCCATCGATTTACCGCGGAATTCCGGCGAAGCAGACGACAACAATTGCAGGTTGGGGGTTCATGTCGGGGAAACCGTAAGCATGGCGGACGATAAACAGCCTGAGGACCACACCTTGTGGAACACCGTTTCGTGGCTCAGGTAACCCTTGTTTAATGTCACAGTGAGAGCAGGCGTCAATTACCTTCCACCATAGTTTTATGTGAGCTGGACGTACCACACGGCCAGGTCGTCGTGAACTACAGCTGTATATAGTTCTACCTGCCTGTCCCGACCAGGGATAGAGGTGGAGGTGGTTATTCACCCTAAACCCTGACAACCACTCAGGTCCGGTGAATATACTGACACTGAATTACCGTTGTCATCAGGATTTCGACTAATTTGTCACCGTTCTCACCACGAACACAAACCTGTGTTGTTACCCCAGGCAGTCGCCATGACTGTTATTCCGTGTGTTTATATTGATCTCATTGACGCGTCCAGGGAAGGCTCACTCTGACCGTGTGTACATACACCATCTAATTGCCTACCTGATCTGACATTATATTTACTCATCCTGTTCGCTTATCAAGTTTGGGTTATTGTCATCAAAACCACATCTATATATCATGTTCTTCATAGTGTTGTTTTGAAAAGACCTCGCTTGAGATTGTGTTTTATTATGTTCGCCATATGTTTATATATGTTTTTTATATGGGTTTGTCTAGTCGTGTCTACTTTCATTATTCGTCTACCCTGATTTACACAGGCGTTTCAGTTCAACATTTAGAATTTCGTAAATTGATTAAGCTTGAGGAAGAGTCTTTTTACTTCCTTGTGTATTGTTCATTTCGTAGGCTTCACATCGTCCACAGTTATAAACATCATCGAAATCAGTAGGACCATTGTGAAACTTTTCTTTTCTGTGAACTTTTACAGATGATAGAATGATGTTGAGCTCATCTCTAATGTTAACTTGTACATATGTTAGAAGTATTGTGAAGCTCTACCTTTATGTAAACTCGTTGTGATTATTGGTGTTTTTTAAGTTTCTTATAATGCCATCTGTCGTCAGAAAGGCAATCCAGTACACTGATGATATCATGTAATTATAGACAGATGTGTGTTTGTGACTCGGCCTTATTCATAATACGTTGAGTAAACCAGATTTACTGTATCTACACATGCATTGATACTGTTGTAAACTATCGAAGCGTATCCAATGTAAAACGTTCCATAATAACAAGCTACACTTAGGTAAGACACAATTTTATGGATAACAACTTCTTTAATACTGTAAAAAGCGACGTTTCGGTATAGATACTGCTTGACAACGGTATAAGGATCTATACCGAAACGTCGCTTTTTACGGTATTAAATTGTACTTACCTTGTCACCCGTCAACTTCTAAGAAATGCCTATCAAACAATTTACACTTAGTGTATCTCATTTTTTCCTACAGCCCCGATTCGTATGTTAGTAAACCCTGATTTCATTTTAGCGTCAATATAGAATGGAAACACAAAACTGTACAGTAGTGGAGTACAGGTCTCAATTCAAACCATGTAAAGAAAGTGTTATTTCTTTTCCAAACGTTAAGGCCTAGGGCATAGATACCCATCTCACCAACAGTGTATTTATGGCCATGAAGACCTTTGTTCGACATGTACATGTACTTACAGGTCACAGAGGTTCTGCTTGGTTGACCTATAAACGTTTATCACATTGATCCTGGCTGGGTTTGTCAGTCAATTGATCATGTGTTCCCAGCTTAAACTAGCCGCCGATTGTGTCTGGCCTTTCTGTTGCTCCGCCGTGCTGTTCAAAACCACCATTTCACACATTGCCGTCTCTAGTTCATGGTGATGTGGAAAGATATCATAACCCATATTTAACTGCTTTAGTACGGTATGTTGTTTGTAATTAGATATAAAGAAAATGAGTATTTTCTTAAATAATTCATGCGTAGGCAAGCGTTTCAAAGTAACACTTCTTATCAGAAGCGGTTTTGGGATCCATTTCCTCTGGGAAAATATTAGCACACTCAAGAGTTGGAAGAACAACGTTACAGATCTATACTTCTTTCTCTTTCGTCGGGTGAAGGGGCAACACTTAGACCTGAAAAGGTGACTATAAGTTTCATGTCTTCATCATAAAATATGTCTATGGCTAATTTAAGCCTCAACCGATTACAATGAAATAGTGTGATCTGTGAAAATACGAAATAACACGTGGCAGTGTTCAATATGTTAAGTTAAGGGAGTCTTGTAATTCCAGTGGCGTAGCAGGAATCCTCAACGACCCCACAAATGTCTACAACAACGAGGCATCATCAGATTCATTCGTCCTGTTCATGTTCACAGCAGGGATCTAAAGTGAAGTGGTTTAATATATTTTAGTTGAAAATAGTTCCAAACTATTCAAATTAGAAATATCAGGTAATATATCCGTAGCAAATGCACTTCTAACGAAGGCAATCTCAATTCCAATTTGGTTCGTGTACCCAGATGTAAACATATACATTATTCTCTGTCCTTTATTGTATTATCGTTTGAATTAATAGATGCATACAGCTGGTTCATAATGTAAATACAGATTCAAAACTGCAAGATATTAATGTGAAGTCGAGGTCAGTCGAGGTCAACGTGACATGACACACTTCCTCTGTACCATTTTATGTTTATTTGTAACAGGTTACGTGTAACAATGGACATATATGTGTACAGGAGTGGGATATGTATTGTTTATTCGATACAGTGTTTGCTGTCAAATGCCAACACATATTGGATCGATGCATTACAATGCAATATGTGAGATGAAAGGTGGAGCCACACCGTTATTGAGATGCACCTACATGCACTGTCAAGCCAAATCAATATTTATTGATTAAGTACAACATGCAACAAAGTACGGTTCGTAACACGTATTGATTACTAGTTAGGTGTTACTTGTGGGTTACTCCTGCAGAATGCATTTGGGTATGTAGTGTTGATGACGGCTTAACGGGGGACTGCGATTGTTGTTCTTGTTTCCATTGTCTGCCTTAGTCTGGACAATCAATAACATATGTGAGACTGAGACATTGTCTCAGTTGTAGTTAGGAGACTCATTAACTTTTAGAATTAACAATGAGTATTATTATGTATAACGTCTTTATTATATGTAAACATCATTTCATGGCTACTTCTTGCCACTTCATCAGCTTAATGAAACGTTATGACTACTACTACTACTACTACTACTACTACTACTACTACTACTAAAACACCGTCAATGTGTGATTTTGCATCGAAATGTGAATATGAAATGTTGATTATGTAATGAATTTAATGAGACTGTTCAACACAATGTCAGTGCACAAACACAGTATCTTAAGCGACAAGTTGGAGTGGCTCGATCATTTTATTACCGTCTTCGCAATGCTTGTGGTTTTGACACAGAGGTCCATCCATGGTACGACCCAGAATATGTAGAGGGCGTCATGGAAAATGATGAATACAATTTTCTTTTGGAATAGGCCCATATACAGTCTCAGACCTATCCAGGCCAACAAACCTGATCTTGTCCTTTTTGGAAAATTCAATGAAAACATTTATATTATTGAATTTTCTGTCCCTTTGGACACTGATGTGATTGACAAGATTCAGGAAAAACATAACAAATATGCAGACCTCGCTTTCGAAATGTCACCAAGCTATTCGACTCCCCATTGTTCACGGTGCCTTAGGTTTGGTACCTCCAAATCTGTTGACTGACATCGGGAGGGCAAGGGCCCTGAATTGATGATGAGCCTAACCAGCCTGACTGTGCCAGGATCACCCAAACCATTTCTAATGTTGGTTTCCATAATAAAACACATTGTCATGTTTACATCCAACTACTAGATGCCTATAAAGACTCCCAACGTTTAGATAGATTTACAAAAAAAACACGAACAGAATGACAAATTTGTGTTTAAATCAAATTTGCCGGGACCGCCAAATACCTCAAGTCCAGCCCCCTGTAAGACCAGCACATTTAAGAACAATTTTGTTGTTGTAACGAGTGAGTGAGTGAGTAAGTCATGTATGTATGGTTTTCCGTTGCATATTGCAGGATTCCAGGAATGGTAGGACGAGCATGCGCATGTTGGGAGTAGAACCCAGATTTCGTAATAGACGTAACTACAAATGTATCCATTCACCCAACAGCAGATCTGCTTATCCTTGTTCCAGTGGTTACAATGGAATGTGTCAGGAAGATGACGGAGTATGGATAACCTATTCTGAACGCAGGGCTGAGTAGTGTCTCTTCTATTTTGGGGATGGCTCCTGACATATACGTCTCACGCCAAACAATAAATACTCTTCACATATCGTTTATACACCTTCTAGCCAACTCTTTAAAAAGTGATATGAATAGTTGGTACGTATTAATATGTATGTAATAATTAGTTATTTAACAAAACAATATTTTCGTGGAAGAAATGTTATCAATATGTTTCCATAAAATATTTGAAAAAAACTCCCACGAAAAACCTAATGTGGGGGATGGTGTTAATAATGATTAATCATGTGATAAATATTTTAAAGATTTTTCGTTTTACACCATGTCATCATACCATTATTACAGGGATCAAGCAAGCCATTCACAAGGTATTCCACACCGCCCAATTTTTTTGAAATATTCAAACAACAATGATGTGATGTGTTTCTGACAAACCATATTCATACGTCACATTCGGTAAATTCCGTAAAATGTCGTCACGTAGAGACACAATAAAGATTCGTCGGGATGGCCGGGGCGTCGTTCCGAAAACTTCCATATAAGGAATACGAATATCCGGTGGATGTCCCACTTTCACCACTTGAATAGTCGTCAGTTTACCTGTTCACCAACAATGCACATGTTTTGTTATAAGGCTTATCCACTATAGCAAACTATCATGTATTTTAGGAAAGAAATCCCTACATACCCGCACCCAGTCCACGAAAAACTCTTTGCTGAATACAATTTAAATATACAATCTTTACTTTGCAATGACCTCCATTCGCTTTACATCGAGATCATACGACATGGATGGGTGACCTTACACCCCTAGGCTTATCCCCGGCTTGTGTACATGGAGATGTTGGAGCAGCCAATCAGATCACGGTATTTTGTACATAGAACACATTTACGTATGCACATGACACGACCGGTATAAATGTATGCTCCTGTCGAACCCCTTTGAATTTATGACATCGAAACAGAAGTGCTCATGTCGTTGAGGAATATCAGCGCTAGCTCGCACGGCCGACCACTATCTTACCCCTGTGGGCCGTTCATTACCACAAGGTAGGTGATAGCTATGTGTGTAGTCGTTATATATCACATGAAAATATATAGGCAAGTATCCCGTGACGGCACATGTGACTTGATTAAGGGATTTTCCCCCAATGTTAACGGCACACCCTCATGTGATACTGTCCCGCCTACACTCGTCTAGATTACAGTATTGTCTTTGCTACATTGTCTTGATGTTATTATTTATTAGGTATAAAGAAGACTAGAATGTTATATATAAAATGTAATTAAATTTGTATGCAATTTTCAAAAATAGTATTCAGTACCCTATTATATTGTGTACATTTATGTGAACATCAATGTTAAAATATGTGACAACCTGCCCAAGGCCACTTAACATACTCTGTAGGTTATTGGGAGGTGCATCCCCATGTTACAGTTAAGAAGCTTGACATAGAAAAGAAAATCTCACAAGACAAAAGAAAAAAGTGTTAACGTTATGCCATGTTTTCTGAACAGTTAAACTCGTTGATTTCGATATCCTTCACATGAGGCTTCTCAAACAGTAGAATCTATGCGACCGACCCTGCATGAATGCTGGCTGTCATGTTTTTGTCTCGTTATTCAAAACGACGTCGCATTGGTTGATGCCAGAATACGTACATTCAAAAGCTATTCCCTAACAATTTCCTCTTTTTGTCTGGTGCGTTGTGTTCAGTTTCAAACTCGTCCAAATGAATGCCCTTCCGCTGAATAACATACCACAGCCCATAGACACCATACCCAACGACGTTAACCTACGTACTATTGTCAGTCTATGTAAACCTTATGCAGATATTCAGATCGGCAACATTCCCCAAGAAACGTTTCGTGTGGATACCTCAATGTGTTGAATAAACATTGAATGGGAGTGAAATGACACAGAGGTAATAAAAATACAAATGCTTCAAGCAAGAATTCAAAACGTGTTCACGTGTAATACAACACTGGTTGGCATATATGTTAGATGTTGCGATCTGTCCACTAGTCAAGAGACTGGAATCCCTGTGTTAAGGATATCGCACAGTTCAACAGTAAAATCGCTGGTAAGATTTACTGTTAATCATGGTTATTTTGTACTGTCATGAGAAACATTTCTAGTAAGCTTAGCAGAGATTATTTGTTATTTGGGACATAGTTTTGTCGCTTATATTTACTTGCATTTTCTGGAGCAACACATACAACACCTTATTGTTAGCTGACTTCGCCAATGGGACCGTGGGTGCGCTCTTACATGACAGACATTTCAACGCAAACTCATCTTTGTAAATACTCGTCGCAATGAACAGCTTACAAAGATCAGCATACACCACACATCATTAACCTGCAAGGCGGTTTTCCTCCCATATGCCCTGGAGATGAAGACAAACAGCTGAAGCAGTCTGACAACTCTAGCCACACACCGGGCTGTCTTCAACCCATACTTTTCCCAGCTAGATTAAACTCAGCCAGGTTGTACGTGTAGAAACCGAGTAAGTCTTGTGTTTGCCGTGAGATTCAATGTTAGAAAAAAAGTCGGATCCCTGTTTGTTCCTTGTTGGTTCACTTGAGTCAATTAGATTTAACTGAAAAATCGTCGTATGAGCACACACTTTGTCTCCATCTATGTACTATTACATTTGAAATATGTTGACTTTATTTAATAATCTTTAAGATGGATTATGAAATTATCATAGCACAAACTTAATTCAGTTCACCTTTCCTTACACAGAGCATTCACGAATCCTCTGAAAGTCTCTCACTACACGTCAGTATATGCCAACTGTAGCAGATATATTTCCTCAACATACAATCATATTAAAGATTACTTTGAAGTGTTTCAATTCAGTTTAATGTATATATTGTAAGGAGTACACTGTGTGGCTCTACGTTATATGTCAGGACATACCAAATGAAACACATGAAGGACATCAACATATTTCCTAAACACACAAACGTACATGAACTTATCTCTGTGTCGATTATTTAAGGATAGTTATCCTCCAAATAAAGGAGTGCCCTTTCAGACATGATCGTGGTTATGACGTTGACAAAGCATTGTATGGTGTAGTCACAGGATGATGTTTCCTATTCATGGAGCTTATAATCTCGTCTGATGCGTATCAACTGTCATCGTGGGATGATTGATTGAGGACATCACGAGTGGAAGATACGCGCAACTTATTTCAAAACACGAGACGGTTTAACCATATCCATCTGGTTTGATTCATTGCTATTGGTGACTAAATGATTAAACAGGCTATTTCAAAGATTCAGAGTATGTTGCGTCCATCATAAATGACTACACACATAGCTGCACTTCTGGTACGAGTGAACATAATCACAACAAAGTATTTCGTTTTCCCTACCAAGGCAACACACTGGCGTTGCCAGGCACTTGTCACCTGCAGCCTTTGCACTCGTTGAAACTATGACACAAAATCACTCGCGCGGAAAAGTCACAACCCTCTGTCCCGAAACTAATACATTGTTGGTGCGTTAGATGAGAACTGTATAAATGTTGTATCTGGTATTAATATTGAAACTTTTAACGCCTGACAGGAACGCATTTTATGGAAATGGTAGGGGTTCTCTTGCATAAAAAGACCACTTTTATTGTTTGTATGGGCTCCCAAGCATATTGTCTCATACCTGACTGAACATGTTGGGGGTATTAGCAAAGCTTAAACACATATGAATAGGTAGATATATAACTACTTATACTGACCTACATTTCCTCTTATCCGTCTATATTGCATCTACAAACTTGCTTAGTTAATGAGAACTTCATTGTAGGCTTCATTCATTTACAAATGTCTGTCAAGTGTTAACGCTTATTCAGGAATCACTTGCTGAGAATTGCTGTTTCATTTAATTTCTTGAAACTAAATATATATTTAAAAACCATTTACACTTTTACTATTTACAAAATGAAACAAAGTAAACATGAAAAAAGAATACCCAGCTCTGAGGATATGGTCATCTTATCTTATCTTCTTAGGAGATATTTGTACAACGTTTTGTATGTCGCCACAAAACCATAATAGCAGGAGGTACTTAACAATAGCAAGTAAGCTGGCCACTGACCTACTGGGGCAACTACTATATGCATAAATCTCGTTATAGAAGGATTTATGACATATACAGCAAGTACCTCTACTGGATAATCTTGTTGAACAGGATCAACAGAATTGTCTGGTGACTTTTTGGTGTATGTACATGTAGATATACACATCTAGTGGCATGTAATTGTATTTCTGGTATAGCTTTGTAACAATAACACCATACCCTTTTACAGAAGCTCAACCATCCTTTGTAATATCGTTTAGAATTTCCAATTGTATCATTATATTACATGGTCTTCAGCTGTTTTGAAACAAAAGCTGGTTGGTCGACATATTTCCCGACCACCTCTACATGCGTACAGAGCCACCCAACAGGAATTACCTGTTACACAGTCATTCAACCATCATGTTAAGTCATTCTTTCCTTCAGTAGAAAAAAAAAGTCCATAGAGGATGGAACGGTGTGTAGCCCTTATTTCACATTTCGCTTTCTATTGGTCTATCAGTTTTAAATTTCATCTATAGGTTGTTTCTACAATGTCAGTGTTGTTTTCAGAACGAGACGAGACGCTATTCCGGCAATCCCCCAATCAAGGCCACAGTTACCAGACTTTAGCGCTATGATGTCAGACTCGACGACAACAGGGGACTCTTCCGATCAATCCAAGCTTGAGGAAAAGCTGAAGCAATTTGAAAAAGAGGAGATGGAGAGAAAAGGTGAGAGGATTTAACCAGTGGTTTCTCAGGTGATGAGGTCGTGTGGAAATTAGAAACATTTTGAACTGAATAACAGTTAATAGAACTGTTTGTTTTGAATAGTAAAATTACATTAATAATACTAGATGAAAGAGGAGGTCATTCACACATGTATTGTAATAATCTAACGAAGAAAACAGCGCACAAGGCTTATATATACTAAAGTTTGGTTTTCATGTATCCAATGAATACTATATATCTTGATTTATTATAACCGTTTCTTCTGAAACGTTAATTGCAAATGTATCCATACATTTGGCTGACGTTTTATGATATGAGATCCTTTCTAAGACCGACACCCAACATAAATGTAGGACCATATAGTTAAGAGAAAATGTTTTTGAAAACAACTTTGGGACATATGGCATTTGTTGTACAAGCACATATAAGATGGCAAGACATACACAGATTAGTTTTAAATGTTCATTGATCTTGTTTTCATCTCCTTTAAATAAAAGTTAACGTCATTTTAGAAAACCTTTTCATTATTTAAGTAACGACCCAGATCAAATACTCAATCAGAAATGTGTTGTCCACAAAAACAAGTACTCTACCAAAATTGTTTTTCTCTAAAGATAAGCCGTCTTGTACTCGTCATTTGTACGTAGTATTCGTTAAGACCAATGCGTGGTTAAAATGTTTGAACCCGTGTGCCAAATTTAATTTAAAACGACCGTCCTTTCGTGTTACATTTGCTTTAGGTCACAGCTCAGAGCAATGTTATTTACTTGTGACTGACATAAGTAACCTAAAAGTGTAGGAGAATGTTTACCAAGTAAACATAGGTTTCCCTTTTGAGGAGATACTTTACTGGAAATGAGTTTTACTTGAACATCGTTTTTCCAGGTTTGTAAGGCCTGAACCATTAACTCTAAAGAGCATGCGACGCCATTCCCTAATCCCCCTTTGGCGAATGCGATATGAGACGACAATAAACAAACACAAAAACCTGGTATATACGTCATGATGAGTGATGGTGGCCATAGATCTCGCGAAAATAACTACCATCCTTCCTAGCGGTACATTTCTATGTGGAATTAATATGTTAACTCAACCCCTGCACCGAAAAATGCTTTTATCAAATTTAATGTTGTCTAATGCTATATATTGTTTTTGACAACAGAGCGAAACGAGTTGCAACAACAGCAACATGAGCAAAATGGCGAAGAGAGCTCTACTAACAGATTTCGGGATAAGAGGAGAAAGAATATTATTTTTGACGAGGAGAGATTTGAGGACACCTTCCTGAAATGTCTTATCTGTCGAGAGAATTTTGACATGGATGAAAAGATGCCCAAAATGCTCCCTTGTCACCATACATTCTGTCTGGATTGTCTGCGTCAGATGTGGCGAGTAGAAGGGGAGTTTCGACAGACCTTGACATCTGCTTTCAGAGGTATGCCCATGGCTGTGAAGATTCAGTGTCCAACCTGCAGAGACGGCCTGATCACATCTGAAGCTGAAGTGAAGCGTCTCCCAAATGATCACACCATCATGGAACTGCTGTCCTTCATGAAGGAAACGGGCCGAAGTGATGTTCAATACTGCTCTAAGCATCAAATGCAACCCCTCAACTTTTTCTGTGAGCCTTGTATCATCCCTGTGTGTTGTGACTGTACCGTGATCGACCACAAAGAGTCCAAAGGACATATTGTCGTCAATGTTAACGAAGCCATGGACAAATACACACCAATCCTGGAGACTACCATGGAAGAAATACAGGTTGAGAAGGGAACTCTCGAATCCAAGAAAGAAACTTTAATGAAGAGTGCGGAGAAACTTGATACTACACAAAAGGACGTCAACGATAAAATCAAGGATGCATTTTGTCGTCTCCGTGAAACCATTGATGAGCGTGAACGAGAGCTGTATGAGATGACAGAAAGAGAAGTTGGGAGGAAGAGGGAGAAGCTACAAGACAACATGAAAGTGGTCATGGAACGAGACGAGGCCCTGAAGAATCAACTCAAATCTCTAACCAATGCCAAGGAAGAAAAGGATATAAGCTGTATGTTTTCAGGTCACAAGGCAGCGAGAGATGTACTGTCTCAGAAGGTCGAAGTTGTCATTGATTCGATGGACAATTTTGCAGTAGAGTTCAGCTGTGATGAACGTCAACAGAGGAACATTCGACAAGAAGTGACCAATCTTGCGGATATTGTGTTTCAAGATTAAGTCCGATGACTTAACCAGACTAGGTGCTCTATTACGCAAGTGACGTTTGTTTGTACAGAAATGATAGGCTGCGTTTATTCACTTCAAGCTCCCGCATTTATTCCGGGAAGCATTGGAATGTTGAGGACAGATACATTCCTCCTCGTCTTCGAGCATTTTGAGAGGAGTGTGTGAGGTTTTCCGCCGGTTTTTCCCCAGCAATATCACGACGGGGTCACCAGAAATGGGCTTCACACGTTCATTTTGAGAGGAAGGAGATGCTAGTTTAGATTATCAAAAAAAGAAGGGTTCCAATAAGGGCCTGCGAACATTGTGAACTGAAAAAATCTGTAAATTACAGTTGGCACTATGCATTCTGTCTCTTACGGAGAAAACCACAGAAAGTTACATTTCAGAAGATATCCTTTTGGGCATAGTAAATATTCCAATCACTATCAAAACCATTTTCCCATTCACCTTGATGTTCCACTCCTTCAACTTGTGACTTGAATAATGTGCTGAGCAGGTCAGGTGTATTTGCCTTAATAACTATCAGTTTACCTCATTTAGTGGAATTATTCGATGAATACATGTATGATAAATTCTGTAAAGTCTTGCCGTAGAATAGTTTTTGTTTTAAAAAATCAGCAGGAAAATATCATTCAATATCTGCAATAACTTGTGAAATCAGATTTGTTATGGTTTATTTTGTATCGTTTTAGTCACTCTTGGTTTTGTTTTACCGTGTACTTCCTCTCCCGTCTCACTTTCTATCGGACTATTCCATATGTGCAATCTTTGTATTGTATCTATTGCTTCTGGGTTTCCTATTTTGTCAGCATGTATTTTATGCATTGTAACATAAGTATATTTTTCAGAAGTTTACTTACCCGTTTCTTAAACCTGTATTAATGTATTCTCGTCAGTTTCATTTCAATGTCATACTGTATCATCATAAGTAAACATACTTTTTCAAATTTCCAAGACATCGCGTTTTATAAAACAGCGAGTGGGGATTATCTGCACACGTGATAACGATATAGCATCTATAAAACTCACTTCACTCACGTTCTTAACGGATTTAGGCAATCGGAGTCATCCGTAAATACTAAACGCTGAAAATGGTTCGATCAGAACAACGGGTTCACATTTTAATTAGTATTGTTTCTATTTAAGATTAAGCTTTTATTGTCATATAGAAGGCATAGACTGTATTACAAGTATTTTCGTAAAGCGATGCCTCTGATTAAGACATACATATTTGCCATCTAACAGCAATATATCAGCTTAAAGTACTATGTAGGACACAGAATATGATGTTAATAAGGGTACTGATGATGCAGCTTTGTAATATATGTAATATTTTGCCGCTATTTCTGTGATCTCGAGCCGATTTTGAGGATGATATACATTCTGTTTGGTATATACTACCTATGTACATTATATAATTATTGTACTCATCGCTATTTGAGTACTGAAATAAAATTATAAATGATAAATGGTTATTTTGTTATTCATCAAACTTTTCCTCATGCATAAATGAAAGGAATGGAAAGGACGTTTAAACACACCGCTAGAACTTGCATGGAAGACACATTTGAATACATTTTAATGTTGAGTGAAGGATGTTATCAAGGTCTACGATCGTTGTGAACCAAACAAAAACTAGAGTAGTAAACTATGAATGCATATCTCTTACACAGAAAATCACAGTAATCTAGATTTATAGAAGATGCAGATGCAATTACATACTATCGTTTAGTTATGCATCCGTGAAGGCATAGCAGCTATTCAATCACCCTCAAAATAGAATTGTTATTCACCGAGATATTTTCTTAACTACATCAACTTATGGCTTGGATAAAGTGATAGACTGGTCAGTTGTGTTTGCCATATTAACTATCAGTTTACCTAATTTGATTATGGAATTATGTCTTTGAAGGCATTGTACATATTCTAATCACTATCAAAACCGTATTTCCATACACCTTAATGTTTACTATAACTACATCAACCTATGGCTTTAATACTGCGATGAGCAGGTGAGATACATTTCTTAGCCTTATTTATGGTTGCGTTATTAGCTATCAGTTGTTTTTCAACGGGCGCTCACGGAAAGTTTGTGGAAGTGTCATGGAGATGCCAAAATCACAAATAGCAGTATGAAAGCCTAACCAAAATGTTACATAGACATATTCATATCGCCAAATATATACCTCAAATGGATCTTATCAGCAAGCATTTCATTATCTGTATTGAAGATCCAAGTTAAATCAAATTCAATGGTGGCACGGAGATACAAAAGTCAACGTACATATGTACACGTCGACCAGGGCTCATAATAAATACAGGCTCATACAAATTCAAATGCTACACTTTTACGACCTCATTTCAAATTCAAACCGACAGTGGAGTATTCACTCTCACCAGTCACCTGGATCCGTTTTATCAGCTTCTCAAACAGGTTCTGGAGCTGTGTGCGTTTCTCAACCGCTCTATCAAACCCTGCGTGGGTATGTTTGTTGAGGCTCACGAAGCACGCTTGAAATAACATGGGGATTGTCAAAGTGAATTCAATCACCTCAGATAAACTTTAGGTTTCAGGTGTTCTCACATAACACTTCACCTTAACTGGCACGTTAGTGGCCGTCTTCATACTAACTGTACACGTTAATAAATGTAAGTGCATAACAATATCAGACTAGCCACCAGACAGCAACATAATGTCGGTTATTTCACGAAAAAATACACAAACACGACCTTTGCACAGATAGAAAGGTAAATAATTGAAAATAGAGCAATGTACATAAGTGAATGTATATATCTGAATTATTATGACTACTACTGGTTAAATCACGTCAATCAGAGGGGAATGTATGGTTACGACTCAGTAAACACTTTTAGTAAACATAACCCGACAGACGCAGACAGGATCAATCCGACCTGTACAGTTGTGGTAAATTGTCATATTTCTCTTTTTATACATATATTAATTATCCCTGCTTATGTCGCACAATATACAGCATGAAACACACACACAGACGCTCACACACACAAACACACAGACGCGCACACAGACACACAAACGAAGACGCGCACACACATACAGACGCGCGCACACACAAACAGACACACAGACGCACAAACACACACACAGACGCGCGCGCACACACAAACACACAGAGACGCGCATACAGACACACAAACGAAGACGCGCACACACATACAGACGCGCGCACACACATACAGACGCGCGCACACACACAGACGCGCGCGCGCGCACACACACACACACACACAAGCACAATTAATGGAATTCATATTTCATGAATTGTATTTCATGGTAAAGCATAATGAGGTCGAGTAGTCATTTTCTTTGAAAAGTTGGTTAAAATGGTCTTTGTATTGTTTTTGAGTGAGTGAGACTGAGTCAGGTTTTACCACAAATTGGTTTTACACATTATTCCCAGAATAAGAAAAAATAACTATTCACGCAAAATGTGATAAAATCATGAAGGTGTAAATCATTGACTCCGTGGACACGATATCCACGAAGTCAATGATATACACCTACACACACACACACACACACACACACACACACACACACACACACACACACACACACACACACACACACACACACATATATATATATATATAAGAAGGAAACTGTGTAAAATCATGACAACACAGGTAAAACTAGCAAAATCCAGATATATATTTCATCATTAAGAATATTTTCACCACAATGGCGACCACCTACACCAAATATACGGTGATAAAGCTGAAGTTTTAAGATGAGATATGCCACTAACATAATTTGTGAGTCACCATTACAGCGTGTGCTTGTGACGCGTTCTTTCAATTCGTCAAGGGACAAGAATATCCTATCAGAGATGAAACCTTAAACCCATTTGAAACTGAAACGAATTTATTTTCTCTGTCGTTGTTTTTATTTGCATCCCACTTTCCGTGTGTTCCTATAAGCTTATGTAAATATTAATCCTTTTAAATTTAAATTTCATTATCTGAATTTTTTGAAAAGAGAAGAAACCAATGATTGGTGTGAAGGAAGAGGCACGAGGAAAAACAAACTGACTGCCATGAATTCACGTGTTACATATGGACATCGCGTGCACGCTCACAACACAGGTATTTCTTTAATGGAGTATTTGTTCAGCCTAGATGTAGATGAGGTATGCGCCTACCAGCTTGTTACAAAACGGAATGCTGCTCACGTAAAATTAGATCAATCAAATGAGACTACACCTTGGGGTCGTTCTCGTTTGCATCGCAGCTTAACCTTTTCACTGCTAGGACAACAGACCCATAAAAGTATATTCCCTGTTATGAATGTGAAAATCATTAATGTTGTATAGCTTCGATATTTACGTATGTGAACACTTATAGATCAGTCAAATACGTACAGGGTTCGCTGACATTCCTTGTCAGAGTGAGTGAGAATAAATTTGTTACACCGCTTTTAACAATATTCTAGCCATTTCACAACAGTAACCACGAAAGTCTTTACACCTCGTTCCCATGGGGAGGGAATCCAGCCTGGTTCTTCAACATGACAATAAAAGCGACAAAACCCTTTCCGTAGCTAAGCCATGGCTTCAGGTATATAGATGGCCGATATCGTTCAATATCAATCAAATAGATAATTCTCTTCCACCGATTAACCCACCTGAACTAGAAATAAAGAAGACCAGTGGGACTGCCTCAGCTGTTTCATATTTAGATTTATGCAAAAAGATTCAAAGTGACAAAACACTCTCCACAAGACTGAATGACGAGAGGGATGACTTCAACTTTCCAATCAAATTTGATTTCCCCTCATGTCGAGTAATATTATAGCAGCTCCAGCCTTTGGTGTTTACATTTCACAACTTTTGAGATACAATCGAGCATGCTCTTTCTACCAAGATTTCCTTAGGCGTCAGACTACTCTTGTTCAGAAGTTGTCTGATCAAGGCTGCAACAGTCAAGGCCTAAGTAAAGCTTTCAAAAAGTGTCATGGTAGACACGTGGAGGACATTTCAAAATTTGACGCATCAGAGACAAAAAATGATGTCCGATGCAATTCCAAATTTTGGCTTGTGCCATATGTTCCCGTGTTTTTGAACAATTGACCTGCCTTTGAATGTGTTTGTGACGGGTCCAACATGTGTGGCAGGATGCGCTCATCTTTTCGCGAACACTTGGTATCATCACTATTTGATAGTGATTCATAAACACCTGCTCATGATATGCCCGGAATCGTACTATCGACTCTGCTTTATGCAGAGATTTCTATTAGATATAGAAACTTTAAGTGTTTTGTCACTTTTATAATTATTACGTATGTATTAGAATTAACAATCAAATCCATAGGATGATGTTTACGTTGTTTTGGAATCTAATTCGTTCGAATTAATAAATAAATACAACAGGATAAAATCGAATTTGTTACACCACATGCTCATGTTATAGTCGAAATCGACTCTGCTCTTAGAAGAGATTTATATTGAATATGGAAAGGGTTTTGTCGCTTATATAATTATTACGTAAGTTTAAGAATTAACAAAACTATTCATTGAAACTTCGATAATGATATTCACTCTGTATGTGATTTCATTGCGAGTTAAAGGGTTAACAACCACGTGATCGGAAACAAACAAAAATGACACAGCCTGTAGCATCTGTAGACTGGCGCCGTGGTTTAATAGCATGTGCACTCAAACTTGAATGATTTCCACTCAGAAGACAGGGATAAGTAGTTCCTTACTGTAAGATGAAGAACAAAAGTCGAATGTGACAATACCAATATCTTTTATTATAATGAATCTGTCTTACTTCCCATATCGAATAATCAATAAAGGCTGTTGCACCAAATATAAAAGCGCTTGATGTAGGAAATATATATTCACTGCATCCATATGTTATTGATTGCATACTGCATACTTGCATATGACATATATACACACACACACACACACACACACACACACACACACACACACACACACACACACACACACACACACACACACAATTTATATATATAGAGCACATAATGTAAATGCCTTTTGAGATATAGAACATCAAAGGCAAGATAGTGGCGAAAATAATGCATTTTATTGAGTTATACAATGAACTGAAACACTTAAGAAATACACGAAAATTATTTATGATTCTGAGGTACTGACATTATTTGGGGTTTTAACTGGGTTTATAGGGATAGGTATTTATTGTGTAATTGATATTTTGGTTATTCATGTTCATCTTTATAAATCTGTATTTTGCGAAAGTGCACAGAACACAGGTCACAAATCGGGTGAGGTTACGAAACGCCTGTCTCAGAGAGTAGTTGAATGGGTGACGGTGTTCGGCAGCTTGGCTCCTGAGAGTTTCTGGGGCTTCGGTCCTGCGCTACACTGGAGCACGTTTGCTGTCTCCTTAGGCAAACGCCTTTGTTAGAAATGTGCCTCTGTTCACCCAGCAGTGAACTGGT